ATTTTGACCAAATAAAACTCCCCAATATCACCACCCGTATCCATATTCAACATACAAACCAAATATCGGGAATTCTAGATAACTGTTACAGATGTCAGCAGCTGCAAATGACCTCATTTCAAATAAAAAAGTAGTCAAGTACAGGGGAAAAAGTCTCCTCAGGCTTAATTTCAACAGTGTCATCATCCAAGCCACAGACACCAGACATCAACCCACCGCGGTGCTTTATCCCATTGCAAGCTCCTCTGACCACACTCTAGGCATAAACAAGCCTCAGAACAAACCCCCTAAACCCCACCAAGCATCACAAAAACCAACCACGTCCAGCCCACACCCCAACTAACACACCTCTCCGTCTCCCAACTTCCAAACCCCCACAGCAACATGCCCACACCACTCTCCACAGCAGATGAAAAAGAGAAAAGGAAGAAGAGAGAGAAAGAGTAGCCAGGAATGACAATTCCTAGGCAATCAGAGAGAAGACTATAGAGATGTCCGTATCCCGCAAAGCCAACAGAACGCCGCCAGCAAGAACACGTCCAACCCCAAGCCCTCGCAAAGAACACCATAAGAATGCCATCCAGCCACCCAAGTCCCCTCTTCCCCCTAATCCCGAAACCCTCGCACCCTTTACGCCACAGCCATTGGTCGCCCACCCGTCCTCATGGAAGCGAAGCGGACACGGCAACCCCAGATAGCGGCGCCACCTCCCCGTTTCCCGCACTTTCTCGCACTAAAGACCCGACACCGTACACGCTATCACCCTAACCCTAGGATATGATCCCAAGGCGGACCTCAACAATGCAATACTGCTATATGCAATGATATTACAGTAATTGAAAGCGAGATCTCGGCAATGAGCGCGCAGGCGCCAAGCCCAGCTGCGGCCATGCCTCGGGACGGACGGAAATGTAAATGTACACAATGTCTCCCATGATCCAGGACCAACGCCGCTTTGTCCGACGTGGCCGCGAGCCATGGGGGTGCTGGCTAGGATCTCGATGCTGCTTTCCAGCAATCCGACGGGAGACGTAAGCGTTCTGCTGGAAGAGTGGGGGGAATGGTGTTATGTGAAGTTGGTTATCGAGAGTGTGATCGGAGGAGGGTGTCGTCGTGGTCTGGGCACAGCTCTATGGTGGTGTGGCACCATCATGGCTGGTCCAACAGACAGTAGTCTGCTGGAAAGAGATAGTTGATTCGTGCGCACGAGGTGGTAGCTCTTGAGGTTTGCTCCTAGCCGGTTTGTGGTATTGCGTGGGTTTTAGAACTTGCGGGAGTACCATCGGTTTTGCTGGGTGAGTCTTCTTTTGCGGTGTTGTGGTCATGGTCTGACCTTTTACCAGAGTTCGCATCATTGGAGAGGGCGACTTGCGTCGCTGGTTGGTGTACTTTGTGTACATGCATGGGAAAGGGACTGGAAAACTTACTGTTTGATCATTAGGGTTGTGTCGACTGGTATATAGGTAAATGTGGAAGAAGAAGATAAGTGCTGTAGCATAAGCCGCGTAAGTTCCAGTGTCATTTGGCGACAGAATTAGACGCGTGGGACAGTGGCATGGAGGTGAAGAAAAAGAAGACAAAGCGGAGCTTTATTTATATGAGCACGTGTTGGCCTCAGACAACGGTGTTTATCACGATAAGGGCTATCAGTCACGTGATTTGGGTGGGTCTCCGATAAGGCGGGGGTGAAAGGAGTGTGTTGTTTGATCTGCCTTGCTATCTGAGTTACAAGCACACTGTATCTGATCTTCGATCATTTTCAGTCACTATCTCGACCTATTGATCTAATCCTGACAGCCGACTGAATATTGAACCTTTGGCCATTGGCCGCCCCGACTCGCGCACCCCGGACACCCCAAATAAACCCCGACCTGCTACATCGGTCACATAACAGCCATGGATTTCCTGAAGTCAGCTATCGGATCTGCCATCGCGAAGGGCGGAGGACTCCCATTCTCCCTCGGTGACAGAGTTGACATCGGTGATTCGGTCTGGGCACTGCACAACGGTACGAAACGGGTACGGTGGCTTTTTGGTTCCTTCTTCCATGCGGGACGAGCTTCAATGGCTGACGATGTCGTGGAACATATAGGATGACGGTTCTGCGTGCAGTGTCTTCGCATTTGATGTTAATGCGAATAAGTCGCGCCTTCCTCTTGCGAAAAATGCAGTGCGCAAGTCTAGAACCTTGCGGCATCCTGGTGTTATCAAGGTTTTGGATACGATTGAGGTATACTTGGCTCCCGGCCCTTTGGTATGAATATGAGATTATGGCGCAGACGCTTACGACTTGACAGACGGAGCACAATCTTTATATTGTCACGGAACGAGTCGTGCCACTCAGCTGGCCGGTGAAGCGGAGGAGCTTGAGTGAGGAGACGGCTAAGTGGGGTTTGTATACTGTGGCGGTACGCTATTCTTGAGAGTTTGATATCATAGCATTGCTAATGAGGATTTCTCTGGACAGTCTACTCTCAAATTCATCAATGAGGATGCTTCCTCAGTTCACGGCGCCGTGCGCGCATCCTCGGTGTTCATAAGCGAGAGCGGCGAATGGAAGCTAGGAGGTTTTGAAATCCTGAGCTCTATGAAGGAGGACGATGCGATTATATATGTGAGTTATTCTGGCTCAGGTTTATCCAGAAAGTGCCCGGTTGATGCCAAATACTGACTCTATGCATAGACGTACGGAAGTAGTGTACCCGATGCCGGTCGATACACGCCACCGGAAGTTGTCAAAACAGGCTGGGATACTATCAAGCGCAACCCTTTGACAGCAGTTGATGCCTACGGGTTAGGCATCTTGATCTTCGAGGTTTTCAATGGGGGTTTCTCAGGCAGCGACCAAGCTGGCAAGACGACGAACATTCCCCCCAGCATGCAGCAAAGCTATAAACGTCTTTGCACCACCAACCCGAAACTACGACTAAGCCCGGGGCACTTCGTGGACCAGGGAATGAAGCAGGGTGGATTCTTCCAGACACCACTCATTCGAATGACTGAAGATATCGACAGCTTGGGGCTCAAAAGTGACGCCGAACGTGAAGAATTTATTAAGTACGTATATTCTCAACATGCTGCATATAATTATTTCTTGGCTGACATATCACGACTTGCAGTGAGCTTGATAATCTTTCTGGGGACGACTTTCCTGAAGAATTCTTCAAGATGAAGGTGCTCCCAGAGCTACTGAAGTCCGTCGAGTTTGGTGGTGGTGGGCCTAAAGTTCTTGTAGCTACCATGAAGATTGGAGCAAAGCTGTCGGCAGAGGAATTTAACGCCAAGTTGACTCCTGTTATTGTCCGCTTATTTGGCAATCCCGATCGAGCATTGCGCGTCTGCCTCTTGGATAACCTGCCATCAATGATCGATAATCTTCCCCAGAGGGTTGTCAACGATAAGATCTTCCCTCAAATGGTAAGCTATAAGATTTTGGGTAATGCACGGTTTACTAACATGCCATAGACTTCTGGTTTCACCGATGTTGCTCCGGTGGTTCGAGAACAGACAGTGAAGGCTGTTCTGACTATCATCAACAAACTCAATGATAGGATTGTCAATGGTGAACTCTTGAAGTTCCTCGCCCGCACTGCTAATGATGAGCAACCTGGCATCCGTACAAACACTACAATCTGTCTTGGTCGGATTGCTAAGAACTTAAGCCAAAGCGTAAGTGATTTATCATTAATGTTGGATCATGTCGCTGACATTACATATAGACTCGCTCTAAGGTGCTGATTGCAGCATTCACGAGAGCCATCAGAGACCCCTTTGTCCATGCTCGAAATGCAGGACTTTTGGCTCTGTCCGCGACTATTGATGTATTTAGCGAGGAAGATTGTGCTGTTAGGATTCTACCTGCCATTTGCCCTGGGCTTTTGGACAAGGAAAAGTGAGTAATGCGCTCGGTCCCTAACTAATGGATAGCCCTATACTTACAGTTGAAAAGATTGATTCGCGACCAAGCAAACAAGACGTTTGATTTGTATGTCCAACGGACACGGAAATATGCCAGCACGATGCCAGATACCGTGATCCCCCCCGCCGCACCTGCAGAAGTCAACAAACCCGATGCGCGTGTTGGCACACCCAATGATAACTCCTGGGCCGGCTGGGCTATTTCTTCATTCACAAACAAAATCGCAGCTGCTCACGGCGAGATTGAACCCACCGCCAGCGCTAGCAAGCCTGTTGATTCCGATACTGCTCGCTCGGCGTCGGTTCCTCGTCCTGCTAAACCATCACCCTCACCCTCAACCCCGCTCGAACCACGAAAACAAGCACTCCGTCCCACAGCTCAGTCCATGAACCGGTCAATGTCAGATCGCCCAGCCCCGGTGGTCCACGACGAGCCAGAAGAAGAAGGCGATGATGTCTTCGATGCTTGGGGTGCTATGGACGACGACGAAAAAGACGACGATCCATTCACTGCCGCTGTAGCTTCTCCCAACCCCAGTTCTCCCGTCCCGTCATCGACAAAAGCCCCAGCGGTGCCCTACGATGATGGCGGCGAACCCGATTTTGCCGGCTGGCTGGCTGCGAAGTCACAAACCAAAGCAAAAAATCCTTTGCCAAAGGGCCTAGCCAAGGCCGCTTCTACCAATGCCGTTACCACACGGTCGACGATAAGCAACGCCAAGTCTCGGAATGTGGTTTCACATAAGAAGATTGATACTAAACCCAAAGATGAGGAGGGCGATGATTGGGGAGATGCATGGGAGTAATCGGGAAACACCTCGCTCTCCTTTTTTGATTTTCCATGTCCAATCCCGTCTAATGAAAGTCTAGCGTGTCAATATCCCATAAACTTTGCATCGAGGCGTGATCGTTATATTTGAACTCAAACTCAGACAAAAGATGTCCTAAAGATGACGCTCATTTGCTAAAATTGACGTTGGAATGTAACTAGCACTTAACAGAGCCAACCAAGTCTCAAAACAGAGTGTCAAATATAAAATTCGACTTCCACCAGGGAAAGCTCCTTAATGAAAAATCCCCGTTCACCAAGTCTTCAGTATCTCCCCAGCAACCCGTTCTCCCGAGCTAATAGCCCCATCCATATACCCAATCCACCTCAGTGAAGTCTCTGTCCCGGCAAAATGGATCCTCCCAACTGGAGTACGTAAATAAGACCCATACTGTGTCAAAACTCCCGGCGGCATGAAAGCACTGGGGCCACCACGGGAAAACTCCTCAAGATCCCACCTCTGAACGAGGATATCGGTGGTATTTTCAACGCGCGGACCAAAGAGATTAGCAAAACTCTGCTTGACTTGACGCTTTACCTCCTCCTCGCTCGCAGTATCCAGCTTGCGCATCTCGTCCGCCTCGATGAACCCCATTATTGCTCCGAACGAGTCATCCGCCGGCGAGTTGTCGTATGTCACTCGGATTGCCCCGATGTCGCTCACACCTTCTCCGTTGAGTCCCTCATCCCGCCACCAGGCTGTCGGGAAGATCGCGATGGCTTTGCCAAGTGCCCCCATGGGCATGCGCTGGTTTAACTGATCTCGTCCGGCTGGTAGTAGGGGATCGAATATGATGTGGCTTGCTAGAGGTGGGGACATGGCGACGACAACATGTCGGGCTGAAATATTGACCTCATCTGAAGAGACTAGATAGCGGGATTTTTTGAGCTGGACTTTGCGCACGGGCGTGTTCAGGTAGATGTTTTGCGAGCCGAGTCTCTCGGCGAGAAGTGTTGCGAGTAACTGTGTTCCACCACTCACCCGACTATCCTGTGCACCCCCCTCCACCCCAATGAGACGGTTGATGGTCCCAGGCCCTGTTTTATCTCCAGCGGCAGCTATACACCACAATGCATACAGCAAAGACGGTTCTCTCAGTTCGGTCGACAGTATAGCTGGGATGGCAATATCGAGGAGAACGCGAGAGTCGGCAGTGGATAATCGGGAACTGACGTATGTTTCTAGAGTCATTGAATCCAGCGCCGTGGCATTCGGGGTATTCCATGGTGCTTCTAGGTCGACCTTGCTCGCTAGGGTATTGATGTCGTTCATGAAGAATGCAAGTTCAATAAGGGAGCCTATTCCCACGGGAGGAATACCGCCCAAAGTATCTTGATAATGGTGAACCGTGTTGTTTCGATAGAAGGTTGAATTTCCCGTCGTATATGTCTTATAGGTTGGGAGGCCGAGTTCGGCCGCGAGAGCCAAAACGCGGTTTTGTGTTGGTCCAACATATTCGCCGCCTAGTTCTTGGATATTCTTTCCTGTGAGGTTGAAGTTGAGTACGCGACCACCAACTCGGTCTCGTGCTTCTAATATGACGAAGGATTTGTTGGCCGCTGCCAGGTCTTTGGCGGTGGAGAGTCCGGATAGGCCACCGCCGATGATGGCGACGTCCACTTTGGGGATGAAGCATTCTGCAACCAGTACATGGCAAAGGGGAATTGCTATCACGAAGAGGTGCATTGCACTGAAGGATGACCTGCAGTAAATTATCCGCATAATTATCCGTGTATCTGATCGATGGACTGTTTGAAGTATTACTGAGCTATAGCGGTTTTTTATATGTAGGGATTTCAACGGATGGATTCGATTTATATTTGCTCATTTTACCACCGACTACTACCCAAGGTTACAAAGTACAACAGAGGTAATGAAGCCGATTTGCTCGGCCTAGAAGCAATGTTTTGTGATTAGAGTAGCACGAGCGACAGAAGAGCGCAGAGCAGAGTATAGCCCTGTAGGTGTAGCTATTCAAACAACATAAATGCCAGTAAACCTTCCAATATCTCCCTATTACGTTATTGTTGCTGGCATGGATATTTTGTATTCTTCTTCCGAAATCACATAGCGAACAACATGATAGCGACACACAAAAGGAACAGTTGATGTCTGGCGCTATATCTCCGTCTCCGAGCCTTCTTCCGAGGATTCGCAGGATTCGTCTTCTGATGCCGATGAGGAGGATTCATTACTTGTTATTCCACTCGATTCTTCTGGGGTTTGTTCGCTAGACGAACATCATCATGGGTCGATGGGGATGGCGTTAGTATCACTGTTACTCGTCCCCTTGCTCTTAGCTAACGTCTATATTAGGTCTGTTCGAAAGCGATCAGGACCTTGACGTGGTCATCGACTTGACCGACAGTCTAGGTATCAATATTGACCACTGGGAACACAACCTAGCTGCAATGGTTCATCAAACAGACATTCTGGCACCAGCAAGGTCAATTGCCCTCTACAGTACCCCTGGATATACCGATTTGCTAGCCAATGTCATCGTCCCGTACTTCCGCCAGCAGCTCGACAGTGACAACCTTGGAGAACGGCTGTTCGCTGCCAGTCGCGCCAAGGAAGCAGACACGGGCGACCTCTCCCAAGACGCCAAGTACCGAACTATCATTCTAGGTGCTGTCATGATCCGAGCTGGTGCTCGCATCAACGAAGCGGATCTGCAGCATCTACGTGACCTAGTGCCCCAAATTAACTTCGACTCGCGCCAAATACTTTTTGAATACCATGGGTTCAGAACTCCAGGAAAAGTTCAGTTTCTGGCTGCCCTGGATCACTACCAGCCCGTGTTGCACGCAGCTTCCAGGAGCCTAGGTGAATTCCCTTTGGAAGACTTTGGATTCAGACCCTTCATGCTAACGTAACGACCCTAATAGCTGCTTCACGTGTGGAAAAATCGAGGAGGATATCGGTCACGAGCTTCAGCAATGCAAGATATGCAAAGTTGCGACGTACTGCAGCGAGGCAAGTAGGATACAAGCTATCTTTCTAAGTTGTATGTTCATATATATTGAAGCTTCATAGGACTGTCAGCGTGGCCAGTGGCACAAGCACCAAGTGAGCTGCTTTTCCTTGAGCCAACGCCGGATAATAAACGTCTGATCGCACCTTTTGATGGACTCCAAGAATACTGGGGTAAATATTCTGATGTTTCTAGTTCTCTTGTGCTAGGGTGGATTATTACCTGCATGTCTGCAATATCAGGGATCCAACATTGCTTGACATATCGATCGGTGAGGATTGATATTCTCTTCTAGCGATTGATTCGGTCAATGGAAGTTCAAATTCAATTTACGCTCTGGAGTCGTCCTGCTAGAAAATATGCGCCAGCACGCTACAAATGTAGTAGATGCATGCCGTGGAAAGGAGATAGACCTAATAATATAGACGCAAAGGTCAATATTAGTTGGTTCGTACAATTTCTTGCTGTCCTCGTACACTCCACTTTCTCTCGGAAATCAGATATCTGCATAAGAATTATGCACATCCACTTATGCCGATTATGCAGCGGCACCCTCACTCCGCCGATCCCGTCTTTCCACGACATCAAAGCATCACACCCGATGTCTTCCAATGAGAAGAAACGCCTCCGAGATCGTCGCTCGCAACAGAATCTCCGCGAAAAGAAGCTGCGACATGTAGCCCAACTCGAAAAACAGGTGATACACTGCGAGCAGCATCACAGCGACCAAGGCGTGCAGCGCCTTCTCCAAGTAATCGAAGGGCTCCGCAAGCAAAACGAAACTCTTCTCAAGCGCCAAAAGAGCTTGAAATCACTCGTCAACTCCTGGGAGACAGAACTGGATGAGCCAGCTGCCACCGGTGATTCCAGCCATGACTTGTCATCTCTGTATAAGGAGCTGAGCAACCGAGAAGCCCGATTCTCCCTTCAAACGGATTTCAACGAATCGATACCCCAGCACGGGATTAGCAGCCTTCTAAACGCTCCCCTGCCCGCTGTGTCAACATCACCGCAAATCCGATCCCCATCTCTAGAACCTCTTTCCGCCGAAACCACGCCTCCGTGGAACCAAATCCCACCACACACTGATGACTTCAGCACACGCACCATGATCTCCTGTCCGTGGTTCATCTACCCAGAGCTGATAATCCCATGCCCAGATATCCCCAGTTCCCCTCTTGACTTTCTGTACGGCACGAAAACAAACCCGCTAGCAGATATGATCCACACGGCCCTGCAACGCCGCCCAGTCCGTGATCCGGAGCGACTGAGTACTGGCTGGCTGACTTACCACTTCTCGAGATGGGTCATTTCCCCCAGCCCGGAGACTTATGGTCGACTCCCTGTGTTCCTTAGGCCTGTGCAGGGTCAAATGACCGTTCCGCATCCGCTCGTTTTAGATTTCTTGCCGTGGCCAAGGATAAGGCTGAACCTAATTCGGCGTTGGCATCTGTATAGTAAGGATCGGGATGACCTGTTCGGGTTCATGGCTTGTTGTGTTAAGATTCGATGGCCTTGGAATGAGACGATTCTTGAACGGAATGAACAGAACGAGTTGTGTATTAAAAAGGCGTTTTATGAGATGTTCATGACTGAAAGTGGGTGGGGGCTTACGCCGGACTTTATTAGACGGTATCCTGATCTTGTGGAGGGGATGGATATCAATCAAATTGTGATTGAACTTTTCTAAGGAATGACCCTGTTCATGTACAGAAATTCATGTTCTATTATGCTCTATTCTATTAATTGTGTATAGGCAACTTCTATATGTGGGTCGTTAAACATCATCCCGATCATGGGAACAGACAAGGCCGATGTGGAGCGAATAGTATGCCCTTGATAGTAGCAGCTCAATCCTTTTCAATCTTTACCATCGAGATCAATAGGCCACTTCTCCCGAATCACCTTGCCATACTTGATGAAGACAATAGGGACTGGGATGAATGCCAATGCCAGGAACCCAAGCAACGAGTTCCCCCACCCAAGACCCAGATTACCGAACATCTTCGGCCCAGCAAGCGGGAGCAGAGCTCCAACCAGGGAGCGAGTCGCCGTCAAAGTGGCATTGGCGGACGCTGCATATTTGGGATAGCAATCGATGATATATGTCTGGATAGGCATATACACGCCCATCATGCCGACTCCGAAGGGGAACATGCCAATGATAGGCACGATCCAAAATACGTGCTTGTCGGCTGTCCAGCCGTACCAGAAGAAGCTGATTGGAAGGATGCAGGCGAAGATAATCATCATTGGGAGACGCATCTCGGGTTCGAACTTGCCGCCGTTCTTTGCTGTAGCTGACATGACCATGCGGTCGTTTGTGAAGGCGATAATTGCGAGGCCACCGATAAAACCGAAGCCAATGCCGAGATATGCAAGTCCCGATAGGCCAACGGAGAACCCGTATTTCTGAGTGAAGACGCTGGGGATGGTAGTGAAGAAGAGGTAGAGAAGGCCGTAAACGAAGGACTAGAGATGAAATGTTAGTAATTCGCATTTCGTCTATCACGACCGAACTTGGACTCACCATATAAAGACACAGAAGGAACACAATTGGCGACTTGACAAACAGCAAAACCGGCCTCTTGAAACTCTGCACCATGGTCTGTCCCAAAGTAACGGGCTCCTTATTTGTGTCATAAGCACTCCGCAAATCCATTCGGCCCGTCTCCTTCACGAGTTTCTCGGTCTTCCAGCGGATAAGAACTTCGGCATATGTCTCTTTGTTCAGAAACTCAACCCCCAATGACACGATACCACCCACAATAAGCAATAGCCAAAACACCCAGCGCCAGCCAGCTTCCTGTCCGAGGAATCCACCCGCGATAGGCCCGACCACAGGTCCAATCAGTGGTCCCATAGCCCAGACGGCGGTTGCCATGCCGCGTTGCTCCCGGGGGAACATATCTGCGATCACACCCGCACCGAGTGTTAGACAACCCGAGCCTCCGATTCCGGCGAATAGACGGCAGACGATGAGGGTCTCGATGCTGTTTGCTCGTGCGCAGCCGATTTGCCAGACCACAAAAAACCAATTTGCAGCACTGAGGACGACGCGGCGGCCGTAGACTTCGCTCATAGGGGCGAGTAGAAGGGGACCGAACTAGTTCCGACATGTTAAGACGGGTTGGATTGCATAACTTATAGGGTGGGATGGGCTCACTGCATATCCGAGGATATAGATGCTGACACTAAAAGACAAGATTGTCTCATTTGTTTCTCCGAACTCCGCTGCCACGTATGAGATGGCGGGTGAGAACATGCTCGAGGCCAGCGGAGAGATCAGAGTCATGGCACTGATCAGGGCGAGCAAGGTCCATTTTTTGTTGGCCGGGAAGTTTTGGGGGTTATTAAGGTCATCTTGTCCGTCCCAGCCTACTATTCCGCAGCTGAGGTCTGTTTCTGGGAATATTTCTGTGGTTGGTGCTGATGTTTCGGTGGTTTGCCTCGTTGGCTGTTTTTCGAGGTCATGTGTTAGGTTTCTGACGCTGTCTCCTTCGTTCAGGGTTGGTTGGTTTGAACTGGACTCTTTTTGAAGAGTATGCATCATGAATCACAAGTGTCTGTGGAATAATGTACAAGAGAGGACGTGCTTGGCATGTGAGAGTATAGAGCAGTATAGTGGAAAAAGGGAAGAACCGATCAGGTATAAAAGCAAAAGCCCCAAGACGATAGATCAGGCTATTATCAGCGCGCCAGTTTTATCCGATATATCCACCGAGATATACTTCATTGCTGCCTTATATTGAGTCATAAATGCCATTATGCTTATAAAAGGGATTCATAAATCGACAAGCATCGCGCAATGCAACGAGTATGGACAATGTGATGGCTTAGCGATGATTCAGTGCTCCACTTCTATTGTTCATTGACCAATAAACGCTCTTCAGAATAGCCAATCTCCAGGCGCTGAATCATTGTTTGGTGCCTAGTGGGGCCACTCTCCTCTCGCATAGAACCTCACGTTTATTTTTATCTTCTTGATCTTTTAATGCGCATAATTCATTCGGCTCAGGAGGTTGATAACTTGCGATTTAATTGGTAAAATACAAGGATTTGATAGCATGTGTCTCATCTCGGACCCCTGTTTGAAATAGCCTTTGGAACACAGCCTCCATATCATGTTCATTGTTCCTTCTCGGCGTCTTCGAACACACTTCATATCATTTTCACGGCGGAATCAAGCACTTCTTTGCAGGACAAGTAGGCACCCCACAATAAAAGGTAGCCATGTGTTGCCATACTCTTGTGCACTGTCGGGCTTCCATCGTTCATCACATCATCATTCAATAGGCATCGGATCCATACACTCCAGGTAGTCCAACACATCGAGGTACACTTCTTCAAGGTAAGCTTTGGTAACATCCTGGGCGAAGTTGTGCATGTTCTTCAACCGTTCATATCTCAGATTGACAAAGGCTGTTCCCACATCACTCTCAACTTCCGCCAGCAAGATCAGCAGCGGGACAAATGGCGGAATCCCCATCTTCATATTCAAAGTGTGGGTGTAATACTCCATCAGACGGTGAACAAACCACCGGGCACTAGAGTAATCACATCGCCGGCACCGAATGAGATTGAACAGACCGCTTGAGATATCCTCATAGTCCTGTGCGGGACTGCGGGTATAAGGCCCAAGAATCTTCTCGGCCCCCATCATGAACTCGTCTGCCAGTTCGGCTCGGGGCTGTTCTTTCGCAATCATGCATACAAGGATCGGATTCATGTTCCACGCTAGCCAGTTGCGGACCTCGATCGACATCTGTTGCCATCTCCTAGCATTGGGCGAGTCCCTGTAAGGGCGAACGATGCCAGAATCAATGAGCCGATGAAGTCTGTGCACTTTCAGAATGTGGTAGATGTCATTGCGCCAGGTGAGGTAGTCGGAAGGGTGTTTCAGAGGACAGGGAAATTGGTACAGCGTAAAGCAAGCGATTTCTGGCAGCTCAAATGCCTGGTCGGTTGGTCCAGTCTGTTTCTCAACCAGAAGTAGAGTCGACCAATCGCGAGTGTGCTCCGTCGACATCTTGGCGTATGGTTGTAAAGATCTTTGTCGACCGGGTGCCCCGTTGTTGTAAAGTGAGAGGAGACCCCGTCTGGAACTATACACAAACCCACCATGTTAGCTCATATTTTTTTTTCGAAATCCTTACAATAAAGACTGAAGGCTTACTGTATTGATCAATTGAGTAAAATATCTGACTATGCCACGGGGGCGTGTGTTGGTGATCTGCACACCTCTCGCTGTCTTTCAGTCGATAGCCGAGAATCAGAGGATAACAGATTTCCCACAATTGAGACGACTAAGGAGCCCTGTAGACCGAGAGAATCTTTCAAATGCTGAGATACTGACAGTTGTATCTGTCTGTATGTTTATTAAAAGGAATTGAGTCGAACAGAAGAGAAGTGAAGGGAGGAGAGGATGAAAGTCATGAAGGGTCTGAGTATGGGACCCAGAATATACTCTCACTTACGAGCAATCCCACATGAGACATAGTTTACGCGGGTACCTCCGAGGGCACTACGTACATTTAATCCAAGAATAAATCTACTGTCACTAGCAGTGGACTTGAAGCAGTATTTTCAAACGAAGCAGCATTTCAGCCATGTATGGCCGATGAGCATGTCTATAAGTGAATTGTATAGTTCCTCGGCCTCAACCAGGACCACCAACACCCTGCTCTTTCGGTGTGAATATAGTTGTGTTGATAGTCCTCTTAATATAAGTTCTTTCAATCTTGAAAGCATATGTATTCCGACAGGAAGTTTGCATATGTCCACGCAGAAGGTTGTTGGCAATCGATAGGCCTTATCGTTATCGTCCCCGCCAATCTCCTAACCTTGCCCGGTGGAATGTCATGGACTTCTTCACTCCCAAGATCAGCCTTTCTCTCGTATGTACCCCTTCATCAGGGTCTCAGTATACCCTTTGTCGCTGTGAGTCATTCTCCGACATCCAGGTAGGACATAACGTCTCCCAAATATAATTATTGTACGCTGACAGAACCCCATTTACAGTATTCTTGCTGCCTTCCACCGCCTCTCAGGTCCTCGTTATCTTATCACAGAATGGGAATTCACTGTAGCCCTTCCTAGGCCACTATATTGTTGCTACCCTTGGATATTCCCCGGCCGATCATAACCGCCTTCTCAAAATGGACCAAGAGGAGGCTCCACCACCCCCGTACTCGGCCGTCGACCCATTACTCGCACCTGCGAGCAGTCGGAACAACAGCTCTTCTCAGGCCCCAATAGTTCCTGGTGCGATTGTCTCCCCAACGCAGGATGCCAGTAGCTCTCGTGTCCCAATACAGCCGACGGTCGTGCCGACGCATTTCAGATCCGCCGCTGCGTACTTTGAGGAACGGCTTCCCTCGGTCTTGGACGAGAGCCGGGATCTTCTGCAACATCATATGACCATCTACCCCCGGAGCCAGGCTAAGGATTTTCCACGACGGCCACGGTGCTGGGCCTCTCGATTAGATGAGGTTACCCAGCAGGACTGGGATACATTCTTAAAGTATCTATTTCCGCCGCAATTGGGGCTCGCTGCATCCTCTCAGCATCTCCCACGCCAATTGCGAGCGGAGATTAGACGAGACCGCAAAGATCGCCCACAGGAGACTGATGAGCAACGGAAAGCTCGAATCGCGGCCGTTGTCGCCGAATGGAACGAATGCTTTTTCGAGCTCCGCGCTACCCAGATTGTCTTTGTCTACGTAGGCGAACCTGATTCTGCACCATCGTCCGCTTTATGTCCCCGATGCTATCCAGCGGCAACGGGTTCGATAGATGGCCAGCCGATTCGAAATTCAAATGCTCCGTCACCCGTGCCTGGGCAGCACGTTCCTTCTCCGACTCCTTGGTCGATGCCTCCCTCTATGTTCCATAACCCCCAAGTATATGTGCCCCCATCTCCATATGGAGTATATGGTGTTCCTCCATACCCTCCCCCCATATCTCCTAACCAACCACCTCAATACTATACCCACCCACCACAAGGCCCATGGCAATGGAACAATTGGAACTATACGCAGCAGCAACCGCAGTACCCCAATAATGGCACCCCCAAGGCTGGATCCGGTGGGTGGATTTCACAGATCGCATCACAAGCCCAGAAATATGGAGAGCGGTTCAGCGAACAGGCGCTACAATATGGACGGCAGGTCGAGGAGCAGGCTATTGCACATGGCCGCTGGATTGAGGAACAGGCAAGGCTTCATAGTCGGAAAGCACTAATGGCTGGACCTCCATACGGTGGTGGGTACTATCCTCGGCCGGCCTGGGATAACTCGCCTCGTCCCATAGCCAACATTCCGTTGACACCCATTCAAAGCCCTAGCCCTGTGACAAGTCCTAATCCGACGGGTCGGCCTGAGACAATCGATCAGATTGATAGCAATAAGCCTAAGCCCTCTACAGAACAACTTAGGGTAGAGCCACCCGCGACCGAACATACTAGACGAGTATCGGTGAGCTCCGTGTCATCTGAGTCCTCGTTCAGCTCAATTGACTCCATCTCGACAACATCGGACCTGGGCGCTTCAGACCTTGCCACAGTGCGCACCCAATTGGAGCTTCTAGACGATCGTCATGATCGGGTATTATATGACGCCGCCGTGGACCTCCGCCGGCAACTGTCGGTCCTGCAAGAGTCCCGCCGAGAAGCCAAGTTCTCCGGTAATAACTGGCGAGCAGGTTTCAGCCAGAGCCAACAAAACAGCCAACAATCCGGCGACGCCGACTGGGGTCGCTGGGACTCACCTGAGCAGCAGCAACGCAACTCGGTCGATAGACGCGCCATGAAAGAAGAAATGCGTGCCACTAAAAAAGCATTCCGGGACACGCTGCGCCGAGCACGAGACGAGCAGCGTGAACGCAAACGCACTCGACGCCGCCAGGTCCGACAAGCTCGCGCTAATGACAGCGACACGGCGAATCATATGCCTTCCCAGCCGCTAGATCAGCAGCTTGGGACGTTGCGGCTGGAAGATTCGCGGCAATTTAACCCGCCTATGCCTCCACGTCCAGTCACCACACAAGCACAGCCTAGTCCGGTTTCTACACCGAATAGCTCGAATGTCGGATTTGGATTTGCTTCCAATTCCCTCTCCCCTGCTATCTCGCGGCTAAGTATGCAGGAGTCGGCACCTACTGGAGACTCTGGCGCCTTTGTGAAGAAAGGGAAGCCGGGTGATACGTCAAGTCGGCTAAAGGATATGCTCTTACCGCGCAAGGCGAGAAAGCAACAGCCGAAGGACGAGGATACGGGAAGTAAATGATTTGCATATGTCTTCTCTTCTCTTTGGTTTTATCTTATTTGGTTCTATTTTCAGCGTGGTGTCCAATGTTTTCTTGGGAGGACGGCAAAAATGAATTTGCTCTGCTCAATGCATAGTTCAGATCTCGACCACATCGAAGTCGACGAAGTTACGATTCACATTGATACAGTACATTTGCGAAAACTTTATATATCGAAATCAAACTTTTTCAAAAAGATCTCTTATACATACAAAGAGCAATAACCCATGCCCATTTGAGTCTATCTTCACATATCCTCTAAGCCTTCGACTCATTCTTCTCAACTAAATCACCAACCCCAAGTCCTCTCCCAACCTTAACCCGAATCATCTTCTCCGCATCCTTCTTCCCAAGCTCCCCAACCTCTTCGCCCTCATCCTCGTTCCCTTCCTCCCCATTCTTTTCCTTATTATTCTCCGCATCCCGCTTTTCAATCGCCTTCCAATCAAGCCACAAGTTCTGAAGATTCAAGCGCATAGCATACGCATCCTCGCCGTCGGCATAGTACCCGTCCTCGACCTTCTCGACCTCAAAGCCAAGCGTATCGCGGTACAGTCGCAGCGCAGCAATGTTCGACATGCGCACGTGCAGCGAGACGAAATGGGCGCGGTGAGATTCAGCCATTGCGCGTTCTGCAAGAAAGAATGGAATTAGAAAACCGGACTGTAATTATATGCGAATATGCAGCGTTTGCAGGTCGTTTCAAATACAAATGCAAATGCAAATGAAAATGCAAATGCAAAATGTAAAATATTAGATATAAAATCAAGAATATCACTCACGACTCATCCGCATCAACCTCTCCGCAATCCCCAACCGTCTATGCGTGCGCATAACACTCAGACTGGTAATATGACCATGCTGATTCCCGTCCGTAGGCTCCTCCTCCATCTTCGCGAGCACGTATCCAACGACCTTGGGATACTCGCCTGAGATATTGCCGGCCATGCCGACGCCTTTGGGGCCAGGCTTGTGTCCCCCGCGTGGACGCACGACCGCGACGAAGCTTAGCTGCGGCCAGGTCAGGGCATGGTACAGGTAGTATTTTAGGAAGTAGTTCTCGGGTAGGTTCGTTATGTTGCAGGTTTGGATTGAGGGGAGGAGGTCGATGTAGGAGGGATAGCTGCTGAGAGGGACGATGTCGACCATTTTGGCGGTTTTGTGCGCGCAGGCGAGGGTTTGTGGTGGTGAGGGGGTGGTTTTGGGTGAGGGTTGATGGTGGAGTTGGTTTGCGGTGCGGTGGGGGGTGGTCATGTGATGTCGGGGAGGGAGCTGGGGATGTAGATTGTATGTAGGTTGTGATGGGGAGGGTTGGATTGGCTATTTTGCTATGGTTTATATGTTGGTTTTGGTTTTGGTCGTCTGGAAATATTTTATTTTGATTTGTTCAGTTCGAGTGAACTGCGCATGTCCGCTTGTTGACCATGATGTTTATGAATAGATCGAATAAACTACAACATTGTACACAAATATGTACTATATCAAAATCATATGCAGTACAATATATGTACGGCCAAAAAAAGAAGAAAGAAACCTAGCGCCGACGACCGATCCGGTCATGCACCCAAAGTAGTCATAGATATCGTGGAAATCAGAACGCAGACATCACCACCTGCACTCCCACTGCCACCAGAAGCACCGTCGAAATACCAGCGATAGAGACCTCGCGCAGCGCGCCAGATGTCTTGCCACAGCATTTACGGTTGTAAGTGACATTGTTCATCTGGGCAGCGACCTCGAAGACCGAGCCGTTGAAATTGCCGTAATTATAATAATCGACCAGAAGGAAGTTGGGAGGACTGCCCCAGGTTGCTGTTCAGAGTTAGCAACGCACATTAAGAATCAAACACATGTCAACTTACAGTTACATTCCCTGGCCATTGCGCCTAGACTGCCACTACCGTTCACAGCATTGGTCTCGTCAATCGAAGCAGTATTGGGAATCAACAAGCTCAGAGAGCCGAGGTTCAGCTGCAGGTTCAAATTGTGGTTGGCCATGTACATGCGGTTCTTAGCGGCTGTCACAGACAGACCGGGTGGGCGTTGCTGCGTGCAGGGGAAGGTGGGGTCAGTAGGCGAAAATGGCGTCTCCCACACCTGCGAGAACTCATCCATCAGCCATGGGTACGCGGTCTGGTTGGCTTGGTAGTCCATGAAGAAGACTGCACGCTTCTGCCTGAGGATCATCTCCGAAAGTGTGGGCCAGTCGTCCAGGCCCATTGGGACCTTGGTGGGGGTGTATATGAGGTCCTTCAGTCCGGAGTTGTAGATTGGGGTGGTGAAGTTAGCGGGCGAGACATAGTCGTAATTGCCGATGATGAAGGTCACCACGTCGTATGGGTTCTTCCGCATCCACGTGTTGACCTCGACTAGGTATGCTTCCAGTGTGCCGACATTGAGCAATTGGCAGGTCGTGTGGCACAAGTACATTGTGCCGTTCTCGTAGTGCGTTTGGAATTGCACTAATCCACAGGTTAATAATCGCTTACTTCTCAAAAGGCAATGCACCGCCGCTTCACTTACGCAGCCGAATTCCATCATTCAATTGTGTTGTCACATCCAGTACCTGGTTGGCGGCGACGCTGTTCTTGCGCACGAACGGACTGTTGTGTGCTGCGACCATGGTAATGTTGGAGTACTTCCTGGCACAGAACTCGGGGTAGTCGTTGCAAGGTCGGGTGTTAACGACAGGCGCTTGGGTAGATGTACTGGTCCTAGTCGCAGTTGCGTTCATGCTATTGTTCCCGATCACCGTCGTTCCTCCGCCTCCGCCGCCCACTAGCAAAGTCAAGGAGTCGGAAGTCATAGTGACTGCCTGCGTCTGGTTGGAGGCGGTCATGGTGCCATTGTGTTGAGTGGTCGATGCAATGACCGACTTGTCGCCATCACCCAGTGTGATTGTTGTAGTGAGGTCTTGGTAGGTACCGGAGGGAATGGCGATGGGAGTCGTGACTGACACAATGGTGGGTTCATCGGTGGTGGTCTTCCCGGATTCCGTAGATGATTTGGTAGATTTGGTGGATTCGGTAGATTCGGTCGATTCTGTAGATTCGGCCTGGGCCGCGGCAACGGCGAGGAAGCCGAGGACAATAGTAGGCCACCTCATCCTATGTGATATGAAGACTCTACGTCTCCAAGATAGGAGGAGAAAATGACGGGGAAATACTCCAACTTACCTAATCGGCACGTGGAGGCTTTGACGATATGACGTTGACCACCAATAAAGGAGAATGATGGGCCAATTGTATTTTTATATTTTTCTATCACTTTAGGGGGGCGAAGTGGATGATTTTTAGCCTGGGTCTCGTGCCGATTGCTGCCTGTTATAAATTTAGTCCTTCTTATACTTTTGTCTCACATATAGCGGCTGCACTATTATTGTATATTGCTCTATATTATTCTACTAAATCTGCTTATTGGCTGTGGTATTGCCCTTTCCTTGCTTTTCAGCTATCTCCATACCTCTATCCATGCCTTGATGAACTAATATAGTCCGAATGATCGACAGCGTAGGCCAGGGGCCAACACCGCTAGTGTCCAGCCACCGACGATCTCGTGGCAGACGCGACGATCCGTTGAAATTTCTTAAATTTTGAAACTAATAGACCGAATAGGCCCAGGAAACCCTAGGAACCCTGGGAAACCCAAGAAATCCCTTTTAAAAGCTAAAAACAATAAAACAATCCAATCCCATTTGCCTGGAGGCGATCGGGAGATATTTCATGGCCTAACGTCATCCCCGGAGACCTTAGGCAACCCTAATTTTCCTCATCTCCTGGGGATTTTGGGACTTTCTCTCCTTTTCACTCATTTATCACATTTCTATCATGCATTGGACGGAAAATGGCAAGCGAAAGCTTCCTTTTTTTAAGTCCACTACCCCAATTGACCGCCAGCGAAAGACCACCGTTCGTTGGCACCGCCTGTTACGGTCGCTGTTGTACTTGATCGCTTGGATCTTTATGCTACTGGTAGTCATTGGCAACATCTCTAACAGGCCCGTCCTACGCAATACCTACTTCCTCTACCTCGATCTTTCCAATATTATTCCCGTCTCTATTCCCAATGCCGTCCTTATCAACTCTATCGCCCAGACTATCGGGCTGCATGACTTCTACCAGGTCGGCCTATGGAACTTCTGCGAAGGATACGATGACCAGGGCATCACCCATTGCTCCAAGCCGGAGACTCTCTATGCCTTTAACCCGGTTGAGATTATCCTGAACGAGCTGCTGGCCGGTGCGACGGGTACGTTCTACAATATCCCCGCACCCAACGACTCCCCTGGAATGCGAAGACTAACAGCTACACCCAGTCGCTCTCCCATCCGACATCGAAAGCCCATTAAAACTAGCCCGCACTGCCTCCCACTGGATGTTCGGAATCCTCCTATCCGCAGCAGTCCTCAACTTCGTCATGATCTTCCTCGCCCCGCTTGCCGTGTCCTCCCGACACCCACGGAGCATCAAAGCCTGGGCCGCAGAATACAACAACGGCCACCCGCCCGCGGGCAAGCCACCCCACCGCCGATGCACCTTCATCTGGTTCCGTGCGCTGCCCATGCTGATTCTGACATTTTTCACCGCGCTCGTGACAATCGTCGGGTCAGCCGTCGCGACCGTTATGTTCGAGATCTTCGCCAATGTCTTCGCAACCGCCGATCCGAGCATCAACATCCGGGCGCATGTCGGTACCCAGATGATGGTCTTTATGTGGATCGCTTCGGGTTTCAGTTTGTTCGCTTTCATCCTTCAGCTTGGCTCTTGCTGCGCGGCTTGCTGCCGTGGCGGCAAGGCGCGCAAGCAACTCAAGTCGGAGGGTGTCAACTGGCGCGAGAAGGGTTCTCTTTCCCCCGTTGCGGCTGAATCTCGCGGTGTCTCGTCCTGCCGAGATGCTGCTGGTCTCCCCGAGGATGGTTCCGGGTCTAGTGGTCATGCGTTTTCGAATGAACATGAGCGGAAGCTGATCAATGGGCATGCTCCGACCCAGCATCATTCTTCGACTGAACCTCATGCAATCTCTACCTGATCTCGATCGCCATTTCCCTCAATTTTAGTCATATCCTTACCCTCCTCTCCGGATTCATTCTCCTTTCTACCATTCTCATCATCTTTGGGGTGTTTTTTTTTTGCCAATACCCACCAACACTGTGCCATAGTGCTCCCATTTCTGGGCATTTACCATATTTTATCTACCATTATCTACTTAGGTACGATTTTACGATTCGACTGCGAAGAACTAGAGGCTCGACATTTCTTGTTTATTACAATATCCATCTCACGAAACTTGTTTATTGGATGTCGATTGAGTAGAAATATATAAATTCTGCTCTTAATTTTTCCACTGCTTCTTTTCCCTTCCCCGCATTGGCTACGTCACAGAGCCGTCGTAAGCTCCAAGTCTTTGCCACGATCCCAAGTCCCTCTGTTGAGTTCTGATTCGTTCATTCGCATCCAACCGATTACCTCCCCCACTTATAGATAGGCGTATCTCCACTATAGCTTCCTCATACACATTATATTACAACCTATCACACAGATCAGCCATAACCGAAGCGCACATCAAACACCTAATCCGTACTACGTATTCGCAATCGACCCGACCAATTGATCAACCATGCCTTGGCAACCAAGGATAACCCAAAATCCCGAAAGGACCCCGGGGACCCTGATCGGGTCGATCGATTCGATCGACAGTAGAGCAATCACCACACCAAAACGGAACAAGCCCTAGGTGAAAAACACCCCGAGGCATTAGTCGAGAAGGTACAAAGACCTTCAAGTTAGTATCTATGTGCTGAATCTCATATTATACGGAGTCCAATGGAATTCTGCGCTCAGGGTCGGGTCAGGGTCGGGAGTGCCGTCACCCGCATCCCCGATAATACCATATTGATGCTGCTATTCCTGGAGAACTGCATATCTGCGCATTGTCTGTTATCAGCACTAGATTCATACAACAGAATCTGTTCGCTAATTGTTCTATCGTTCGAGGCGCAAAACTAGTCCAGTGGAGAGGCGGCACACATCCACTCTATCTCTGGCCCGTCTGGGCTATTGCTGATCCTTCTACATACGTATCTCGTACCAATACTCCGTGGACTTGGCATCGATGGTGGATTTGCCACGATAGGTGGTGCGCAATCGAAAAATCGTGGCTGTAGGTTCCATGGTCGGATACCTGGTAGTTCATCACCCAGGCAAAACCTTCCAAGGCTGCATATATGAGAATGGGTATTCATGGATGTAATTCTCTGTCTTTCAATTTCCCGAGGTCAACACAATCTGACGAATACAAAATAATACACAGTGACGTGGATCTTGACCACGTAGTTTTCACTCTGCCACTGTAAGGCTCTTGTGGTGATTGGTCTCGAAGACACAACTGCTGAGGAGCGGGTAAAGCCTTGGGGGTAAGCTTGCCCTGCCCGTGAAAGACGGCAAGCCCTACGTATCTAGACTGGGCATGCGGGGCCCCTTCTGATTGGGGTGAACCCACAAAAAGCGCCACGATGAGAAGTGGAGACTCCACTCAGTATGCAACGTCCAACATGCATCCTGATATGCCTAACTCATTCAATCGCTTTGCTGGTTATTAGTTGAGAGCAGGGAATATATCACGCTGCAGAAGCTGGCTTCTCGATGAATTTCGCCGCAAGGCTGTGCCCGGCGCTGTACTGTGAGGCCGCAGGGGCAGAAGACGCAGGAACTTGGGGGACTAGCTGGACGAGTCTGGCCGCTGTGGTCGAACTTGAGGTTGCCATGATAATATGGTTCTCGGCATAAGCGAGCTGAACGTTCAAGACCGTTGTATGGTTCAAATGGATCTACTATATAGTTACTTTCTATCCTTATATCCCAACCACATCCGGATCCCGGCAAGGTCGCCCGTCTCGGGAGCCGGGTCCAGACCTAACTTAGAGGCTCTGTTGGAAGCGGGGGCCAATCTATACGCCCTAGACTATCTAAAGTAGCTGGTATATGTGTCACCTTTGTGATACAATCGCCTAGAAAGGAATAACCCCCGAATAGCCTATTACTACAAAAACAGACACCGGAGTGCAGAGAAGTCTAGCAGCGCGCCAAGGCCTGGCGCGCCGAGCTGCAACGTGCGTGACACAGACCTCGTCAATACCGTTATCGAGGATATCGCCACGGGCGCCGTATACATAGATGACCTAGGTAGTCGCGGCAGCCGCAATCCAGGGGTAGAGAGATATACTACCGCTATGGTGTGAGGATGCAGTCGATTGAATTGGAGAATTGTTCTCTATTATCCCTTAGGCCTAACTAGCGTGATCTTTCTACAGCAGCTACTATCTATCTGCGCATCGAATACCATACGCTGTGAGATTACAGACATCATAGATTGATTGATAGATACTCGGTATCGGGAGAAACAGGTGGGATATTAGGGAAGATGCAATCACATTGCGCAACAAATGCCAAAGCACACAGACGCAGAGAATAGAGGGGGAAATCAATTTCAAAGGTCAAGTATAGATTCTGGACACAAATAGATAAAAACGACATGCACAGAAGTGATCAAACCCATGCTCACCACCCGAAGATGTGGACAATAAAATAGCTCCAGTCAATGAGAAAGGAAGATCAAGGAAATAAACAGGGTATCGATATGGAATAAAAATAAAGCCAGGTGAGACCGAAATAAGCACGCAAGCCCCAGAGAAAAATCACAAAATCAAGATGAGAAAAGAAGAGAACTACTCGTACTGACATGGATGCATGAAGTAATGACAACGCAAGAAAAATCGAGGAAGGAAAAAAAAAAAAATCATGAGCCCGTTCTCGTTCACTCCTAGTACGCCGACTGATCGGTCCCCGTATTGATACGCCGTGTATGCAAAGGTCAAGCTCGAATGACCCAATAAGAAAGGCAAAAACGAGCCATCTAGCCCATCTCCATGCCGTACTCGTCCTCCTCCTTGAAGCTCATAGCAGCATGGCCAGCACTGTTCCAGTACTGCGGCTGACCAGCGCCGTTGGCACTGCTAGTACCGCTGTGGAACGAAGGACTCAGGCTCGGAGGTGTCAGGCCGGACATGTCGCCGCCCTGCACGGCATCGCCGGCAATGTTAGTGTGCTTGGGTACGCGTAAACCGCTACCCGGTCCGCGAGTGTAGCTGAAGGAAGTTGGGTCATTCCTCTCCAGTGCATCGAGGATCTCGCTGCGCATGCGCTTCTCCTCTTCGGTTTGCTCGAAGGGCCAAGTTCCACCCAGGCTGCCGATCAGCTCGGCGAGTTCCGCTTCTTGCTGGTATTTGACATGTAGGGCCCACATCAGATCGCGAGTCCAGCTGACGGCACCGTTGAGTATGTCACCCTTGTTAGGACCTTTCTCCTTTTCTTCGATTGGGAGACCCATTGTGATGTTACCCGCCGTCGCACGGCGACCGTTGCCTCCAGCGAGGAGAGACGTGGCGGCACTTCCACCTGCACCGGCCATGGAAAGAGCGGTGTTGTTCACAAGTTGCTTCCGGACCTTGTCGTCTTCTAGTCTGTGCTGAGGAACCAGGTGGGAGAGATCCTGAATGCGTTCGTTGATATTGTCACGTCGGCGGCGTTCTACCAGGTTATGCGAGGCGCGGCGACGTCGGCGCTTGGCTTCTTGTGATTCGAGATCTCCCCCGCCACCAGGGAGATGCGCGTCAACCTTGGCGGGCAGTGAGGCGTGCTTCCCAGACTTGAGGATCTCGGAAATGCCGGTGTGGTGCGATTGGTGGGGAGGAGATGAGATAGGAGAGGATTCGACGTAAGACTGTGCGCTGCCGGGAGTTCCATCCCACTGGTTGGATAGGGTTTTCTGGTGACGAGCCTGCAGGCCGGTCCGGATAGGCTGGGACGGGAAGCTGCCAGACTCAGGGGTACCCAATGTCAAGGAACCCAGTGCGGGTGTCTTTGGGGTCATGGGGCTGCGGCCGTCAGATGAGGTACGGTCCATGCCTTGCAAGCTCTGGCGCTTGGTGCCGAGGTAGTTCTGGTCGAAAGAGCTGGCATGGATGTGGGGATTTTGCTGGTTCATGCGATACTGCTCATAGTTGAAGCTGTTTTGGACGAACGGGCTGGCCATGGGAGCATTATCTGGGGTGTTGGAGTACATATGCGACATCTGACTTTGGTGACTCATCGCGATACCACCAGCAGACTGGTCTTGAAGATAATTCACATTGTCGCGCTGATGACCGTTTTGACCGCTGATCTCGAGATCCAACAACTCGTCTGTATCGATGCCGGAGTTTCCGAAGTTAAAGCTGGATGACATGTTCTGTTGCGAGCCGTAGGAGTAGGGCATGAAGCCATTCTGCTGCTGCATGTTCAAGTCGGACGGATCGATCGCATCGTTGGGGAATTGGTTACCCATCGAGTAACCGGAGTGTGACATGATGAAAGGGGTGTAGTCGTCGGATTCGTGTTTGATGAAGAGACTCGCTTCAGCCATAGCCTGGTGAAACAATATGGGGGTTTGAAAATGGGGCGGAGATCGGCGAGGGGCTAAGGGAGGAGTCGTGGTGCCGATCCTACTGACTCTCCGCGACAGTTGTCAAAAGTTAGGCGATCCGAGATGCCCGATAATGAAGAATATTGGATGAGGTGGGGATGTGAGAATGTCACGATCTGTGTGCATGGAAAAGATGTTAGTCAAGACTCGACCCCGCCCGTAGGCGACTTGAAGATGTCGTGGCCTCCGTGCGCAAGGCAACAGGCAACCCAACAAAATGCAAAATAGAAAGTGAAAAAAGGAATGTGAATAATTACCCTTGAAACAATGAGGATTGGAAGAATGAAGTCCGGGGAGACTGTGAGACGTGCCAATAAGCCGGGGGAATTTCCTCGGTCTTAAACCCGGGATGGGTGCAGATCTCGACCACAAAGGTGTCTTGAAGAAATCGCAAGGCACAAGGTGTAAGGTGTAAAGTGATAGTATCTTGGAGAAGTTCTATAGAACTTTGTAAGTGATGAAAGAGAAAGAAATAAAGCTGAGTAGTGCGCAAATGCGAGGAATGAAAGAGAACCGGGGACCAGGAAGAAGAAAAGAGATCAAAAGACCAGAGACGAGCAGGGAATGAACCAAGCTCAAATCAGGTACTCCCAGCTGAACTCGGTTGATCCCAGTTGATCCCAGTTGGAGTATTTGATCCCAGTTATCCTTTGCAGATGTAAAAAGTCTGGAGAAGAAACAAGCGGTGGGAAGGCGGTGAGATGGCGATCTATGGAATTTTTTTGTCGAGAACGTTGGCCTCGGTATCATATAGTTCGTAGTTCATACTTCACCCGAAGTTGTATATTGGCCACATTGGATTTGAGTATCTCTTGCGCCTTGACCCCCCGGGTTTGCTCAGGATTTGATGCCCACGCTCGGATTGCAATCGGAATACGAGTTGATGCAAGCGCTTACTTCTTAATAACAAAAGAAAAGGACATGCTTGGGCTTGGGTTTGAGGCTGATGAAATGTAGGACCTACCAAGTGAAGAAGCGTATGCGAAGTCGGTGTATGTAAGTATACTTAGGTAGACTGAGGTATAAACCTGTGTTGAGGTTAGTGAAAGATCAAGAGTATACATCCCAAGACATCTCAATAAGCATGCAGGTCCAGACATGTAAGACATATCAGCAGAGCCCCGTTCACACGTGGGCACCTGGCGACAAGACATATATCACAGATGCAGGAACGAAGGGGATATGTGATATATGAGAAGGAACTTGACACGTACCTTGATCTGTATGCTAAACTAGGAGTTCACGGGGCATAAAGTCTTCACAAATCAGAAGTTCGAGAGCAGAAGTGCAGTGACAACTCAGAGGAAAGCTCTTGCTGGTTTCGCAGACGGACACCGAGGGGATGGAGACTTTATGAACTCAAGCGGCGCTCTCCTGCATCTCTCATTTGATATATTACAGCATCGGTCATGCAGCCCGTCGATCGGTGGGAATCGATGAGATTCACCTACGCCATCGGACATGGATTTTTATTTTTATTTTAGAATTAAGTTGACTACTACCATCTGGATCAGAAGGGAAAAAGGGCGTGTGTGAGTGTAAATGGATGTGAGTGGATATTGGGTGAAGGAGGGGTGGCAACGGTAAACCCCCGAGCCTCTTTTGTGTTTTTCTTCTTCGTACTATACATAGATAATAATAATAATAATAAAGGGAAATACTAAAGGAAAAAAACATTATCATATTCACAACCCAAAATAAAAAACATACTTGGGCAAAGGGGGGAAGGGTGATACGGCCGGATCAAGTAAAACGGCTATCCCATGATACACATTGGTATATTTGTCACCTGTTACTGCAATCATGACTCACGGATGTCTTGAATAGAGCAAGCAGGAATGTATCAGATGAGATTTTGGGGTTACAAGCATACCGAAACCTATCTTCTCAGAAACCCTTATCTATCATTCAGAGTGGGAGTTTTGCAGCGTATATTCAAGATTCCCGAACGAGGCCATGTGGATATGGTTGAGCTACATTAACAATGCAGAGTACTAGCACTCAAGATGCCGGAGATGGTATAGATCGGCTAGCAACCGTAAATGACTACGAGTCGCAAATATCATCCGGAGAACCTAACATGCATAATCCCATTACCTTGGCAATACCAGAGATAGACAAGATTGGACAAGATCCTAGTGTATATGCGAAAGAAAAGCATAAAAGAGGAAAGAGGAAAGAGAAAAAGAACAAAGAATAACACAGACCACATCCATAAGCACTAGTATCAACTCTGCAAGAGCATCTGTGCGGTCTACTCTTCATGTGGGATGTCGTGCAGAGGAGTCTGGAGTGACGATCATATCCGCACTGTGATCGTCAAGGGAGCTTGGACCTTCATCTTCCTCCGCTCTGACTACGCACTTAGCCTTGAGTCTCTTCTTTGGTTTATTTTTGTTCTACGTAGGAGGCGGACTTGTGGTTGTTGATCTAGGATACAGCGGCAAAGGGAATAATGTTATAGTTCAATATTTGGAACTCTACAGAATGTTCAAGGCAGTCAGTAACTTCGGACTTCGGACTTAACTGTCCGGCCTTTATCGGAAGCAAAAAGTAGAATGGTAGAATACGCAGAAAGACAATTGGAGGGGTTGGAATGTGTCTAAGACCCTCCACCAATAGTGAATCAAAGCAATACACCTCGCTTTGGTATGACTGTGCTAAGCCACATCGCCAAACTTTCCCCTCTTTGAGAGCCACTCTAGTTTAGGGGATCATAGTATGCTGAGATCGACGGATGGGGACTGATCTCCGAGATTTGAGTGGAAATGGATCTGACGTCCCGTCCCGTCAAGGTTCAGCTATACACTAGTAATCCACGGTCGACGCAAGGGAGAGGAGTTGTATCCAACGATCTACTTTGGTGGTATTCAATACACGATGTTGAGACTATCTATCTCTTACTCAAAGTACCCGTGCACAGGACCCTGACATGACGACATCGTACGTGGTTAAGGTCGCACTCCATTCCGGGGTCACGGATAAACTGCCTCGTGTGCGTCGAGGACATCCTACAGAGTATGTCTGAAAAAGCAAGAGAAAACAGGGAAACTGAAAAAGCCAAAGCAGAACCCAAATTTGGAGAAACAATGAGGCTAGTGATAATGTTACCCACGGTGCAGTCCGGATGCATATTAGTGCCCTTATGGTTATCGGATAATTCCCCTACGTGGTACACGGGTAGCTACATAAATACAGTCAACAGGGAAAGGTTATATAATGGGTATGCAACATCATCTGTCTGGAGTTCTTCCGATACGACTAGCGGCAACTATAGCCGTTATACCGTTATTGATAGATGCTTCTGCAGGGCTGTCCAATACAACAACTTTGCCGCCACTCTACTGTTACAGTTACGGCCGATCGCTACAGGGTGCGCACCAGCCATGAAGGATCGACAGTGGGACGGCAACTAATGATTAGAAGTTGCAGAAAGAGCGGGGGCACTATCAATAATGGTCATGAGTCTAGATCGGGTATAGTAAAGAATAGACTATTATTATAGTGCAAATTAATATTATAGTAAGTCAGTCATATGGCAATCACATTCAAAGCATGTCGATTTGTTTATGCAACAAAAACCTCTAGGGGAGTACAGACTATAGTTCTACATGTCTTTAGGGGATTTAACCCTACAGTAGGTATAGCGCAAAGGAAAGAAATATGGATAATTATACAATGTTATAATAACCTAAAAACGACTAAGAATAGATAGTAATCTATATTCAATAATACACAAAGTCGCTGTAGCTGGGTTATATACTTGCTACATATTGGATCACGCTATACCCCATTGGGAACTAGCCTCCTTTCCCCGACTTCATTGCAGAACTGGGAACTGCCACTATACAACTATACCTCTACACGCCACATAGGCAACATTTCACCCTCTTGGTAAGTGACATGTATTTCTTTCATTCCCCTGGTTATAATCCTATGGGGGGATAATCCTGGTCAATAACCCCACAGGGCTCGGTCCGAGAGCTTTGTACCCAAACACTGGAAACCATCATCATCTGACAGTTTCAGCACTTAACGCCGATCGGGTTGGTCACATCGGTAGCTTCACGCCATCTCGTCATTTTGCTTGGTTCCCCTCGTCTTTATACCCTCCTTTCTCGATAGCGCTGCGCTTCCTTGTCCAATCAGCACTCCCTACGCTGTGTTCGCTTCCCATCCCTTCTCGGATTGTGCCCGCAAGGTTCAAGCTTTCCACCTATCTTCCGTTTGGTTGGCTTATCTCGCCACATTTTTGAACGGCGTACCCTCGATTGCGATACACTTGCGCCGCGCCAGAGGAATCCCAAGCTACCCCGGTAGCCATCGCCAGCTCCGCAGAGATAGCTGCAGATCCCGTTGGGCTGACGCCTTATCACTGTGCAATAGACAGACTTTTCTTGGTCGCGGAGATTGTCCATAAAGTTTATCTGCCAGCGTGCTATTCAAAGCCTTTGATCTTTCGATCTTGACCGGCATATCTCCGAGTCGGAGAACTTTCCTGGAAAGTAGGCCCGTTCGAACCCAGTCACGGCGTGTCCCAGCTCATCAGAAGCCGGATCCACATTCGACACAGTCGTCATCTGCTTCTCTGTTGGCTTGAGCAAGTCCCCACCTCTAGCCAATCCTTACGGATCATCCACCACCCGCGCAGATCATCTGCACTCCATCTCGCATAGTCCCTGCAGAGTGTTCTCTTGTCTTGACTTCCTAGACTACGGGCCTTTTCTGCAGACGCAGTAGTGCACGTACCTCTACTCGTTTTATTTGGGATCTAAAACTCGACTAAAATCTGACTTAAATTAGTCTCAAACATGGCGAATAACTCGTTCCGAGACTCTGTCAACTCACTGGGATGGTCGCGTAGAGACCCGGATCTCCCCGTGCAAACTGGCGCGTCATCGAACACCCCATTCTTATCTCGTCTACAGTCTTACAACCCCTTCGGCGAAGGGGGTTATGTTCAACTGCCCACTCACAATGAAGGTCCTGGGGCCCCGTTGCCGGCACCAACTCGACGGGAAGAAGAAGAGGGATTCTTTGCTTGTAAGTATTTTATTGTCTGTCTTGTGATCCCCCGCTTCCCAGATCTTCCCGTACCCCGTTGCATAAGGTCCAGGTGATGAGACTGCAGTTCCTGCGCCGGCAGGATTCATTACCACCATTTGCAAGTCGATAAATGAAGAGAGAAAATCACTAACATGGACTGTGTATAGTGAGTCGGTGGGATCGCATGCTCATCTTTGGTGCATGTAATTTGGGCGCAGCCATCTGTTTCATGATCTGCTTCTTCTTGTTCCCTGTCTTGTCACTCAAGCCCCGCAAATTCGCGGTCTTGTAAGTTGCCTCCGCGATGGTCCGCATTAATGTGGGCTATGTTTTCCGGCTTTCTATGGCCCTTCCAGCTTTATTTCCTTTTTTCCCCGGCTATCTCATGCTCTCGGACGACCGAGCAAATCCCGAGCTAGGATAGACCAGGTCATCGGTCAATTTTGGTTAGGGCCATGTGCGCCTTTGTACTTCACACTGGAAGCTGATTGGCCTTGATTGACCTATATCTGCGCCTCATGCCAAGAACATTCGTCTCTGGTCTTGGATATCTCTTGCTAACAGGTTTCTTTATTAGATGGTCCGTCGGCTCAGTCTTGTTTTTGCTATCATGGGCGGTTCTCATGGGACCGTGGACTTACGCTAAGCATTTGGTCTCGGGGACACGGTTGCCATTCACAGCGGCCTATTTTGGATCGATCGCCCTCACGCTCTACTTCGCTATCGGGGTAAGTAAAATCGATTTCTTTATCTTTCTTTTTTCGTTTTCGTTTTCGGATTTGGATTTTGTGTTTGATCTTTACGCTTTACCTCGTTGTGCGCCGACGATCCTTCCTCTCCTCATGATACTCCCCTCTGCATTTGCTTGTTTGTCGCACACTCGCTCTCCCTCTCTCTATCCTAGTCCGTCTTGTCGCACTGCACAACCGGGAAAAGGGGAATTTTGCAACCTTCACACCCATCGCGCAGTACAACCTGAATCCACGGCTTGTCATGCCTGTTGTTGGCCGCAGCTACTTTGGATCCTTCGAATTTATCACACTCTGCGCTCGGCCGTCCTCTCTACTCTAACTCTTGCGTCTGTGCCACGTCCCACCACGGTGCGGGACTTGGATGTCCTTTCCCTTACTTCACCTTGTCCAACACCTACCGGTGTCACAGAGCGCGGAGTCCAGAGCATCGAGATCAACCTGTGTCTCACCGTCCCTGGCTATCAAGTCATCTTGTTCTATCCGCATATCACAACTACACACCATCCACTTGCCGCATTCGGCAAAACATCCTCTTCTGGAAACTCATGCTGACTTCTTCTTTTCGGTGCATTCTAGCGTCAGAACCTCTTCCTCACTCTGATCTTCTCGATCTTTCAGCTCGCGGCCCTCGTCTGGTACCTCGTCAGCTATTTCCCCATGGGCAGTACCGGCCTGCAGTACGTGGGTCGTTTCGGAGCATCGCGTGTCACCGCTTGGGTCAGTGGTTAATTTGTTCACTTGCTCGTATCTGATATCCTGCTCTTTGTCGGCTCTCACATATATCGAACGGTATACTCGTTGTTGCTTCGATAACGGGCGTGGTTTGGGCTATTTGTTGTGTATATGTAGCTAGCCAGAACTACAGTGTTTGGCACTTTGATTTCATTTTTTCCCTCCAAATACTTACCTTTGCGTGTGGACTTCGTCTCTTGGTAGCACAGCACTGAATATTAATATCAGAAAATGGGACCTTGTAGGTTACTAGTGCATATATCGGACTTCAGGCTACGCTTGATGGGTTTCCCTTTCCGCTTTAGTGTTCAGCTCTTGCCGCTTTTTGACCTCTCAAGTGAACTGGGGGACGTTCCTAATCACACTCAGGCATTACCTAGTATCAGAGATAAACTACCTGAGACCTAATCTTAGAAGCGAAGTAAATATGAATAGTAAAAATCCATTTGATATCAAAGCTAGCTTAACGAATAAGAATGAGGACACGCAGGCATAAGATCTACAGGTAATGCAAGCAGCACCGTAAAATGCAATCCAGCAAAGTCATAGTAATAGTCATAGTCAGCACGAAAGAAATCAAGCCCCAGGTTCAACGACCACTCTGTTTCATCTTCTCAGTCATTCACATTGAAAAGTCCCCTTCAATACTTCCCCCGACTCATGACCAACCCAACAACACCATCAACAACCTTAACACCCTCGACCTCCGCCTCAAAAATCCCCGTCTCACCACCAGACCCGACCTCAACCCACCGCCGCAGTAAATCATTACTCTCCTTCGGCTTAACATCTGGCGCCACCGTGCCGACCGTGATATGCGGAATAGAATTCGCACACGGCCATTCAGCCGCACCGGTCTCTGTCTCAACGCCCTCGGCAGGCAGGATGCGCGCGACAAAGGCCATGATGCGGTTGTCCCAGACGAGACGCTCGATGCGCACACGCGCGGAGCCCAGGGCTGGCGGGTACTGGGCTGGATTTTGGACGGGGTTTTTGGTCTGGGTGTCGATGTAGCAGTTTGCTAGCTGGTCCCAGATCTCTGGGTTGTCTTTCTTCGAGGCGCGGTGGATGAGGGTTACGTGGAAGGTTGGTTGGAGACGGCGGGAGTTTACGAGTTGATTGTAGAGACGGGCTGTTTCGGGGGCTGTTGTTGGCCGGAAGAGGGAGTGCAGGATTGAGGTTATTTCGGTGGTTGGGAGGGAGATGTTGAAGTATTCGATCTTTTTGGAGAGGGCTTCTGGTGAGAAGGGGGAGTCTGTTGGTTCGGGAAGGAGGGGGCCGGGTTCTTGACTCTTGGTCTTTTTCTTTGGCTTCTGTGGAGCGCCGTAGCTGTAGCTGAGATCCTTTGTCACGGTATAGTCGTTTAGGGAGGCGTCGATGGCTTCGTCCAGCTCTGCTGCCGTTGGCATGGTTGGAACTAGGCGGGGGTAGGCGGCGTGTAGGGCTCTGACGACTGTTTCGAGGTTCTCGCGAGAGGAGGCGCACACGTCGAGGTCAATGACGTGATCGAAGACCTGGTCTGGCAAGCGGGTGGTGTCGACGCCTTCGAAGCGGCCGAGGAATCCCTCCATGATTCCGACGGTCTCTTCTCGGGCGTTGGTGCCAGCCCGGATGGATTGGTGATTGTCGCCACGCTCTAGCACACGCTTTCGAGTGACTTCTCGAATGGCGGGAAGCATGTCTGCCTTGGGCTCGTGAACCCAATGCAGAGCGACGAACTGCGCATCCGGAAGCACGGGGTAGATATCGTCCATGAGCTGCTTCCGCTCGCGCCGTTGATGGTTGTTGCGATCGGCGATTACAACACTATGCTCTCCTAGAGCATGGCTAATCTCGAAAGCGAACTTCTGTGCCTTGTTCCTCTGTTTGGGAATGTTGTCGTTCTGAACATGTCCCCATCCGAAGAGCTTAACCAGAGCCAAGGCGACTGTCGTCTTTCCACATCCCAGCGAGGCAACCGGTGCGAGGATGACATGTTTGTTGACATCCAGAGATTCGTTCAGCCTTTTAGCCTCTAGAGCGATAAGCTCGGATCCATTCATTCCTCGTTCTTTGAGGAACTCATCCCGCAAAGCGATGATACCGTGGTTATTCAGGTAATCATTTGCCATGTCAGGGTTCCTCAGCAGAGTCCGTCGAGCGAACTGCAAGTACTCTTCAGTGACCTTCTCATGCTTCTTGATCTTGGGGTGTTTCCCCCTGATAACGGATTTGGTGCATTCACGCCACTGGCGGTACATCAAGTACGGCTCTTCGAACTTATACTTGAAGAACCAATTCCGGTAGGGTTCAGTTCCGTTATCGCTCAGCTGGCATCGGATGACGAAGCCCTCAGTCTCACGTCCATCCCATGTTCCTGTCTCCGCGCATCCTTCTAGGAAGTTCTGCACCCTGAAGATGTCATCAAATACCTCGAACTTGGCCTTCTTGAATCCCCAGTCGTCAGCAAACTTATGCACCTTGTCACAAGACATTGTCTGAAAATCAGGCTGGTTGTAGTTGAGACCGTGGAGGTAAATGCCCGAAGAAGCCTCATCGTAGGCCAGCACATGCTCCTCAAAAGTGTCGTCGCAGAGTTCTCCAACGGCTGTGATATTCATCTCGCGCAGAGTCCGGGCAAGCTCCTTGACAGATCGATTCACGGACGAGACATGGCGTTCCACCCAACGTTCTCCTGCCTGCGCGTGGGAGACTTTCGTATCGTCGCGGGCTCCAGTCGAGTGTTTACTGCAGACTAGCAATGTGTCGTCTTCCAAAGCAGAAATGAAAATAATGCATCCATTCTCCTTTACACTCAGCTCGTAGGGACCCCTTGTGTTTTTCTCAATGTTGCGCCATTCTGTGTTCTTTGTCTCGCCTACGTTGAAGAACTTGTCGTATCCGCGCGTTGCGATTTCGGGGGTGTTGTCCTTCCGTTTGGTGGTGAAAAGACCTCGCGCATATGTCGGCAGGCCGGCCTGCTTGTAGTCCCAGTCCTGGAACTTCCACGAGTCCACAATAACATTATTGGCTAGCACAAAGGTGTGCTTTTTGCAGGTGAACCTTAGCTGGCCCTTTCTAGCTTTGCGAGCAGTCTCCAGGCTTTTCACCAGCTGTGAGATGACGTGCGGATCTTGAGTCGCCATTTCTTGTGAGTTGGGTATATCAAAGTGTGAGATCTGCACGGAGAGGAGGGGCAGCCAAGAGTGGGGGAAGAGAAAAGGTGGGATATTTTTACCGACCTCCCACCCAAGAATTCAGGAGTATTTAGAGAAAAACGCAGAATAAAGCATAAAAGAAAGGAGTACAGAAAAGATCAGACGAAGAGTCAGACCGAATGTGTCAGATCAGGTGCGGGGAGCCGAAAGGGAAAGGCGGGATATTTTCTTTTTCAGCTTTGACTTGCCTGAACATCACCAACTACTTCTGACTCACCTAATTTACGAGTTTTAATCAATACTTCTGACTCATGGCTCAAAATCCTTACCTATTGGCCTGCGACAACCCAAAGGTTCTTCTGGACCTGCTGCGGTCCAATCCTTCGATCGCATCGAGCCAGGATGAGTCCGGCTACTCATTGCTGCACGCCGCAGCCTCCTACGGCCATACCGATCTCCTACGCGCTCTAGTGAAAGAATTCAATGTCAACGTCAACCTGCTCGACGAAGATGGCGAGACATGTCTATTTGTGGTCGAGAACAGTGACATTGCGCGCTGCTTAATCGAGGAGCTGGGTGTGGACGCCAATAAGAAGAACGCCGAGGACTTGACAGCCGTGGAAAAGTTTGAGACAGAAAATGAGTTCCCGCAGGTCGCTGCCTACCTCCGCGAAGTCGTCGGTGGTGCTCCCGCTCCAACACACGCCCAGGCCGCAGAAGTTTTGAATTCGCCCGGACCCATCCCTGGCAGCAATATGAAGGTGAACATTGGTACAATGACGGAAGAAGAGGCAAATGCTGGTGGTGAGCCTGATCCAGAATTCAAGAGGCGCATTGAGGAGCTTGCTGCTCGTGAGGATTATTACAGCGAGGAGGTGCAAAATGAGGTGCGCGAGTTGGTCAAGGATGCCATGGCCGGCTCCAATATTGAAGCTATGGAACGGGAAATTCGGAGGAGAACCGAGTAAGCAGAAGCATTGCGACTGTTCCAACATCTACATGAAGCCACCATCGCTTTTGAACATGCGAATCACTGGAAGAAATCCACCCAAGCAATACCACCCCGAGTCCCAAAGTCTCTGCTGATTACATCGAGCGCGGACGGGTACTCTGCCGTGTCTTCGGGATCCTTTGTGTCTCACTTGAAGTTTTGGGTCGCGCTGTGAAGGGTCGCTGTTAGACTCGCTGTTGGCCCTTGGGGCTTATCCAAGTGGCTCGGAGGCCGAAGAGAAGCTCCGATATGATCTTGTAACTAGGATTGAATCACGAAATATCACGATACATCCATTGAAGCAATTAGCGCAAGATACTTACTTGTTAATTGGAGATCATACTAGTTATTATGTTGATGCAACTGCGTAGATCACCGGTCTAGTCCGCCAAGCTCGAGCCCATCCCGCATCTCCAACGTAACAACTAGCTTCCTACCTACAACAACCCCCAACATTATATCATGGCTCAACCACCGTCTCCTTTCCCTCCACAATCGCAGTTCTACTCATCCCAAATAATGAATCCCGAGACACCTCCTCTACCACCTCCAAAACCCAACAGCCACGAAGCCAGTCGAGGCGGCACCCCGCAAAATACCTCTGCACAAGCCTGGCAGCCAGACAACCAGACAGGCGCACACCAAGGCGCATATCCCAATAATCCCCAACAACTCTATATCCCCGATCCCCCAACAATCGAGGAGGGCTGGCTCCCAGAACTGCTATCAGACAAGTCGTGGGTTCCCTCAACCTTCAAACCCCTAAAACCAATGACAACACCTCTAACGCGCACAAACCCAGAACAACCGACCTCCAGACAATTATCAAAGACCCAAGCCTGATATCCGCCCTCTCAAGCCAACACGCCTCCTATACAGCCCGCCAACAACACCTCGAGAGCCTAATCCAGACCAACAAAGAGCTCGCAACCCGCGTCTTAGAAATGCAGAATCACCTCGCCGAAGTCCGCGCCTCCACCGAGACGATGCTGATCACACACCAATCGCTAGAGGTCTCCTGGCGTAAGAAGCAGGCCGAGATGGATGCCGCCCTAGCCCCGTGGTCGCCGAAGGCGCTATACCAGCGCTTCAGCGCGGCGATCACGGAGCAGGAAGCCGTCTGCCATGCTGTTGAAGAGAGTTTCCTCGACGAAGATCATCACGGCCGAGCCACAGAGAAGGAGATTGCAGATTGGGTCCGGCGCGTACGGGGCGAGGCATCCAAGTTGGCGGCTCGCAAAGAGGCCAAGGCACGGTGGGATGAGGGTCGAGTTGGGGGTTGGCGATGAGGTCCAAACGCAACCTCAAGATACAAATATTTACTGTCTGACTGCCATTTACGATGCCATGCTGCCTCCGATTCATGATCTGTTTATTATGCACTATACAATGCAATCTACACGGTGCTTCAAGGTCTTGCTTCATCCGAATCACGCTTAAACCAATTCCAGGAATCAATCGTCCACTCACCCCTCACCCCTCATGCCTAACAGCCTCACTCTCACTACTCTCCGGCTTGATACGTCCCTGTGCCTGCCCCCTAAACACCATATCCCGCACCGCAGCCGCACCCTCAACATCCACATCCAAACCCCGCTCATCGGCCCACCCATCAGTGCCCAGAGAACTCGGAAAGCCAACCCCCCGCACAAAAGCGCGTCTCCGACTGCGCGCACCCCAAGCCCAGCCGCCACCGCGCCGAATCGGAAGATGGTACATGTTAAACGCGATATAAGCGAAGAAAAGGCCGATCGCCGCGCCGAAGAGAATATCAAAGCCATTATGTCTGTAATTGAACCAGCGCGACCCAGCAATAAAGCATGCCGTGGCAGTCGGGAAGAACGCAATCAGCATTAGGTAGACGGGCGGCGCGGCGCCGCGTTTCCGCACGGATAAACTATCATCGCTGTAGCTCTGGTCTTCAATCGGGTAGCGCGGGAGATAAGGAAATGCGACGGAGAATTTCGAGCAGAGCCAGAGGGTTAGGTAAATTAAGCCGGCGAAGGAGACTGGATTGTGTTAGCTAGGATTCGAATTTATGTTTGCGTACTGTATGTTGTCACTGTAATTACGCGTCGGAGCACACCGAAGATGATATGCACGTAAACAGTTAGAGTAAATATGGACTCACAAGAAGAATGCCCACTCGGAAAACTCGCAAAGCCATCAATGCGCAACGAACTACTCCTGTCGCGACAAATCTCCCACGAAACAAGCGTCGCCGCACCCCGCACCGACTCCCCAAGCCCGCCAACTGTGAACTCCGCAATGCGCGCTACGTCTGGATTGCAGCGCGCGAGAAGATCAGGTCGCGGCTTTCCGATTAAGGCCTTCAGACCCTGGGTAGCGGTCCAGGTGCTTGCGAGGGCCAGCGCGAGCCCCATCCAGCCGACGTTCCATTCCCAGAATTTGCGGCGGATATATTGCGCTGCGGGGGATTTAGAAGAGCCGGGGTTAGAGGTGGAGGTGGAGGAGGTGGCCTTCGCTGGGACGAGTAGCCATGAGAACAGGAGGATTATAATAGCCGGGGCGAAGAGGCAGACTAGGAGCAGGGTTTTGGTTGTTACGGTTTCTTTGGTGAGGGGGTAGCTGATTGTTGGATCGGTTAAGCTGAAGGGGTGGTGGTTTGGAGGTTGTTTGTAGAAGCCATAGCCGATTAGGGCGATGCCGCTGGTCGGGGGTCGTTAATTGGGATTTTGATGGGTTCAATGGGTTGGACGCACATGATGAATATCCAGTCGATTATGTAGGATAGTACTAGAAGCTTGGAAATAGCTGCGAGGCGTGTCACTGTCTCTTTGACGGAGATTGGCATGGTCGTGTGTGATACGTAATTAGGAAGGAAATGTTAAAAAAAATAAAATGAAGTTCAAGAAAGAACGTTGGAAAAAGTACATAGACGGGGATGACGATGCCAGGGATGATTGTGGCGGAGTAAGAAGGTTAATTTATTTTGAATTTACTCGAACACTTCAGATATACAGTAGCAACAGTTCGAAGAGGTTGAAAGAAGATTAGATGACTCCATACTATTCATAGATAGTATCCATTGACTCCACTTTCCTATTGTTCAGGAAAGTTTATCACTAGATACAGGTTATAGCAGGAGAATGTCGAGAATTGCAGTTTTCATCAATTTCCACCAAGCGAGGTGGTTAACGCAGTTTGCTTATATACAAACTGCCTAGGAAGTGCCAAGCTCGCATGCTACGGATAGCCTCAGTCGGCCATGAGGACTTACGATCTGACCGAATAGTAGTTTCTTGGTAGTGATTCATAGAGATAGAAAGACTTCTAAACTACCCATATGCATGTAAGTAGAGCCCCCGAGATTAACAATTTCAATAATATCGAGCCAACGCCTGCAATTCCAAAGAAATAGCCAAAGAAAGATCTAGAATCCAGTAATCGTCCGGCGGCCCATGATGGCATCGTTCAGCTGTCTGTGAACCTGTTGAACCCCCTCGAACCGAATGAATCCACACGATTCACTTTCCAAGTGGTTGAACAGACTAGCCAGGGAGTGGAACTCCTTCGGACAGCCTCGCTTGAGGCAGTGGTAGACCTTCTCATTGTGGACGGGTGAGTTGACATGCGACCCCAGCGCTTTTGGCGAGTTGAACCCCTTTTTGCATAGGTAACACACCCAGCAGCTACCATTCCAGGCATTGTCGGTGACCAGGTATGTCATGTCCTGTTCATGTTCACCGTGCCACGCGATCTGCTTCTTGCAGACAATACCATTCGGATCAAGCTGTTGAATAATGCGGTGGATGCGGTCGCGGTTCAAGCCTTGAGCTTGAGGGCAGGCACCAGACTCAAGATGATGGGAGACACCGCTGGCAGTGACGAAGCCAACCCGACAGAATGGACACGCAATGTTGGTGCCGCGATGGATCTTGGAATTCAGGTGCTATGAGATAAAGACGTGAGTGGAACGGGTTCAAAGTTTCTCTCGGATCATATCAGCTCGCCTACCTGGCGCAAACAGTTCGCGTTCATAAATTGACGGCTGCATTCTTGGCAGTAGTTCTTGTAATGTCCTTTGGCGCTCATATGATTCTCCACGGCCTGCTGCGTGTAGAATTTCATCGGGCATGCCTCACATGGAACTTTCGGGAGCCAATGACTCTTCGCGTTCATATGGTTGTTAGCGGCGTGTTGAGTGCGGAAGGTGCTGTTGCAAGTTTCACAGTCGAAAGTCGGCGCCCAGTGGTCTACAGCATTCATATGCTGATTGCAAGCGTTCTGGGTGCGGAACGATCGATTGCATGTTTCACATTCGATCCAGTGACGTTCGTCATCCATATGCTCATCACAGTCATCCTGATCCCAGAATACTGCATCGCAGGTGATGCATTCGAACATGATGGACTGATGTAAAGGTAAAGAATGATATTAGAAGAAGAAGGGGAGAGAGAGAAGGATATATAGACACATCCAAGACCTTATCTCTTATCTGCTGAGCAAACGCGGCCTGTACAACACACTCCGTTTGATCGCCATCTAAAAGTACACAAAGACAACTTAGAAATTATTAGAAAGATAGTTGCGATGCATATTTTAGGTAAGTGTATAGATATGAAGCAGTATAAAGGTTGCTTAGAAGATGCGGTATCAACTACATAATGTTATGAAAGCCGTGAGAGCTAGAAACTACCCCTCAACCTCACACTTCCGGGCTTTCTGACTCCTCCCCAGGATGACTGTACTTAGGTCGCCCACTGGCAGTGCGATGGGGAAATCGACCGCTTCGAGGATCTGCGCAATGAAAATATGCCAAATCGGAAGACAGAGGGCAAAGGTGAACGCACCAGCCGCCTATTGATAAATCAGTACACATTTAATATCGAAGAGAACAATACCATATTTGCAATATACCTTTTGTAATTTGGCCGCCAGCACTAGGTTCCCCAGCGCCATCTGGAAATATATTCCTGAAAATAATCCAAATGTGATCACAAGCAGAAAGAGCGCGAGGAAGAGGCAGACGTTCGTGCGGAGGGCGCAAATTGTGTATACGAAGGTGATGAGTGCGAGAGTGACGTAGTAGAAACCTGTAATATATTCGGTCAGGACGTGCACATGTACATGATGGGGTGTGAAAGGTAAGACTCACCGACAGTTGCGCTGTATTCAGCGGTCTCCATGCCTTTCAGTGTGTTGCCATCAGACGAGTACATTGTGCCAACGGCAAAGAATGGCATGAGCGATGTTCCCTGAACCAGCCAGAATGTACCTATGAGCTCCAGTTAGCAAATGCATGGATGCGTCCCTAATCCATGACGAACTACACATACCATATGTGAAGAATAATGCGCAAGAAAATGTATTCCCTAGAATCCATTCGCCAATTGCTCCGAATATTTGTACCATTGCACCGAAGAAGATATAGACTGGTCTGTGGGAGGGAGTTGTTAGTACTGTTTTCCTTGCAGCATCAGTATGGCCTCTCTTACAAAATGGCACCACCGTTTCCACCTGCTCCTCTCCATCCCATGGTAAGCATTGCGGTCGGCGTCGCAGACAGCAAGAAACCCATCAATGAAATCGGCGTGGGATTTCCAAATGTGGAACGCAGCTTTCCTGCATTTGGCGTCTTGGGGCTAAGGTATAGCTTTTCAAAAACATCCCGTGGTATAGGAAGCATAACACTGTCGGTGGTCTGATACCGACGAAGCATTTCTGCCGTAGAGGTCTCTGGCTTGTCGCCGATAGTATCGTCGGACATTTTGGATTCAAGGGAAGGATTTTTCTTTCTTGAAAACCCTAGCAACGGCGGCTCGATGGTAATGGTGCTGATCTAACACCGGAAGACAGCGTGGAAAAGAAAATATATGAACCAGACCACGACTCGCAGCCCCTTTTATGCTCTTTCGGCTATTCAATTATTCGGCTGTATATCTAGGAACCGAGCCTCGCAGGGTCTTACCAATCTGTTACCATATAATTCTATTTTTGCAACAATTACATTCTGTATATCTTACACACCTTCTTGTTTGGAACAAAGTGCGGTGGTATTCCCCACAATCCTCAACCAAACCCCGGATTTGCTCCGTCGACTGGTAACCAGCAACTTGGTCTCGGCCTATAGCGCGCAATTAAACATGCGCGATCCACCTTGCAGGTGAAGCAATTGGGTAGTATGATTCGTTGGCTGAATCACACTAGATGCAGAACGGGTTAGAGCAATCTCGTATCCTCCCTAGTTTTCGAATTGGCGTGGGGCAGACAGTGGGGGGTGTGCATGTTGCGCGGTAGTCATGTCCGCTCCAGTTCCGCTTCCCCTTTTCGTGTTCCCCCGCAATGGAGTTGAAAGCCGAGGTATTGGATCTGCGGGTCGGCTTCCTAGTATCTAGTTTTGATCTATCAATAATGGCTGAGGTATAAAGGCGCACGCGTTTATTATAGACTCGCCCAGACCTGGGCCATACTTCTTTAGCTGGCTAGTGGCGCCAATAAAAAGTGTAATCAGTAAAGCTTGCTTCGGTCAAGTCATATTGGCCGCCTCGGCAGTTGGGCTGGCAAATACAGCCGCGCTTTGGCGAGATGATATTCCGACCTTGTGGATGTGTGGAGTTTGGGGAAAACCTGGGGCCCCAGGCCCCAGTGGAGCTTCAGGAGGATAATGCATGACGTCATCAACGAGTGATTATCATAGTCGATCCAAAAACCAACCTTGCAAGCTTGGGTTCACAGAGATCTGACAATCTCTTACGCCGCGTTACCACCGCGATTGCTATCATAGCCCGGCCCATAAAGTCAATATAATGTTTTATTCCGGACGTGCAATAAGGGGATCTCGACAGGCTAGGCTACAAGCCTCGATCGTTATCCACGAAAGAGAAATTGTTCAAAATGTAATCAATAAACAGAGACAATCCGGACAGCTCTACTCACTTTCATATATACAATATCAGTCACACTATGCACGAGTTATTATGGCACAAACCGATTTACAACGAGTGGCCTAGACACGTCAAGCGATACAGTGATAACATACATAGATTATACATATCTTCTCCAAGTGTCTGAACAGGCAGAATGATTGAGGAAAAATTGTGCAGAAAACTACCAAATATTGGCTGGAGGATGAAGAAAAAGAGAGGCTCTGCGGGAAGTGGGGCCGCTTCAGACCGAGGATCGGATCTCGGAATAATGCTGTTCCTGGTAGGGTGGTGCATCGTCACCTTTGACCAGAGACAAAATTTCCCAGCCCTAGACATCATTTTAGCTAATAAGACAACTGCAGGGCAGGCACTTGAGAACCACTGTTTTAAGTAAGCTACTTGGGATGTAGAACGAAATGCTTCAGCCCTAGCTCGGGAATCCTACTTAATTCTCCTGTTTTATAACTATCCTTTTACTCGAAAGCTACTAGAAATATAGAAGATATAGGGACTTTCGAGTACTCCATGTTGAATATCTGCTCTAAAATATATTAGCGACAAGCTCGCCCGTAAATGCACGAGGTATTAAAATTTACCAACGACGCAAAAATCACTTAATACGTTGAAGACCCGAGACTTAGCAGATCTCGCGATCTTCTACGAAAAATATACGCCCGGTTAACGACAAACTCCCCCGATTTGACCTTCCCATGAAAGATATCCAACATGGCTTCAGCCACTTCATAAACTGCATCCTCGTCGGGAAGTTCTCCACCAACACGAATCGATACACAGTGAGAGTACCTATGATGCATGGGTAATTCGTCGACTGTAACTTGCCTGTTCACGACGCGATACATCATACGGCGGACCAACTCTAGATCGTTAAGCCAGGCCTCTTCTGGGTCAAAGTACACCGTGGCCCACACAACATGTTGTCCAGATGGTCCGTCGGCTACAGGAACATCGTCTATACGAGTCCTGAACGCGGTTCGTGTTGACATATTGGGTATGAATTATGGGAATGAGCTTGGGGATTGGCTGTAGTGGGAGTTTTTCTTCTTCGGTGGAACAGGGAGTGAGATAGATGGGGCTGGGTGAGTATTCCCTCTTCGAGTGGTGGTAATGCCTGGGCATAGGAGATCAAGGTGTTCATATACTCCCAACTGAGACATGATGATATGCCTGACTATATAGTGGGTTGCTTGGGCTCTTGGTAGAAACAAAGAATCTTTTAACAAAACAACCGCTTTGTCCAGTCTTCTTATTCTGATTGTCTTATTGTCTACTAATTATAAGACTCGAAGTCATTCTTTGTCTAAACTCATACCCACTATATCAACAAAAGAACTCAATCCAGATCAATGCAACCCTCTCCTCCAACCTTTAGAAAGCATCCGACCTTAAATGAAAGAACCGAAAAAGTCTCTCCCGATCAATCTGAACATTCCCCTCCGCACATTCCGCCTGATAAAAAAGCGCCAAATCCAACGCATCCCTAAGAAAGGCATCAAAAAACAAATGGCGAAACTGTGGAAATGCCCAATAATTCCCACGGGTCGGTAACGAGAGACACCCCATGACTCTGTGGTGCATGGGCTCGGGGGTAATCGAGATACTGACACGGTGTGTTTTCTTAGCGATTCTCGCGTGGATGGCCTCGGCGACGAGATCCATGAACTCCGCGTCTGTTTTGTCGCGATTTTCTGGGGTCGCGACGAATACGTTTACCCATACTATGGGTCCCTCGATGTCGCATCTCTCGTCAATGTAAGCGCCGTCGCGGGTGAACATACCTTGCATACCTTCTTGTGCCATATTGAATTCTTTGATATGAGGGCCACTCCAAACTATTTGGTATCGGCTTTAAAACAGACAAAGCCTTCCTGGTGTACTGGTGGTTGAAATAGGAATTTTATGAGATATGCTCGTATAATTATATTACTTGGGATATTGTCAGGGCTTTGTTGGCATTGAAAGTCTATGTTTCTTTGATACAATGACTTTTTTGACATCAATTGAAGATAAGCTAGAAATGATCCCCATTGTGGGTTGTTAAGACAAAGACTTTGAAATTGCTATTTCTGTTTCTACATAGTTCTGTAATGTATGTCGGTCAATATCATAGCTTCATTCTCATATATTAGCTTCTCATCTAACGTTATGTACTCCGAATTCTACTATCATCTATATACAGTTTCACAAAATCATAGCCTCACAGCTTAATCCACCTCCCCATCCAAGTTTCAACAACCTCTTTAGCCTCGTCAACCAGACCAAGATCAAGCAACAACTGGGTTGTGCCACGCACAGCCGAATCCAACGCCGAAAAGATCCAAGCATGTGTATAACTAGTATGCTCCCCAATGAAAATAGTCTTAAACTCCGTCTGGTAGTAAGCAGGCAAATAAAGCTCCTGCTGCCCAACAAGCGGACTAGCCCAAGCGCCCGCCTGATGCTGATCGACCTCCCAGCACTGGCGATTGTATACACCCGTAAACTGCTCAGCAGCAATCTCACCATGGACCTCAACCATCGTGCGCTGGACCAGCGCAACGTGTTCTTCCTCGCTCAGTGCCGCTGTCGACCGAGCGGGCGTGTCCGAGATATATGACGCTAGGATCACACCCGGTCCGGTCGCATTCATGTTATAGGAGGGATAGCACACATTCCCGACCCCGGGGATATCAACTGACCCACATCCGCCGAAGATGGGCTTTTCCATGTGCTCCCAGAACCGCGTCTTGTAGAGCAGTGACATCTTGCATGCGGGGCTGTAGTTCATAGTCGAGATTGCCCGGCTCAGGAGTGATGAGTACCGGGGTAGATCCCACAGTCTGACCTTGCTGAATGGTGCAGTGACCACGGCATAGTCGTATTCTTTTGTTTCCGGTACCATCTGGAAGGGATCGTCGCGCCATGCGACTGCGACTTTACCGGCTGTCTCGTTATATATCAGTCCGGCGACTGTGCGGTTGAGAGTCGTTTTCTCTGCGACGTGTGGGTAGAATGCGCGAGGGAGGGACTCCAGACCCTTGTCGATGGTGCGCCATTTGGTGGCTGCGAAGTAGACGTCGTCATACATATCGCTCCAGATTGGAGAGGTGTCTGAGCCATCGACATAGTCGGTTATGTTGGTATTGTAGCCCATCGCGTATTTCAAGTATCCGGCCTCGGACCAGTGGAACATGCCGTCTTCGACGGCTTGCTTGTGGGCTTGATACATGTTGGTTGCGATCTTGCGGATTGTCTCCCGGTTGTTCATTGTGGTATAGTTATCGTATGCGGATTCTGCTTCTGCGACAGCTGTTGCATTGGACGAGGCTGCCTTGTAGACTAGCGATGAGTTGGCAGCGACTTGGGCGGCACTAGGAATTAAGCCGTTGGGGAGACGGTTGCCGCCAGAGGCTGCGGGCACATTGGGGCTATTCTGTATCCAGGGGATGAAGTTGACCTGGAGATCTCGTTTATGTTTGTTCATCTTGTTGAGAACGCCGGCGAGTTGGAAGACCATGCGGTGATCTTGGATTTCGAGTGTCTCGTTCGTATCAGCATAGGTAATGCTAACTGGGAACCGCATCGGTCCCATCTCCTGATATTGATACTGGTCTGGAGTCGTGTTGTTGAGGTATTTCGTACGGATGCGACCACCGACTCGCCCAGATGATTCATAGATGTGCCAGTCGTGGATACCAACAGAATCGAGCAGCAGACTCGTCATCAAGCCGGACATTCCACCACCCAGAATGGCAACAGAGGTACTCTTCGCTTTGGAAACAAATGCTTCGCCGTGCTTCTTTGATTTCATGTAGGCCACCCCGTCAAACCACGGGCCCATGGCATCTGCCACATCGGCGATACTCTCGCGCTTCTTGACAGGTGATGAGACCATGATGGGAGAGGAGCGGCCCACAAGCGTCGATCCGGAGAAAGCATGCAGACAATGTGAATGGGGTGCGTCGGATGGTGTAGTCCAGACGAATCGCTCCGGCTGCGCCTCGCGTTTCACAAACGTGCTTCCGATCTCATGGTGACTCTGCGTCGGGTCTTGGATCCCGCATTCCCCGTAGACAAGCTGCAGATGACCTTCGAAGTCTCTGTCCAGGAACTCGACGTGGACGTTATGCAAAGAGTCGGAAGTTACACCCCCAGGGCTGTGGAACCGTATTACCTCGATGTCTCTCCCCGCGACCCCGGCTAGGCTTAAACCTGATAGACCTAACCCCAAGAGGGTATGTTGTAGACAAACTTTCATCCTTGATCTGAGCAGTAGAAACGTGGAAACAAAATATGAGCGCTTGGCAATAGTCTAATTGCCTCCATGCTTGCCGTACACGTTTTATATATCTTTTTTTTTGTTCGACTCAAGTATCTTCGGAAGATTGATCCCGTATGTCAAGCTATCATTATCTTTGAGGGGGTATTTCACTGCAACCTTCTTATCTAGCGGTGATATTGTAGCTGGCGAAGGTATGTAGATACGATTTCTGCATCCGCAATATATTACTATAGCCTCTGCAGCTTGACTAGCGTCCATATCATCCATCGCAAACTGTTACGTAAAATGACAGCATTCTAAGGGCCAGTATGAATTTAGTTAGCATCTCAGATCTAGCCAGCTAGAGACCCGGAATTTTTCGAGAGCACAGGTCCCACTTTGTCGAGTGCAGCTGTCAGTGGCTGTCAGTTTCTCTTATCAAGACGGTTGTTTCCGACTGCTATGTTATCTTAGAGCGGGGTGTTGGAGCTGTCTGGGGATCGATATGTTGTATTCTATGTTAAGCGCGGGGAAGGATATTTCTTGTAGTCAAGATATGGGTTTGATTTGGATCGACAATCTCGATATTCTTATCAGTTGGATTCGTAACAGTCCAGGAAGGTACAACCGTGGGTACATAAGTACGTAGGATAAGAAGTCAGAGCCAATACGCTTGAGTCTGTGAAGCGGCTCGGCAAGAGGGCTACTCTCCAATTGGTCCATTCATCAGACGATCCGGGAATTTTGATATGTTCCCAGTGTTCCAGTTGATCCACCACACGTGATGATCTGCGGGGGCATTTGGCTACATAGGTTTATATTAAATTCCTCACAGGGGAGGTTATAGCGAAGAGTAGAGATAAGTAAATAAAGAAGTATATTAAGCCAAGCGGAATACTTCCATGTTCGGTACTTCCAAGGCTACCGGTATGTAGCCGGAAGGCGCCGGACCCACTCGGCCATTGCGGGGGAGGATGATGTCATGCTGATGCCTGAATATGCCTGACTATGTACATTGACCCTTGACACACAAAGAATTTCCATTGAAATACCCTGATAAACGCATCTAAATCATCTAAAATGAAATTCTAGATAGGAGACTTTCTAGCCCAATACAGACAACCTCGGCACAGTCATCGCAAAAGCACTCGACCAGAAGACCTCGAATCTCATCCAAGCCAGCCTTAACACCAAAGCATCAAACTGGAATCTGAAGTCCAGGAAGTAAGATCGGGGTAATCCGCGCAAGAGGGCACGATGTGGAGCCTCCGGTGCCATCTCCGGGCCAAGTTCCTCTATATCACCTAGTAAGGAACCAAGAAGATCGAGTTGGTCGCAGACTTCAAAACATTTGTCCTAATTCTCCGGGCTGAAGCCAACATGTTGTAGAGTGTGTATGATGCTCTTTAAAATGGTTGTGAAGGTTTCATGTGCCTAGTTGAAGCGCTGTTCAAGGTCTTGGGGATCTTCGGATGAATTGATCTTTGGGAGGAGAAGAGAGGTGTTACCCCCAAGGTCCTTGCTATGTGGTATGGGTAAATTTTGTAGCGACAAGTCAAGAATGTAGATATCAATGGATCAGTAGGGAATTGTTCCAATAACGACAGCTCTTAATTGTAGGTGGTACTGAGACTATTTAAGCCCATCCAGCCAGCTTTCTCACATTAAGAAAGACAATGATTGAAAACATGGAAATCAACAGAACTCAGATGATAGGATCTCTCTTTCCTGCCTCTATCCTTTGGTCAAAGCCTTGGGTAGAGGTGTAAAGGAAGAAATACATTGTTTTTGCTAGTAATTTTTAAATACCACAGACAAAGGGAGAAAATTGAAAGAGATTTTACATGGAAACGATTGAGGTATCATGCATCCATGGATGCATGGATGGTATATTGGGTTATGAGCAAATCAACGCTAAAAGAGCACAAATTGGATATCAAAAGTTCATCAATCATCAATCACAACATATCGTTGTCTCCTCCAATTTCCGTATCTCTTCCTGCACGTCATCTATTCCCACTGTGACAACCATCCAATCACATAAGAACTTGCCCAGTCCCGCACCAATGAAGATGCAAATAATCACATAGACATTGAAGTACATGGCCAACAACATGGTGATATAAGCCCCCGCAAACGTGACTGCATGAATCACAGCCCTCGTCAATTGTTGTAACGGCGTCGCGCGAAATGTCACGGCGGTTCTGGCAGATTCAAATCTCCTGACAAACGTGCCGTGTAGGGCTTGGCGCTCAAATTGGCGGGTCAGGAAGTTGTCATATTCCCGACCAATGCGCCGACAGAACTCGACTAACACGACCAGCAGAATTGTGCCAATACAGGTTGCGGCAAACATGCCATTGTTCTTGATCTGCCATCCTGCGGACAGGAAACAGGCATCGATGGTGTCGAAATTGAACATCATCTGGCTTTGGTCAGCGAATCCACTTGAAAGGTGCCAAGGTCCAAATATCTTGGCACTCACCGAAACCTTGCAGCTGCTCGAGCTGGTGCTGGAATCCATGCCCTCCATCTTGGCCGGTCTTCTGGGTATGCGAGGATGAGAAGTTGAAAATATGGCGCGTCCGATATCAGCTCGATGCCGCTGTTCTTATAACCTGGTGGCTTCTCCCCACCTACGCTGAGGCAAAGTGGAGAAACCCAGCGATGGCGTGGGAGAAATGTGCTCAAATCGCCGCAAATGCGAAAATGGCCGCGTTGAACTTGGAAGTTGGGATTCGCGTAATGGCAATGAATAAAACCTCGTGGGTTTCTCGCACAGAATCTCATAATCTCTTTCGCGCTTCGCCATGACCAGATAATCCCGACCGGACGCAGAATTAGGTGTTCTTTTATCAACTCGAACTCGAGCTGAATTGTCGCTCTACACTCATTGGAACTGGGCTGAGGCTCATAATCGGTCTTCAACATCGGCCTACTGCATAGGGCAGCTCAAGACATAATGTCGTTTCCAAAATTGGATGCTCGCCACATCCAGAACATGAGCGCGGCGACATCATTAGAGCCTCATTGGGGATACTACGATCGCGCCCTTCCCTGCACCAACGATGCGGGATCGTGCGCGTACCTCGACGATGTATACGCATCACATGACCGGGGAATGCTATATTCAGGCATTATGTGGTGTGTCATTGGCACAATTTTGCTCCTCTGGGTCGTCCTGAACCAGTTCAATACGCCAACGATATCACCAGCACTAGCAGCACCAGAACTAGCCGGACTATACAAGGTCCGCCGCTCTGTTGCCTCATTAGCCAGGAAATATCTCCTGCCTGATGCGGCTCGGCTCATCTTCGGCCGCACAACACGCCTCCAAGTGCTCACCCTCGCTCTGTTAGCTGGCTACCTCCTCATATTCAGCTTTGTCGGTATTCTCTACAACACATGGGTCACGCCCGTCTCGAAGATGCCCGGTGTATATAATACCCGCAACAGCATCGGCCCGTGGTCAGACCGCGTCGGCACACTGGCCTACGCCCTCACCCCGCTCTCCGTGCTGCTAAGCAGCCGAGAGTCTTTCCTCTCCCTCATCACCGGCCTGCCATACCAGAGCTTCAACTTTCTCCATCGCTGGCTGGGCTATATTATCTTCCTGCAAAGCTCCCTGCACACAATCGGCTGGTGCGTCGTCGAGCTGAGATTGTACCAGCCGCAACCCACCGTCGGAATTGAATGGATCACCCAAACATACATGATCTGGGGTGTCGTCGCCATGATCTTGATGTTCTTACTCGTCGTGCTGAGCACACCGTGGGGAATCAGACTCACCGGCTACGAGACCTTCCGCAAACTGCACTACATCCTCGCTATGGTCTACATTGGCGCCTGCTGGGCCCACTGGAAGCAGCTCAAGTGCTTCATGTGGCCCTCGCTGATCTTCTGGTTCCTCGATCGCGGTGCTCGACTCGTTCGCACAGGCCTGCTACACTACCACCCCAACCACTCGGGTAGTCTCGGGCTCGGCTTCAAGCCCGCCGATGCGACCATCACCCGCTTCCCGGACACCGAACACGGAGATGTCATCCGCCTCGACCTGCACAATAACCAGGACCCCTGGTCCATCGGCGAACACTACTACCTAACCTTTGCGAAGTGTAGTATCTGGCAATCCCACCCCTTCACACCACTCAACCTCCCCGTCGTGTCGAAGGGTACAGTCCAACACTCATACATACTCCGAGCGAAAAGCGGAGAAACGAAAAAGGTTGCCGACCTCGCGGCCACCGGCACACCTACAACACCTGTCATCTTGACCGGCGCATACGGCGAGTCTATCACCAGTCACTTGACACCAAGCACCAATATAATTTGCGTGGCCGGCGGGACCGGCATCACCTATGTCCTCCCCGTTCTGCTAGATCTTGCCCGCCAAAAACCCTCACCGGACCGCAAGGTCGAGCTCATCTGGGCAGTCCGCCACACGGCGAATACAGAGTGGATCGCAGCAGAGCTGGATCTCTTGCAGAAAGCGCGGAATATGTTGAACCTCGAGATTCGCATTTTTGCTACCCGAGACTCGAGGAGCAAGACTCCCTCGATCGAGAACTCGGATTCCGAAAACTGTAATCTCTCGGTCCCGAATATTGAGGAGAAGGCCGTGCAGGTCTCGCCTTCCAAGTCTGTTTCTGCGTGCTGTGGATGTGATAAACCTACTGCTGTGGAGCGGCTCGGGGGTGCCTCGGATGATGTCAATAGACATCCGGATCTTCCACGGCTGGTCGATGATTTCTTGGTTGATACGGTGCGCGGCCCGACGAGTGTCTTCGCTAGTGGACCTGGTGGTATGATTAGTGACCTGCGGGATATTGTTGCGTCCTGTAACTCCGGTGAGAAGGTCTGGAGGGGCCAGGAGAGATTTGATGTTAGTCTTATCTGTGATGATCGGTTGGAGTGGTGAATAGGATGCGAGGAGAGGGGAGTTGTATATATTGCCCAGGTGGCTGTATTCGCCAAATATGGAATCATCATAAGTTGTGGATTCAATGTACATATCATCATGACGAATTTTATGGATCATCTATCAACAGAAATATGGGAGTGTAGAACAATTACAAGGGTACAAGGGTCACAGGTTTTGTTAATATCTCTTCGTGGCTGTCCGAGTCTACGAGGAATATGCGTCCACTACCTAGATGTAACGAATATGAGGTGGAGTGAGTGAGTGGATCGAGGATCTTCTCTTCCTATGCCTCGATGATAGAGTCATATAGCTTAGATGCAGAGATAGACCGCGCAATAATAGAGATATGTTAAAGTCAAAAAAAAAGGAAAGACCTATGCCTACGGTTTTGATCATAAATTGGAACCTAGGGGACATATCCTTCCGAAAATGGAAGGTGGATCCATGTCACGTATGGATGCCTAAATATGCCCGTTCCTGCCTTGATCCTAACAATAGTACTATGGCAACTATCAGAAATACCTCTACTTTGTCTGCCCGTTGACAATAGCATCCCGCTTAAGTTCACCACCAGGCAAAAGCATCCCAGATCGATCAATGAACGACCGCGCCCGAATATAAGGGTCCAATTTCCAATAGTTCACGCAGAACTCATCAATAACAGCATTCCGTCGCGACTTGAGCTCCTCCGCTTTCGACACCTTGTCCTTCCCGTCAGACTGTGAGCTGGCAGAGACCCATGCTGCTGTCGCAGAGATCATCCGGATTCCAATCATCATACGGTCGTACATTAGTGAGTCGCGCGTTGCGGTGTCTTTCATGACTGCATTCTCGTCTTTCACGGGCTCGTCGTATTTATAGGTCCATTTTTCGTCACCGGAGAACTCTTTGGGGATCTTGCTGCGCGGAATAAACTTGTCCAGGTCGGCAATTGACCGCGTGAAATGCACTTTTGATGCGACGACGGGGTCCATCCAGCCGTGAATCAGTTTCCAGATGCCTAAGGTGATAGCTATTGTGAGTATTCATTGTAATGAGAAAGGAGGATCTCTTAATGGAATCATTCGACTTACCGGAGAAAATCCAGGGTGCATTATGGATGATCAGTTGCCCCAGAGACTCGGGGTAGTTTGCTTCGAAGCATCTGAGAATGAACTTGACTGGTGGGTATTCCTATTGCGAATATTAACACAAGGCAGTCATCTCATCTAGCCTCAGTACGGTATCATACCATGTTAGATAACCCGAATCCTGTCAAATCGAAGACAATTGTCTGTGAATGTGTCAGCTGAGTCAATATCTCACTTTTGGTCGAACATACGCCCGTTTCAACCGGAGGAGCCAAGATAAGTCGCGTCGCCTCAATAACATGAACAATATATCGCTCAAGAGCTTCCTCACTCTGAGCACCTGGCTTGTGAATCTTCACTCTAGCATAGATAACAGGTCGACCGTCCCTGTCCAAGCCATGAAGGAAGCTTTTTCCCATCTTGAGTTGGTTGATAAAGTCGGCACCTTCCTTCTTCTCCTTTGACGTAGTTTTGGCACTACGGGATTGCTCCAGAGCATATTCCTCTCCCCGGGGCAGAATTTCTTCATCAACCTCCATCTCCTTTCTCCATAGAATGTTCGACGCCATCATCGAAAATGCCTTTCCGACATCCCATTTCCTGGCGCGCAAGAACCGGAGCAACAAACTATCCGGGTTTTCTTGCTTGATCATTTTCAATATCGCGAAACACATTTCTCGAGGCGTCATCTTAGAGAGGATATGCTCCATAGACTTGATCTCTGCATCTTGCACGCCCAGCTGTCGGAGTTGCGAGAAAAGGAAAGAAAAGTGCGCCGGAGTGACCTTTCGGTTGGCCATTTCCGAAATGATGGTGTCTTTGGCATTTTCATTCATGAGCGAGTCCACCTTGTCCAGTGATTTCTGCCCTTTATTGTCGGAGTAATTTCCAGTTGTGAGTTCTCCATTTGTTTCGCTATTCGATCCCGCTAGTGCGATTTCATATGAGGTCTCTTCATTGGTATCTTCGTCCTTCAATGCGCTAATAATAGCTTCCACCGTTGGCTCATTGATCTTATCCAGAGCAGCAAACAGCTTGCTGGAGGAGTCCTTCGGAATCGGTATGTCATATACAGCCGACAGAACAGTTGCAATAGAGGTCAGAATGATGATCCAAAATTCAATTACCCTTGCTTCCTGGTCAGGAGTGAGGTGGCCGAGGTGCCCGGACATAAGGTCAGGAGTAGGAGACATGGCGTGAATTGTGGGTAGAGGGTGAAGTGTAATGCCGACTGGGGGAAATCAGTTCGTATTTTGCTCGCAAGCCCGCCGACGGGGTCTTGTTCAATCATTCATTGTTAACGGGGCCACATGAATAGCAGGGATGCCTCGGCGACCTTCGGATTCACGGGCGAATTCAAAATTGATACCTCGGTGTTTGAACCCAGTCGATCGTTTATTGAGAAATAGGTGCTAGGACCTTTACCTTCTCGTGGGGGATCTTGAAACAGCTCCGATGGAACGGACGCCCTGTGAGGGAGCCTGGCGATGACGATCCTCCATATTGGGGGAAGATCGTCGCCTCTAGGGAGTTCGATCCCTCTCGATTTTGACCTCGAATACGTAGGTGCGCGGATATTTGGGGACGATGATTCTAGTTTCACCACATTTACATATGAATTTAATCTAAACCAGCTACGTATTCGGTAAGTGAGCTGCGTATGTAAGCCAAGATATATGTTCCTGGAGTTCAGCTAAAGAGACCTTGGAAAGATTCGTGTTCTAGGACAAGAACATATTTAAGAGATAATCATGAGCAGCGTCGAAACCAGCCTTGTCCGAATACTTAGCGGCATGAGTACAAAACCTTCAATGACGATATCGAGATCTTCCTGCGTCGCCGAAGGATCTCCCCCCCCCGGTGTCCTCACAGCATGTCAACATGTCTTCTTTTCTCCCTCGGCCTGCGTGTCCCGCAGTCCGTTCCCGATTCCTCCGTTTCAATCCAGTAATCACGCCCGGCATTAAATCTTCGTAGTAAGCCCCCACCTAATGGGCGGCCTACTCAAAATCGCTCGCTTGGGCACCTTACCCTCTTGATAGCGAATAACCTTACCCAGTAAGTGAAGTGCCCGATCTCTGTCATCTCGCTGCGATTGATACTTAAACTGCAGAGAAGTGATTGGGCTAACAGCTTCTCTAGTGCTAACTAGTGTCCTCCTCATACCGGCTCTAACGGTGGTTCCCAGCTGAGTGCTCGGTATCAGTACCCTGTGCAGTCAGCCCCGATCCCTTCCAGCGGAGGTCCGACATCCCATAGAGATGGCGGATCCGTCCAAATGGTAAAAGACGTTTTATTGAGTGATGACGATCATCTTCTTCTTTGAAGCCTGATCTTCAGGTGCGTACTCGATAATGACTAGGTTGATTACCACGTGACCTGTCGCTCCGTAAATGTTTTGCTCCTCGATGGTTTTACTCCCCTCTACATATCTCTAGGGTTTTGTAAAGCCTCTTTTTCCGATAGTTCTATTTGCCTTTGTTACATATTTTTGATCATCTTGCAAAATGCCAAAGAAACAGCCACGTGCAAACATATTTTGCCATTCTGAGTTCGATTTACTTTCCCTTTTATCCCTTGCAAAAAGTATACGTGGGAAACCTTGCTTTTGCGATGAATCTCAACATCCGAAAATTGGCAGTTTGAATTGGGCTATATCTATATATTTTGAAGATGGTATTGAATGGATATTCCGTTCTCCTCGCAAAGACTATTGTATGCTTCAGGAGGAGAGTACAAGCACATTCCTTGCAAGCGAGGCGGCAACGCTAAGTTATTTACGCGACAAAAGTGATATTCCCGTCCCAGAAGTGTTTTCGTTCTGGTAAGACCTGCCTACTTGAGATTTGCTGAGTGAATTGTGTATTCGGCTTACAATTGAACAGTCCGACGCATCAGAATGATATTGGCGTTCCCTATATCTTGATGAGCAAAGCACATGCGAAACCGCTTGCTTCTTCCGGCTGGGATAACAATGTTGATTTGGATGAAGGCGCTTGACCACGTTTGACGCTACAGCAGAAGCGAAAGGTCATAAGAAAATTGGGCAAAATCCACGCATCCCTTTCGAACATACGATTTGATCGAATCGGATCACTTTTGCGGGTAGAAGACGATTATACTCTAGGAAAGTGTCTTTCTCCAGCCCTTATGTGGCATGGCCGCGATGGGTTTGATGAAGACCATATCCCACTCAGGCCGTTTGACGACGCAGCATCATTCTACAGAGCGCAGACCTTCGCTTTGCTTACTCATGTCAGAGAACTTCCTATGTAGCACCATATGTTCCATGCACCGGTACCTACACAACAGGAATACGATACGTTCAGTGAATATCATATTGCTACTGATAGGTGGAATGACTACGTTACCGTGGGGGCAAAAATCGAGAGCGCAAAAAATAGGCTCGGCTATACCTCGGCTGCGCTTGCTATTTTGGAACTTGTTCCCTTGCTAGCAGAAAGAGACGATCAAATTCTGAGCTCTGGCTTCCCATTGTTTCATCCCGACCTAAGTACCAGCAATTTGTTCGTCGATGACGATATGAATGTGACTTGTCTAATTGATTGGGCTTGCACTTCATCTGTTCCAAAGCCAATGTTACTCGTTTGTCCTGGACTACCTCATTCCCGGAATCCAACACCCCTCGAGTTTGTAGACTCTTTCACACAAGGTTTTGTTGAAGGGAAAGGTTTCGATGCCCAAACAGCTCTTCTTTTCGAGAAAAGCAAGGATCTTTGGGAATTTGCTCGCTTGGTTAATATGGATTCTATTCAAGATTTTAATCACCTCTCGGAGCTTTTCCAATCCCTTGCCCCTGGACAGGAGCTTTTTGCAAAGCTGAATGACATGAAGGAACGGGATGAGTTTATCACCTCGTTGAAAATGATATCCCAATACACGGCCACACCTGAGGAAATGCGGAATGAGAAACAGTATTTTGAATGTAACAGACCCAAGAGATTGGCGCTGGCACGCCATATCTCAACAACGGCAAGTCTTGATCCTAAGTTTGTGGCGGATCAGCGTCTCTGGAAGTGGGACGTGATATACTTGAAGCAGCGAGACACATGTTTCCTGGCCTTGAGAAAGAAGTTAATTGAAAGGTGTGGAACTACGCAAATACCGTCTCTTACTAGGTGTGACGCTTAAAATTGTGTTGTCGCGAGAAGGATACCATAGCTCGCGACGTCTTGTTTGATAATGTCTTGATTTCTTTCTCCGCATTCCTAACTTCACGAATATAATGTACAATCGAAAACCAAGCGGCCAAGGCCTATGATATGAGAACACCAGCAAGGGCTCCTAAAAGAACAACTGGCACTATAAAAGAGCAGCAGAGTCCGAGGAGAGGTGTTTCAGAACTAAGTTCCTCCTCGATTTCCGCTCGTGGGTATGATATTTCCTTCTCCGTGGTGAGCAATCTAGAGTCTCTGGGGTGATAGGCCGGAGAGTTGAAAAGATGAGCAATGGGTACCCAATTGTGGACAATTGTCAAGAAGCACAAGTGCAGCAATGGTGGCCATGCAAATGTAGTGAGCAGTTTAGGAATTTCTGTTCCATCTCCGGTCACAGCCACCCAGATCGCAAAGAGCATAGCTCCAACAGTCGCAATAAAAAGACAAATGTTCAACAAAGCACCGCTTTGAAGAGTATCTCTGTATGCCTTTTGGAACGACGAAATGGATGTAGCATTTTCGCTCGAATTGGCGGTGCTTCCGGTGACAAAAGATCCCTTTGGCTTGCTTCCGAATAGGTGGAATCGAGCAATGGCGTACAGATGGGCTATTAACACAACATGTTAGGATCAAGTTTCAGGTTCCATTAGATATGTGGAAAGTTTTAACTCAGACTTACCAGTAGAAAGCCAACTGTTCTCTGCGTGTGCAAAAGGCGCAAATGGAACACCCGCGTGTGCACTCCGAGCCCAGTCATATGCCCATGTGGACGCAACATGCACGATGGCTAAAACAAGCTGAATCTTCACCTCCAACGCCGACCCAGCAGGAATAAACCCACCATCGGAGACCAGAAGGAAAGGCAGAGCAACAAATCCGATCGAGTAGGTCACAAGACCTGCCATGATAGACAGTCCCCCAAGAGCAATATCCCAACGCAGATGCTCTGGAATCGCCTTGTTGACAGAAGGGAGCAACACAGAAATCTGCTGAGAGTGTCCGATGTGCCACCGATTCCGCTGTTTGAGATGTCCCGCGAGAGAAGTAGGAACGAGGCCGAATTGCAAAACCTCTTGTACCTGCATCGTGCGCTTTCCCAGCCCTCGTAAAATCAACGATAGCTGCCAATCTTCCGAGAAAGAATAGGTCGGATATCCACCTGCGTCGAGAATCGCGTCGCGACGGAAGACTGCACCTGAACCTGCGTCTAGCGCATGACCGAGAAGATCGAGTTCTGTATTCTCACACGTGTAGAAGTAAGCCCGCGACTGGGAGAGGGGATCGCCACAGGGCAGATTATAGAAATACTGTCGCGTGGTCAGTAATGCTGCCTTTGGGTCTTCAAGTAGATGGGGCAGTGTCGCGCGCAGAAACTCCGGCATCAGGATGGAGTCTGCATCGACGACTGTGCAGAACTCTGGCGGGTCTTCGGTTTGCAGGGAGAATAGGGCGTAGTTAAGATTTCCTGCTTTGGCGAAGGATTGCCCGGATTGCTTGCCGCGGGTGTGATAGGATAGGTGAGTCCATTTTGTGGCGAGTTTTGCAATTGCGTCGTGCAAGTCAGTTGACGCTCCATCATCCAGAAGGCGGACTCGAAACCGGGAAGCTGGGTAGTCTAAACCACATGCTGCTCGGACCGTGTCCAGGATGATTTCGACTGGCTCTCCGCAGCATGTTACTAGCACATCGACTCTGGGCAGGTTTTCGTTGCTGCGTAGTCTCTTGCGGAGTGTCTGATGTGGTGGCTTTGTCGTTGCGGCTAGCGATAAGCGTTGGTGGTTTAGGGAAATATCTAAGAAGATCAGCGGATGCTCATCGTTCTTTCTTGGAAGGTAACGTACGAGCAAATAGACCCTCAACTCCGAGCATTAACCATCTTTGCCATGTTTGCTCTGGGCTCATCACGGTGAAAAATAGCCGCACTGTAAAGTAGATGTAGGTGGTCCATATTGCTGCTTGCGCTATACGGCGGAGATATTTCCGATACTTCTGCGCATACAGAGCGCGATCATCAGGGGAAAGCTCCTCGATTTCATAGACGTTGTTAGGAAACATTGAAGCGAACTTGAAGCCGTCGGTTTGTGCCGTTGTGATTCTGTTGCATATTATACAGATGATTTTCTTTTTGCGCTTTTTGACTGGGGATATCAAGAATACCACGAAACAATTTGTCTTGGAATTTTCACAAATTGACCCTAGGCTTTTGAAGGAAAGCCTTCTCCGCCGAAATTAAGGGGTTTGAATGCATTCAGGGCTCCCCATTTGCTTCTGGAACATACTGTGTCTATTTATACTACTCCGTATCCACCTGGAGACTATCGCTGCCGAGAACCAATCAGTGCACCCCATGGTATGGATTTTGATGGCGCTAGCCTTAATTGGCCGTAAACTGCAAGTGGGCCATTTCCTCAGCATCCGATTGGATCCCTATTCTATAAAATTCTGAGATGGCCGGGGACTCGCTATGAATATACTGTCTGAGGTACCAACAGTGATCTGATTCGGTCGGTCTTGTCAATAGAAAAAGACGAATATAGAATCCCAAACTGTCACAAGTGATAAAAGTACGGCTGATCAAGGGCAGATGACCCGGGTAGCACGTAGCCGGTAGCCTGGCGGTATCTCTTTGTGATGATGGCATCCTCCTTGGTTGCCACACCGTATCGTTCAACATTCCGATACGGTGCGATCAAATATCCCCCGCGGAGAGCTGGAACCCGAGGTGACGACTCGACACAAGCAAAATGTTGCGAACTGAAGGTCTCATCACCTCGGTATCCCAGTCGCACTTGACTTGGCCGAAGAGAGCATTCATCTAACGAACATATTTGCGATCAAGGTCTTATCCCCGAATGTAATCATTGATTCTTCACGAGACTCTTCAGAGAACTGGTTCTCACAGGTATTTGCAAATTTAATATGACCAAGGCTCAACCGATCGACCATCCGTCTTATCAATGCGGGCAGCTCCAAATGGCCCAGCGCAGTTCGAGCCATTGCATGTGCCTCTTGTGATTTATTAAGAATATATGTTGCCTGAGGGTATCATAAATTAGCACATGCTTAAGCAGGCAACCTTCGGTGAACATATAGTTGTAGACTGAGCATTAATTCAACATCAACATCGGTAGATACAAGTGTTTACTCTACTACCAAATAAGAAAAAGGAAAAAGCAGGAACTTATTAGTATCGAGAGAGATGTATATGAAACTATAAAAAAAGAAACACCGTAACAACGAAACAACGAAAGGGCTGATAACTCCCATGCCAGTACCCTATGCCTAGACCACGCCAGCGCATATAGGTTGGAATGTGTATGTTTATATTTCGCGGACTGAGCAGATCGAACGCCGGCAGCCGGGGTTACCTGCATGTTGAATCCGTGTGAGCCCACTCAGCCACTGCGGGGACCCCCGGTTAGGAGGAAGGTATTGCTGTGAAATATATCGGAACATATGCTTCCGAAAAGGGAAGGTGGGCCCTCACGGGTTGATGCCTGAATATAATGTTTCTGCCTGCAGATCACACACACACTTATTAGTATTAGAATGTACATATGTCCTGCCACAGGAAGAAAGATAAAAGCAGGAGTTAATGGGTGAAAAACAAAAAAAAGGATGAAAGGGGTGATACTCCCATGCCAGTACCGCCACGCCCAACCCAACGGCTTAGGAACGCATATGTAGAATATTTATAATCGTGGGCTGAACGCCGACAGCTGGGGTTACCTGCATGCTTAATACGTATGAAGCCACTCAGCCACTGGGGGGCGGAATTTCGAAGAACAGGTGTTGGTCCTAAATTTATAGGAACCTGGAGGGCATGTCCTTCCTAAATTGGAAGGTGGGTCCATACACCTCATATCTTTCGTTCTTGATGTTCCTGCATTTGTGACCTGGTTCTCGCCGATCGAAAGAAGGGGACAGGCGTTATTGAAGAAGAAGATGTATAAGAAGGCCGCGGGGCTGCTTCATGGATCTATAGAGAGAATCCAAAGATTTCCCGAGACCTTGAAACCTTCTGTCGTCGTAGTCCAATAGAGTTCTGTATTTTACAAAAAGAAGAGCGTTCTTTTGGTCTGTTCACCCACATACATAATATATAGAATGGTGGCAGACCACCAAGATACGGATGGTGAACCGGCATGCATTTTGGGAGGCCTCTCCTGTTAGGCCTTATCATAATTAAATTCATGAATATTCTAACAATCATTTGGCATTATCGGGGTATCATACTTCCTTTCCAATTCAGATCAAAAGTAGTATCAAAATCCATAGATTAGACATGTGATCGGCTCGATCGGAACCCCGCCCGATACAGACGGAACGGAATCAATGCGAGTCGCGATTCATAGATAGATAAAGAAAGCCCTGGGATTCGCACAGAAAGATGAAAAGGAATAATTTACCATTTGAATAGCACATAATATCACATTTGTCCATCATTTGCCATTCCTGACCAAGAATCGTTGGTCATTTTCGAAATGACCTCAAACAACCCCTCATACCTTATTATTGGCGCAGGTGTCTTTGGGGTATCAACCGCCTATCACCTCATCCAGAAGTATCCCAATGCGTCGGTGACTTTGGTTGATCGAGACGCATATGATGCCGAGTCGCGTGTGGCTGCCTCATGGGATTGGAACAAGGTTATTCGCGCCGATTACGACGACAAGGTCTACTGTAGACTTGCTCTTGAGGCTCAAGAAATCTTCAAAAATGACCCTCTTTGGCAGCCATACTTCCATCAAACTGGCGTTTACTGGGCGTGCCGCAGCGACTACGCGCAAACTGTCATCACAAACCATAAGGAACTCGGTCGCAATGACGATATCATTGCTCTCCCTGTTTCTGAAGCTAGAAAGCTTTATGGAGGAATCTTTGACAATGCTGATTACACCGGTGTTAAAGAGGTTCTGGTGAACAGAGCTAGTGGCTGGGCTGCTGCCGGCGATGCTCTTCGAGCAGTGACAAAGAGGTGCTTAGAATTGGGCGTCTCGTACGTCACCGCATCCGTTACTAGCCTTGAATTCGATGGGCATGGCTCCTGCACTGGTGTGAAGACACAATCTGGAGAGACATTGTCGGCCACGCATGTTATCGTCGCTGCTGGGGCTTTCACGCCGACTTTGCTAGAGTGGAGTGCTGTGAAGAGCGGCAACGCTGGACTACGAGCTGGAGAGCGAATTCTTGCGGCTGGTATTACGACCGGAATGGCACAACTGAACGAGGAACAATACGAAAAGTACAAAGACATGCCTGTTGGCTTCCAGGGCTACACACCGAATGAAGGTACGCTTTCCGATATATTCGTACGAATGCCACTAATCATTCCCAGGAAAACCCTTCATTGGCAGCATTCCCCCTACCAAAGACCGAGAGCTCAAGTGGTGGGGATCTAAGATTTTCACAAACACTCGAGAGGTAGTCCCTGGGCATTACCTCTCTTCTCCTCCACCCACGAATGACTACAACCAGTGGAAGGTTCCAGGACCTCTCAAGCAGGATATCGTAGAGGCCAGGAATCTGTGGTATGGGCCCGAAAGTGCAACATGGCAGATGACAAAGCACCGGATTTGCTGGTTAGTGCCCCTGACAACACATTGATTGATTTTCTAACGCTCGAAAGGGACGCTTTCACCACTTCCTCGGACTTTATCATTTCGCCTCACTCTGCCTCTAAAGGACTATACGTCGCCACTTGTGGTTCATTCCATGGATACAAGTTTTTCCCCGTACTTGGCAAGTATATCACACAGATGCTTGAGGGAGAATTGGCGCCCGAATTGATAGAAAAGTGGGCATGGGATCGGCAGCGGCCTGACTCGTCCGACAACGTGGAGTACCCAAACTCTGAGATGAAACATTTACTGGGACCTACAGCGAAGCTATAGAGGAAATTGGATAGGCATTGATCAGCGCGCTTGCTGGGGATCACCAAAACTCCATTATGATACGCTTGATAAGACATGATATGATTTTCATTGACGTTCTGAATAACTACTTAATATCATAACGACTGTTTGACATTAGGTTTACAGCTGATCTAGAAGATTCCTCTTGCATAATATCCGTTAATGGCAATTAAGAGATTAGTACATGGAGCTTATTGTATATTGAGTCTTACAAACTCGGCTGCTGGGGTAAAGTTTACATCCTCGCTACCCCTTGCTGCGGAACAGCCCGCCACCGTTTCGGTCCAACACATCCGAGAGGGAAAATCTGCCCCGAGCGCTGAAAGAGTCGCTTGCACAGGAGCTTCAAGCCAAAATACTTACCCATGGCAACCTAAATCAATCCAAAATCGTGATTCAGGGCGGGAAAATCCCAGGGATCATTGACTGGGGTGCTGCGGGTTCTAGTACTTTGCCCTGCGATGGCCAGCCCTCGATCCAGAGTGGCGCGAACTCTCTTCATATATCCTACCGCCAGGTGAATATGAATATTCGAAAAATATCGACTGCTGCGTGTATGGCAACACTCCATATTTCCACCTAGCGTGAGAGGAAATAAGCTTAAACTTCAGAGTTTGATCCACGGAGTTCCATTGGGCCCTGTCGGAGACATTACCTAATCATTTGTATGGGCCGATGGATCCCGAGGTCGGGTTATCGGCACCCAATTCAACCGGGTGGATGCCATTCGGCGACTTTTGATATCATTTTACAGGGCCATGTCGCTGAATATCCTGATGAATGGATCTATGTGTCAAAGTGGGATTGTTTCTAGGGTGGAGCGTTAAATTTCTTGGATATTTCGCAACTTGTTTGCCTCCAGAATCAGATGATAAGGCACATCAAAAGTTTCCGATGATAAATCAATCCTCAACTTCCCCACTGTAGATCAGTACATAAATCAAGCCACCCCCCCCCTGCAGAATGGAATTGTTCACACATATAATAAATATATTCAATAATTCATACCTAGCATCATCAAAATGACCTGGCCTGATGTCTCCGTTAAGCCCGCCGAGGGCATCTCATACTTCACCCCTGCCCAGAGTCCCCCGGCAGGCACAGCTCGCAACCCTCAAACGAGCGGAAAGCCCATTCCCAAGCTGTTCGAGCCTATCACCATCAGAGGAGTGACTTTCCACAATCGCCTTGGTGTATGCAATTCCCCCAATTCCTTCCATAATCGCACAGCTAACAATAACCCTCCAGTTGGCGCCCATGTGCCAATACAGTGCCGAGGATGGCCACATGACCCCCTGGCACATGGCCCACTACGGCGGCATTGCCCAGCGCGGACCAGGAAACCTGGTCATCGAAGCCACCAGTGTTGTCCCCGAAGGCCGCATCACCCCCGGCTGCCTAGGCCTCTGGAAGGACTCGCAGATCGCGCCGTTCAAGCAGGTCGTTGAGTTTGCACACAGCCAAGGCCAGAAAATCGGTGTCCAGCTCGCACACGCCGGCCGTAAGGCCTCGACTGTGGCCCCTTGGCTTGGCGGCGTTATCGCGAACAACTCTGTCGGCGGTTGGACCGATAACCTCAAGGCTCCCAGCGCCATCCCCTTCAATGAGGGCGATCCCATCCCCATTGCCATGACCCAGGACGATATCGCCGAGGTCAAGACTGCCTGGGTTGCTGCTGTCAAGCGTGCTCTTGCTGCTGGTTGTGATTTCATCGAGATCCACAACGCTCATGGTTACCTCCTCTCCTCGTTCCTCAGCGCCTCCTCCAACCACCGCACCGATAACTACGGTGGCAGCTTCGAGAACCGCATTCGTCTCTCCTTGGAGATCGCACAGTTGACCCGTGACACTGTCGGTGAGGACGTGCCCGTCTTCCTGCGTATCTCGGCTACCGACTGGCTTGAGAACAGCATGCCGGATGAGAAGGGCTGGAAGCTTGAGGACACGGTTGAGTTTGCTCGTGCACTTGCTGCGCAGGGCGCTGTCGATCTGATCGATATCAGTACTGGTGGTATTCACTCTGCTCAGAAGGTTGCCTCTGGTCCTGCTTTCCAGGTCCCTCACGCTATAGCTGTCAAGAAGGCTGTTGGGGATAAGATGCTTGTTTCTGCTGTTGGTATGATCAACAACGGAAAATTGGCAGAGAAGATTTTGAACGAGGATGACATTGACGTCATTTTTGTTGGTCGTGCCTTCCAGCGGGATACCGGTCTCACTTGGCAGTTTGCTAAGGACTTGGATGTTGAGATTGCCATGGCTGGACAGATTCGCTGGGGTTTCACTAGCTTCCGCAATGCGTCCGAGTATATTCAGCCTAACTCTATGAAGGCTTGTATTTTTGATTAGATATAGATACACCGGCTGTTGACTTTACCGGCTTGTGGCCGGCTTGCATTGCATTCACTATAGATATGCCATTTTTTTTTAACAACAAGAACAATGAGAATTGATATGTTTCTTCATGAGACCTGTGATTGATTAGAAGTATGAGAAATTTACTTCAGAAACGTCACGCATATTGGCTTCGTCTCTCTCAATTTTCTTGGTGGTCCTTTTCGTTGCCGCCTGTTCGTTGTCTTACGTATTCAACTACAACAAAGATTGTTCCAACTAAAACTAAACATGGAAGGCTACCAAGAAGAAGCGAGGATATGTGAAACGTTTTGATTGAATTCTAACTAGTCTAAGAGCAATTGTGTTTGGTTATCTTTCATTGGGAACATGTGGCAAAGAGCGATCTGTTTCGATGGGACCTGATGACATCTGGAGCTCCAGCGCTATGACCCCTTCAGCGTACATCGAAAACCAGTTATATGGTTCTCAACGGACGCTGAAGAGGCCATAAAACTGCAGATCCGGACAATCGCCTAGGTATTCACCAAGGGAAGATGAGAAGTGATCCCCTATTCAGAGCAGCCATGGTCTCAACAAAAAGAAAATCCCCCTGGGAGAACCCAGGGGATATAGAATAAAAAAACGCTACGTCACTGCTTCACTGAACACTCGCCCGAAGGTCGCGACCCCTCGAGGGAGGTCCAGTTCAGCAGGTCGGCCACGTACCCGCCAGGCTTTCAACAAACGGTTGCGACCCGTGATGCATCAGCCGTGCTAGAAGGATTTCTTGCCCGCTTCCTGAAGCGCTGGACTCGGAGCCAAGTCCAGACAGGTTCAGAGTTCCACATAAAGTGACCTGCAGGCGTACCTTGACTCGCGCCGTGCTCGCTTGGGCATCGGAAACACATGATGTTTCGCAAGCGGTTCCATAAAGGGGCCGTTGCGGCTGCTCCTCTGGTGTCTCGCGTTGCTACTCCAACGAAGCGAAAGAAATGTTGATTTTTGCTTCAACTTAGGTTTGTTCGGCACAAAGAACACCCTCAACAGATGTCAGCAGGATTGAACCAATATAGGTACTGATCCTCCCCATGCCTTCCATCATACAGTCCCGCTGGAAATCCCGCTGTCCTCCCAAAGGGGCCTGCAGGTTTGGCCAGTTAAAGACTGCAGGAGTTGTAGCGATGGCCTCCCATAAATCCCGTCGCATCGACTCTGATCAACGATTTCATTGGATTGGAACGCAGGTTTTACCCCTGATCCGCACCATAATCTCAAAACGATACTCGGGTCGTAAGAGTTGACGCTTTATGTACTAGACAAATCTGAGCACAGTAAAGCCCGGTGGATCGATCTTGAGAAACAGCTTCGAATTCCCTCCCCAATCACGCCGCATGCAGAGCGAGCGCCATGGCTTCCCGAAGGCGTGCTGCCGGGACGTCGCAAGAAGGGCCAATTAGGGAGTTGTTCGAGGCATGTGACTCGAAGAAAGAAACCCCCCCTCATGGGGCCACCAGATCCACAAGAGGTGCCTATAGTCCCAACCAATGATACAGCGCCCCGAATATCTCACGCTAAGTTCGAGAGTTTCGAGTGAGTCTTGAATGGAACCTTTCGACAATGGGACACCAATAGCACTGATCAGAAGACCAGTGATCCCATCATAAGACGTCCACCGGCAGGTATTCCAACGAGTCTCGGTCGGGCAGGACAACCGAGATCAAGGAGGTACCCTTCGACGAACGTCCTATCCCAATCAGCACAGGGCTGTTCATAACGGAATGGGTGAGAGAACTCCTCTATGCAGGTGCAAAGTGCCGATGAGGAGACTCAATGACCCGCTGCTTGGGGGACAAGGCCAAGCAGGCACGGTTAGGAGAACTCTAGAGAGAGGAAGTAGGGGATTGGGAGGAGTTTATATTCGCCCGTGGATGCGTCCCGAGATTTCGCGCCTTTGTCGATTACCTAAGCATTGCCCCACTCCAGCGCGTCCCGACGCGTCGCGACACGTCGAAACTAACTTTTAAGGCTTTTCTCACATTCATCGTCATATCGATCCTTTCTGTTCCGATTTTTTTAGTCATTGATAGTGGACAAGCTCCACAAAAAGACCTACACTGCAAGTACGGAGTAGTCTACAGAGTATATTTCAGGAAGGCGTATAATCTTTGCTATGTTTTTTGCCCTAGGTTGCTGGTTATCAGTGTCCGGTCAGAGTAATTCTTATTTTTCGGTGTATGTGATAGGGACCAAAAGTCTCAGGGAAAAGAGCGAACACAGTGCTTGCCAGGATTTTCGTAAGTCTTCTGACTTTCGCGAACGTCCGGCGTCAGATATTATCATTATTCCACCTCCAAACAAGAAACATTTACTTTCTGGGAATTTAAACAGCTCACGGCAAAACCTCCTTCCCCATCCAATCCCAACACCTCCCTCTCCCTCCTTTAGCCTCGGGTGATAACCCCACAAGCACCTCCAACAGCTTGTCGGCTGCATCGGCCGGCTCCAGCATTTCCCTCGTTCCCCAATAATCCTTGGTGAACTCCGTGTGCACAGTCCCAGGGTGCAAGGCCACAGCAATTGCCCTTTCCGCACTCTTCGTGCGCAAATACAAATCAAAAGTCTTGGCCAATTGGAATACAGCTGCCTTACTTGCACGGTAGGAATACCATCCGCCCGATGCATTGTCGGATATTGAGCCGACTCGGGCAGCCATCATTGCATAAATGGCATGCGAGGGCAGCCCGAGCGGCCCTTGGGAATTGATTGCAGAGCTAACCTCTATTGTCGGGAATTTCGGTGCGGATCGCAATGGAACGAATTGGGAAAGATGCTTCAGGAGTAGCAACGGGCCGAGGGAATTGACTTTGAAGCTCTCCAGCGCATTGGCAGCATCGATTTGGCTAGGCGATTTTTCCGCATGTAAAATGCCGGGGATTGTCAATCCGAGCCTGAGTGGTGTGTTCGGGTATTTCTGGCGGATTGTGTCTGCCATTGCTGATATCGTAGACTCATCTAGGAAGTCGATTAGCGTTCTGATGCAGAGAAGAATTTATTTTCGAAGAATTAAGTTGCTTTTTCTTACCTGTTACATCAACTTGGAGAATACGGAGCCTCTGTTCCGCGTCTTTTGGCATACCCTTGCTTGCCAGCAGTCGTTCTTTAAGTTCATCGCAGTTCTTGCGGGCTGTTGCGATCACCGGGAGCTCTGTCCGTGTCAGGAGCTGCTGTGCGAAGGCGAACCCCAATCCTCGCGAGGCAGGGGTTACTAGCGCGAATCCATGAGCTGCCGATAACATAACTTATTTGCTGAACTAGTTTCGCTGATGGTATATGTTTTAGTGGTGAGGGATAGTGGAAACAATTATAGCAAGGAGTTGCTAGTTAATGTTCAGCGTATATGTGACGTCACAAATCACAGGTCATCGATTTAAGCTTCGATCTGATCTACATCGTGAGGCTACAATGGGTCTAATTTAAAACAATAATCGACATGTGTATACTCAGTATTTATGACTTGTTTTAGATTCACTCTTTATCTCCCAACACCCTCACAATCTATCTCAGTTCTTTCCCTCCAGACCAACAAAGCACTCTCTGCCAAACTCGTTGCTGCTATCATTGAAACGGAATTTCCTGTTGAGTTTCTCAATCTTCTTCATGTCTTCTGGGCTCAGCTTGAAATCCCCTCCCAGATTGGCCCTGATCCTCACAGGTGTTTTAGACTTCGACAGCACCGCGTGCCCCTGCGTGACTGCCCAGGCTGTCGAACAACTGCAGTTAGTATCATACAGACTAAATCCATGCAGATTCCACTTACCAAGAGCAACCTGAGAGGGGGTTTTGTTGTACGGCTTGCCTATCTCCGCCAACACAGGCTCATCGAGCAGATGGGCGGGGCGCTTCCCAGCATAGAGAGAGTTCTGGTTTCCAAACGGCGAGTAGTGCATGACAAGTATACCCTGACTTCGATTCCATTCGGTGAAATCATGCTGCTGGAGCCACGGATGACATTCCATCTGGTGCACAGCGGGAACGACGGAAGAGTTCTTGATCAAGTGCTCCATCTCGGACTTGTTAAAGTTCGAGACGCCGATCGCCCTCGCCTTGCCGGTTTTCAGAAGCTGTTCCATCGCTTTGTACGTCTGCTTTTGTGTCAACGGCTAAATTCATAGATCAAGATATGAGAATGCTGCATACGTCGGCAATGTCGATATTCACCATGATCGGCTTCCCATCCTTTACCGGAAAGAGTTCCTCCCCTCGTTCCCAGGCCACAGGCCAGTGAATCAGGAACAGATCAACGTAGTCCATGTCTAGATCGTCCAGGGATTGCTGCATAGCCGATGCCACGTCGTCTGGGTGGTGCTTGTTGTTCCATAGCTTAGTTGTAATGAAGAGCTCTTCGCGTGGGACACCGCTTTTCTTGACGCCTTTGCCGACAGCCTTCTCAGTTGCATAACTAGTATACAGTCAGTTCTGTACATTGAGTTCGCCACTCGTCTCATTCGGGAAGCAAAGCTGCTCACACGCGTGCAGTGTCGATGTGACGGTATCCTGCCTTGATTGCTTCCGCTACGGCATCTTCCTGTGCATCCGCATCCTGCCAGGTGCCGAATCCAAGGGCTGGGACCTCGGCTCCGGTGTTCAACTTGAATTTTGTGGGCATCTTAGATTGATTGATTTGAATGACGATTCAACAGTTCATGTTCGGCTCTAATATAGAGCAACTCCAAAGCACATCCAAATCCTGACATGATTATCAAAGACACGTCAAGGTGACGAATTCATGTTTGTGCTTGTCCGGGGTGATGACATGAAAATGATGTTTTCGCAGTCTCAGAGTACCACTGACGAGCGAATGATACCTAGAATATCGCCAAAGGCGCGTTCGTGTTCATAGTCATATGGTTTCAATACCCTGCAAGTAGCAATATATTAGCGCTGACTATGCATCTATCCATTAACGTCTTGCCCACCTTGATTTCTCTCCGACTCATCACGAGCACGAACCTTGACGATGGATCAGTCTATGACCTTCTCCCACCCACAAAGCAATCACGCTGGCATCTTACGGCTTCTGACATCTCCGACAGCCACTTAATTATCCAGAATTACAACCGCCAACGTCATCATAAACAATACGGAGTACTTCTTCCCAAATCATTTCGGTCTCGGCACGCTCCTTTGCATCGGAGCCCTCTGCGCCATATCCACCATATCCACCATCTCATATTCAAGAATCCTTCTCATATCAATCCTCACGACGATCAAAATTACTTCCAGCTGAAAACGAATTCCTTCATCATCGCGTCGTTCCTGGACGAACCACCCCGCAGATCCCAAGCAAAGATGGAAAGTACGGCCCTGAGCCAGGGAAGGGCTCAGTGGTAGTGTTCCACCCTTAGATACAATACGACCACCGCCAATCTTCGCACCGCATATGCTCGAAACTACAACAGATTATATTCTAGAAGAAGGATGAGCTCGGCCTGCTGGCTGTTCAGATTGGCGAAGCACGGAACGCAGTCCTAACAACACCAGATTTATAAAGTATCTCTCTAAAGAGGTGGAAAGTATTCATAAATTTGCCCACTTACCGCTACGTAAGGAGATTTGGGTGTACTATAACCAGCATAACCCTGGGCATGTGGATGTCTTTCATGAGACGTTGATCACGAAAGATGGTTTATGAACATGGATGCAAATTGCCATCCAACTGCTCGGAAGAGGCGAGGTTAAGGGTAACAGTCACAAAGACAACACAGACACCTGCATGGGGACACTTGCCAGTGCTAATACACCGGGTTTGAAGTCGTTCAAAGCAAGGCTTGATAAAGAGGATTAGAACCCGAGGGGAAGTCCCTCCTGCAGCTCCAACAGCACCATTGGAATGACTTGGTAGAACAGAACAGTAATCATGCAGTCAGAATAGGGTCAATGACAACAAGTTGCGTAGCTTCCAAAACACGAGTTACGTAGGTCTGCGGACAGAGTAATGACCCTTATCCACTCAGTAGCCCCTTTATGACGAGCCATACCATTATTTTTTTGCTTTTCCATTTGTATCTCCGTTTTCAGTCTCTGGTATGGGAATTGGCCCTCCTGGGGAGTTCTCCAGTCTCGCCGTCAAAACCTCGACGCCTGTTTCTGTGACAAGCATAGTATGTTCTATCAATTTTGATGTTAGTATTGAAATCCATCTCTAAAAGGTCTATGCGCACCAAATTGGGCTGAGCGTTTGCCGTCCACCGTGGCGTTTGTCCAGTCATCTGGCCAAGTCATATCTCGGTTGGTTCCCAGAGTGAGGATAGGTTCGATCGTGAATGTCATCCCGGGTTTGCATGTTCCCACGGCCTTATTCTTCGCGTAGTGGGGAATCCAAGGAGGAGGGTGGAATTCCGAGTTGATACCGTGGCCACCCCAAGTCTTAATAACGGCAAGGCCCCTAGAGGCTGCGTGTTTCTCAATGATCTTACCGAACTCTCGAATCGGTACACCTGGCTTAATTATCGCGATAGCCATATCCAAGGCCTCACGGGTCGTTTCAACAAGCCTGATCGATTCCGGATCCTTTTTATCACCAACATAGTAGGTCTCGTTCAAGTCGGCATGATATCCACCATGGTATAGAGAAACGTCGAGGTTAAGAATGTCGCCATCAAGAAGAACTCGGTGATCGGGGATGCCGTGGCATACAACTTCATTCGGAGATGTACATACCGACTTAGGAAAGTGGTTGTAGTTAAGTGGAGAAGGATATGACTGCCTTACGCTTTAGCGAACAATTTGATAAGTTCACATAGGAGTAAATATCACTCACCTCTCGCTCAACGCAAGCATTATGGCAAATTTCATCCAGGTAATCTGTGGTCACGCCGGGCCTTATCGCCGCAGCAGTTATATCGAGTACTTCTCGAGCTAACCTACACACCTTACGCATGGCGTCCTGGCCCTTTGCATCCAACAGGTCCCATTTTGACCTACTCAGGCGCATCTCACGCTTTGGAATGCCAGTCACGGCCCAGTCGGGATGCTTGATTGTTTTAGGCACTGGTCGTCGCGGGGAGAGTGGATATACGGGTCTGACAGAGCCCGTGAACGGGTATGTCGGAAAGGGGTCGTAAACTCCGCTAGCTATATCGCGATTAGAGAATACAGTCACGAGTAACTTGGAGGTAGTTACCATTTTGTATCTTATGCACCGCCTTGTGTGTGGTCTAGATACGGATCAATGTTAGGTTCTCGGTAAGAAGAGGTCCGCGTGGACGTAACCTACCCAATTTCTCTTGAAGCAGTCTTGAGCGCAGAAGTAACTACCTTTGATGCCCAGCTTTAGACACGTTGGGCATTGCAAGGTCCCAGCTTCATTGTCGCAATCGGCCCCAGAGCACGTCCCATGATCGGACATTGTTGCGAAGTGAAATTCGACCTTGGGTGGGCCATAAGAGATGGGAGGAGAGTTGTGTGGAAATGCGCGAAAGATTTGGCCAGGCTAATGTACCTGAATAGACCGCCTTTTATACTCCGTACTGTCTTCCTATTAAATATACTGCCGACCTCAACACGCTAGGTCGTACTCCGTATAGGAATTTTAAACCGGCGTAGCTGGCAGGTTTCAAAAGGCGGTCAATTTAGGTACGTTCCTTGGACCCAATATTTCGGAGGTCCCAGTGGCACCCATTATTTCAACAGTGTTTACCCCCGCTATAGGCCCAATGGCACAGCTTATCGAGAACCTGAAAATCGGCGGTAAGAGTCCTAGAATCTGATGTTTGACATACACATTTAGCGACAGTATAAGCTAATACCTGCTTTTGACTCACAGATGCTGGAGTCGACATCCCCGTTCTCGCCCCCGCAGTAAACGGAACTTCAAAAGAAACAGAGGATTCGGACGACGATGTCGCTGAAGATACCCCGGCAGTAGCTGTTGAGAACGGCGGTGCCAAAAAAAAAGAAAAACAGAAAGAAGAGGCCAAAGAAGAAACAACAGAAGGTTCAGACGGATCCACCATCGATTCCCTTATCGCAGCTATTCCCGAACAACACCTACCCCAAGGGCGAGGAAGTTGAGTATAAAGACGACAATCGATGGCGAACTACCAACGAGGAGAAACGACACCTCGACAACCTCAATGGTGACTTCCTCTCTGATTACCGTCAGGCAGCTGAGGCACATCGTCAGGTCCGTCAGTGGGCACAGAGAAGCATCAAGCCAGGTCAAACGCTCCTCGAAATTGCCAACGGTATTGAGGATAGTACGCGATATCTGGTGGGTCATGATGGCTTAACTGAAGGTGACTCTTTGATAGCCGGTATGGGATTTCCTACCGGTTTGAACATCGATAACGTTATCGCCTATTATAGCCTAAACGCCGGTTGTAAGACTATACTTACGTAGAGTAATATACTGAAGGTCGATATCGGCATTTATATAGGCGGTCGGATTGTGGACAGCGCCTTTACAATAGCATTCGATCCTATATATGATAACCTACTCGCAGTCGTTAAGGATGTAACGAATACCGGCATATGCGAAGCGGGTATCGACGTTTGGGTAGGAGAATTAGGCGGCTATATTCAGGAAGCGATAGAAAGCTACGAGTGTGAAATCAACGGTACTACCTACCCAATCAAAGCGGTTCGCAACTTATGCGGCCATACAATCCTTCCGTATTCTATTTATGGTACTAAGACTGTCCCCTTTATCAAGTCGGATGATATGACGAAGATGGAAGAGGGGGACGTTTTTGCTATCGAAACCTTTGGTAGTACCGGTAGCGGCCGATATGTCGAAGGAGGCGAGGTCTCACATTATGCCCTGCGCGGTAACGCGAACACCAAAGACTTGACTTTGTCTTCTGCTAGATCTGTCTTGGGAGCTATCAAGAAAAACTTCAGCACGATCCCTTTCTGCCGACGCTATTTGGACCGGATTGGACAAGAGAAGTATCTCCTAGGTGTATGAACTTCCATTACGGATATGTGATTGGAAATCTTGACTAACAAGAATATAGCTGAATAATCTAGTGAAATCCGGAATTGTTGAAGATTATCCCCCTCTAAATGAGAAACAAGGGACCTATACGGCTCAGTTTGAACACGTAAGTCATTTGGCTCTCCATGGCTCCAGGGCTTTCTAAAAGCAGAATAATCACTAATGAATATAAGACTATTCTACTCCGACCAAACGTCACTGAGGTCATTAGTCGCGGAGATGACTTCTAAACATATTCGAGTTGATGGTTTTATGTCTCAGGGTGCATTCAAATAGTTATTGAAATAACTATCATGATTAGTATATTGACCTCTCCCCTTCTACGCATGACGAATGCAAATAAAACTCCCTTGGTGTTTGTTTCCTCCGTGCTAGTCATCTTATAAATTACCACCTGTTTCCGGCGAAGGATCGATCTTTGCTTCAGAAGATTTTGAGTTTCGGTGCTGATACTGCTTGGCAGCCGGTAATTTGCCTACAATGAAATCAATTTAGATGGCTCCTATAGTCGCAGATCATGTGATCTCTGAATAGCTTCATGTTGACAGATAAGGTGATCCGGTGATCTCTACATAGTGTTACAGTACAGTTATAAGTCATGTGATGATTGTTAATTTACACGATAATTGCGGCCAGCGGTAGACTTACCTGAAGTAGTTTAGCGGGGAGTGTGAAGGATTGTGTCTGTATACTAACTCCAGGGATAAGCTCAACACCTGAAGCCCAAGCTCTTCAGCTTCTTACAGGCAGTTGGTATACTAGTCTATCGAGGCCAAATTAGCCTCAAAAGTCACCATACTTGCATATGGAAGAACTAAGTGGAAACATTGCCAAGCAGACCAAGCTGTTTGATGCCGAGACAAACAACACTAAAGGTCACACGCGTCTACCGTAGCTTACCGCTTTAGTTTATATAGCGAGCTCCACCCGCAAATTTTTTTCTTTCCTTCTGCATCGCTTGGAATTCTCCAGCTCTCACTTCTTTTGTTTTTTTCTTTTGTCAGCTTGGACTGTGTTTAATGATGGCACATACTCCAGCTATATTCATGGCCTGCTAAGGCTGCGAATAATGCTCAGTTTCAATTTTTCCAAAAGGTAAGGAAAATATTCTTCTATCCTTCTCAATCCCAAACCCCGGGGATGATTATATTATAGACATGCAAAGGCATTCCTCAATCAGAAGATCCATGTTGAATCTGTCATACTTTTAAGTTTCAGCCTTGTCTGACCCATCACAACATTATCACCTTTATAAGCCATTCATTGAGTGATCTTTGACTAACAATATTTCGCTCAGGTAAATTACACTCGGATTATGTCCCTTCCCTCCATTGCGGCTGTTGCCTAGCATGAAGAAATTTGAACGAACGGGCGGACATAATGTACCCATCTCCCTGCATCCAACAAAAACAGAGCGTACAAACTCTGTGGGTGTATGGGAAGTGGATTACTTGTTGAGAATTCGTCACCTGAACCATTGCCCTTGTCACAATTATTTCATTTTGCATCGACAATTTGAGACCAGTATTTCTAACAGAAATTCTAGGTAATTTATCACTCATCTCTTTCTGCCCTTCTCAACATGGTCAAACCTATCATGATGAATGTGTTATTCACACTGTTGGACTTGGACCTTGTGTCCGGGAATGAACATTTATACAAAAATCTGATTTAATGAGGTATGTGTTGCTTGTCGATTGAATAAAAAACGTGTTTCATGCTGACTGACTTAAAGCCTGACTTTAGTTGCCATGTCTTGATTTCACTTTTGCCTCATGCTTTTTGCTTGAATGCCAACGCTGACTCGACATAAGTGAACAAATAGGAATACCCACAGGTGACCATTTGGCTCGTTGACCGTGAGTTTATTCTCCTTCCATTCCCTGTCTCATTGCATGATGAACCCCAATATACTGTTCTATCTCTGAACTATCATGTCGATAAAATATTTTCACCTTGGAGAACTGATCTTTTCCTTGTCTGCCATCATTTCACTCAACTTGTGATATGATCAATTGCTAATATGCATTACAGGAGCCATCGGTCATTTGTAATAGCCTAATATCAAATAATGAATTTTCTCTTCTGAACATCTGAACACTCCGCGCTCCAAAACTCCCGGCTTTCCCTTAAATTCTCGTAGCCACTCGCTAACCCTTTCCTATACACTTAACCCCCACGCTCATTGGATGTCCCTACTCGAAAAACAAACCATGCTTCTTGTGCCATTGCTCAAGACTATCTTCACCGTACACATCGTGCACACTCTTCTTTCCCTCTGGCCACCGCGCCCACGCCGGCTTCGATCCATCCATGATGCACACCATCTCGTCGGGCACCGGCAACTCGGTATCGATTGCGGAGGCAAACGGATGAATCAGTTCAGGCCAGTGGTGGTCCCAAAGCCACAGCATGGAACTGCAATTCGAGCAGAAGTTCCGCTCGGAGGAGCAAAGCTTCTCGTCCGGTGTGCCGCGATCTTTGATCCCAGAGTATTTCCTGGCGATGACGTTAGTAAATATGCACTTGGTATTATGGGATTATAATTCTAGTGTATAACATGAAAGTTTCTCGATGGGTGTTATGGTCAAAAGTGAAAGTAGGTGGTGATATAGGTCTTACTTGATCAGATCTTTGCCCTTGATGATATTCAGGCTATCGGCGATGCCGCCGAGGTTCACCGCACCGAGGTATCCGCCTACTTTGCGGCAGATGCTGCACGCGCATAGCTGGTAAGGAACTGGTGTATGGGATTGCAGGGTAAATTCGACGCCGCCGCATTGGCAGCTTCCTTCGAGATTCCTATGGATCCGGTTAATGTGCCTGTGTCGGGGATGCAAGGCAGTACTGATGAAGCCTCACGTACATAGGCATGATTTGGTGTGTTTGTTTGATAGGCTTTGAGAAGCTAGTGAGTAGTACGAGTATATCAAATAGATTTTTCGATAGAAGGTTGGATTTTTGTCCAGAATTAGGATGTGGTACTCGATATATATACTTCCATCGAGGAGAGATAACAGGTTTAACAACAAACCCAACAAACAGAGCAAACTGCACAGGCCTCGTATGATCAAAGGCCGTGTCCAACTCTAGACAGCGGATTTTCCATTAATAGAGCTATATCCGAATGCCCGAGTCCAATTCCTTAAACGCCGGATTGATCTCTGCATCATCGACCCTTCCTCGCTACTGTGATTGGCTGAACTACTGTTTGTCTTGTTTGTCTTGTTTGTCTCTCGGAGGTTTCATTCACTTTCGCCGACTGATACTCATCTTGCTAGCTACTTTCTCGTCAGTACCAACGCAGAATCCTTTTCTGTTGATATTTTGAGCGGATATACGCTCTGTACTTTCGGAAATGAGTTTCGGAGCCCCCGGCGGTGGGTCGGTGAACTATAAGCCATCACCGTGAGTTGGATTATTCCAATCGTGCATATCTGTGCTTGCAACATGTTGTCCAGCGAATGAACGAGATCGGATCTCTTGCTCTGTATAATTGCTGACTCAATGGAACGGTTTGCAGACCCGAGCGCGGTAGCTTTCCTCTTGATCACGAAGGTACGCCAGCCCGCAGTCATACGGTCCATATCCCGAAGGAACTCGGCAAGACCAGCTAATCCGATAGAGCTAATCAAAATTTGGGACGCTTTAGGGGAATGCAAGCACATCATCTCAGGATACCTGAAGTGTATCAAGTTGAACAGAGGCACCAACGACGAGGCATGTCGCAAATTGGCCAAGGAATACCTTAGCTGCCGAATGGACAAGTAGGCTACCCCGATATACCGAGGACCAGGCATTGTCATTGGATGAACAATTGTTTTTGTGATGAATGTCGGAGCAAAATGCTGACTGAGACAACTTGACTAGGAACCTCATGGCGCCGGATAACTTCGAGAACCTCGGGTTGGTGTTTAAAGATGGCGCGGGGAAAGCACAGACTCCAGTTACACCAGCTACAGGTGCAACAAACCCAGAACAGAAGAGCTGATATAGGACTGCGAGACGTTGGATGATATTGTATGATATGGAGGAGTGGCGCTATTCCGTGATATTCAGGTAGTGCTGGCATTATTCAAGGCGTTGTATATAAGAAAATGTATTTGGTACCTAATCTAACACATGGAATAAGTAAATATGACCTGTGCAGATGAGAAAGCATCGAAATTCACAAAATTATATCAATCTGAACCGCGGTGGCCTGTTGGCTCGCCCTATGCGGTTCCCCGCATGTGAAACCGTTTCCGCCCAGCCACTCTTACAATCTCCAACCCATCCGAGTCCCATGCCACCAAATGTCATCGATCGCCCGACCACCAGATCCCTGCCTCGTGGCAATCATCCTCATTGTGCGCTCTCGAACCGGGCCCCGCCTCGTCTTCCACTACCCCCCGAATCCCCTCAGCGAGAACCGCATCAAAACCACTACCAGGGGTGGACGGCGCATTTCGCGCAATCGCACGCGATCTAAGAATACCGATTCGAGCTCGAGCTCCGAGAGCGACTCGACCTCCGACGAAGACGAAGACGAACGAGAAACCCAGAGCCATGCTGGTGGGAGTTCCTTGCTGGCGGGTCGCCGCGCTAGCAACTTCGGCCTCGATGATCATCTCCAGGTTGCCACATCGCCTGCTGCCGGTGAACCCCAACGACCTGGGTCGCTAGGCTCTGGGCGTGGTTCATCGGCTCGGAAACGGGCTGCGGGCACCGATCCGGACCCCGACGACGATGCGGGGACGGCGTCTGATCGGCCTGAAGATGGGAGCTCTAGGCCGCCCTGGGAGTCGCTTTTGGGTGTGCCTGGGAGTGTGTGGGAGAAACTACTTAGTCCGTCTCGGTCGTGGCATAAGCGGCGCTTTGAGGTTGGGATTAATGATTTGGCGCTTATTGGTTGGCCGGTTTTTGTGCGCGAGGATGGCTCATGGCGCAAGCAAAGACGCAAGAAGCAGAAGAAGCCCCGTGCTGAATGGGACGGAGGGGAATTGGGTCACAATGATAGTGCCGAGGAGGGCAAGAAGGACGAGCAATTTGTTATTTCGCCTGATTTGAGTGCCAGTGTCGCTTCGATTGCGGAGTCATTGGCATCACCGACAGGCAGTAAGCGTGGGTCGACCAGTGGACGGCCTGGGAAACCGGACGAGTCGCTTGATCCGGAGGACAAAGACCATATGACGATGTTCAATGTGGTGTTTGTTGTAGATCCTCCTTTGCTGGAGTACTCCATGCGCGTGAAGGAAATCTACGAGAATATCATCAAGAAATTTGCCAAAGCTCTCAAATGGGAACAGGCTCGTACTGACTATGTGTGGAAGGAGTCTCAACATATTCTGCAAGTCAGGAGAAGAGCACGAGAGACAAGTATGCTTTCTGCTAATAGCCATCCGCCGGAGCTAACACCCTGGATAGAAACATCGACCCATAATCTTTACTCCGAATTGATATCCCAGTCTTCTCTAGCTCGAGCTATCTACACAGTCTACAGCAGCATATCGGCATCCAAAATCGCTTCCGTATCGCTCAGCCCAGATGTCTCCATCTCGCTCCAGATTCCACCTTTGACCTCTACGTCATATCTTACTGGTCCTATGGACAAAGCATACCCAGGCTTGTGGCTCACGACAGCAGACAGTGCAACCCCCGCCGACGACCCAAGTGTAGATGAAAGCAGCACGCCGCATCAGGTCCCAGCAAAGCACTTTGCTCTACTTCTCTTAGACAGTGAAGCCGCCATTATCAAGGATGTCGAAGCATCTGGGGGAGCGCTTGCCCCCGCACTTGCGCATTATATCCGATGCTCCAAGCCAACCAAGTCATTTGCGCAGATATCAGTCTCATCCGGAATCCCACTATCCCATATCCAGATGCTGTCGAGTCATCTTGTGTACTGGCGTCGTGCTCGCGCCATCCCTCCAATCCACCAACGAGACACATACATCGTCTCTCCAAACTGTGACTTGAGCAAGCTTGAAATAGCTACGATTGCTTATCAGACAGCTTTCCCAACATACCCTAGTTTGCCCAAAATGCTTTCCACGCTCAGTGGCACCCCTCGCCCTTATAGCAACTTCATCCCCAGCAAAGACCACAAAGAGATATACTTCACTATCCTGGCCTGGCTACTGCGCGGCGGCTGGGTCACCCAGCTCCGCACTTTCGCGCGAATCAAGGTCTCACCCGAGGTCAAAATGGCCGTGGAGATGGCGCTGCGCAAGGAGGAAGTAGAGCGATACTTGTCTAGGGGCAACTCAAACTCGATCTCGGTCGATGAGGACAGCGACCCTGACAGTGAAAATGACGATGCGGACTCTTCCTCGTCTTCTTCCCTCGACAGCCACGGCAGCGGGGATGAAACGCCCATGCCTAGTCGACTCGACCCACACGCACAACTGCGCTTTTCTCACAAACTCCTCGATCAATCAACAGCTCTCCGGCTGTCCTCTTTAATTCCCTCCCCGCACCGCGCATCCCCACTCGAGTCCCGCTGGCTTGACGAAATCTTCTCCCGATTCCCCGACACTCCCAGAACCATGCAGGGAGATGGAAACTCCAGTCCGGATGGGACGTCTAATGATACCCAGGCCCTGCACAAGAAGTACTGGCCTGTTTTCCTCAAGTATTTCAATGGCTACGATGCCATGGAGAAGATCAGCGTGCGCGAGAATCTCAAGCGCAAGCTCGTCTGGCAGGTCCTTATGCGCCTGGGCTTAGTGACGGGTCCATTGGGCGCTATGGATCTCGATCCGCGTGAACAGGTGTTAGTTAGTTTTCGGCACTGGTAGGTGGTGCTGGTATGATGTTGATGTAGAGTATGAATATGGAACATGATAACTATCCCTCTTTTACATGGACGTAGGTTTCCAGGTGTCGGTTTATATCTTCCGGTGAATCCCACTACGTAGTATAGATCAGACACCTGAGGTATGTTATTTTCAGTGTAATACAGCCCGCGTATTCTGATTACATACCCACTCTGCCATTCCGATGGTTTCCGCGTGCCCTCAGCCCTAATCATTGCCGAAAGCACAATGTTTGATCATGGATTTAGTAGGTGAAAGGGAATTGAAATGGTTCGTATTTGAGTTATTTAGTTTAATTGGGTTGATGGTTCTAGTATTTATATGAAGATATAAAAGAATGACAGTGTTAGGGCAAAAATAGTAGCAGTTCATTCACATGTAAGGTTGGAAGCATACAATTATATCACATTCTTTTCGCACAATGATCAGCACGGCAGTAGGTAATTTTTTTTCCCGCAAGGTATGTAATATAATATGCAATATTTCTCCAAATGTATTGATATGTATTACGTTTACCCTGAGGATTTCATCACCGGCCCGCATATCCGAATAAGCAACGGTCCAACGGGCTGAAGATTATAGGATAGCAAAATTATTGGGTTGTAGTCGGGCATATGTAGACTAAAGTTGGTGATAATATCTGTCAGTAGTATGGTATTGGTGCTAGGATATTTTGTCACTATAAGAAAGTAGTCATTCAAAGAAAAGCTCGACTCTTCCCATGTTAGATATTTCCATTGTGCGCCAATGGCCGGAGGAGCTCCGGTGGTCCCCGCGAGGTTTAGATGTATTTTTTATGTATGTATGTTTTGCCTTAGATTGATGAGCCGAAAGTTGATATAGGTATTCTGTGGTATTCTGTGGGATATCTAATGTTAGTACCTGAAGAGAAACTTTATATATAGAGTAGAAGGTCTTTGATGGAAGGTTTCTAGCCAGAATGCCATAGTGCTATCCAATTGGCTGGACATTTGTTGCTTAAGACCTCAGAACCCTGAAGCATCGCCACTTAGACAGCTATTTTAATCATGGGTCTCCTGGGCTGGGGCTGTTATTGGGTAATGCCATGTGAAGAAGCATGCGGCTCAATTTTATGACTTTGAACTGGTTCTTTGTTGGTTTCATAGACTGTATAAAAAGTACATTGCCGATATTGCTGACCTCGGCAAGGCAAATACACAACTAGAAGGGGACATAGCATATATAAGACAGGGTATTCTAGGGGTTCATTCTGCACTGCGTAAGAAGTATATAGGTACTATAGGAATATACCTCTAGTACAGAATCGTCTCCGAGATGCCCGACTCCTCTGTATATAGGACTATATACAGGGCAGTGAGATGAATGAGAAGGAATATAGAGATTCAAAGAAATGAGCCTTGAACAATTAAGAAGGTAAATCCAATGCAAAGGAAGTAAAACCCTTTTATGCGAAATTCCACATTCAAAAAAACAAAATGTGCCCTTCAAATATTAATTACGTGTAAAGAAAAAACCCCGCTACCAGTTCTGCCCTGAACCAAATAATTTTGTGTCTTCTCTCTCTTCTCTCCTACAACTTCTCCCCCTCCGCATCGGGCTGTTTTCTCCCTTCCTCTTCCGCGACTTCCTTTCAGATTCCCCTTCGGTACCTCTCCGTCTCAGAGAGAACCGAGATACTTCATCTGTTCCGAACCTTCCCACGTGCGAATCGCCAGTCATTTTTCAAGGGATCGACACTCAGCAATTGATCTTGTGCTTCACATCCAGGTTATCGAATCCTGACAGGAATTACACAGCGTTCCTGTGAATCCGACTTGCACCACTCAGCGACTGAGCTTTTACGACCCTTTTCAGCCTGGAGACGTTGACAAGGCAGTGCCTTAATCGCGTCCTCGGTGGGAAAATTTTCCTTAACTACACTTTCCTCTTTATTTTCTGACAACTTGTGTGCTCACAAGTCACGGTTGTTGAAATCAGCACTCCACAACGAGAAATCGTCGACCCACTTATCAATGCGATTTGTGGTCTAGACGATCCTCACCGATCCAACTCCTTCGATTACCCTTTCGCGACCCGATACTTCCGTGGTCCTTCGTCGAGCTCGTTTACACACGAATCGTCCTTTCGACACACAATTGAGAGTCTCTCTGAAAAGACGGGAAGCTGCAGATTAGTGGGGTCACAAGAAGCTGGAATCTTTCCCTTTCTTGGTTTCCACTTTGCGCAAGTGCCATCTCGCCCCCAGTAGGCGTAGACTGAGATCCAGAGTTACCCAAGGTCGTCCGGTAAAATAAACCGCACCTCAAATTTTTTTCCCCACACACTCGATCAGAGCTACCATAAGCTCTCAATACGACATGTCTACGTTTTCGTACGCACAAGCCGCCAAGGGCGTCTCCGGGACACCGGCCCTGTCTAAGACACCATCAGAATCCGAGAAGACTGACTCCAAACCGGAGGAACACACCACCGTCGAGACTACAACTGATGAAGCACCGGCCCCCACAGAGTCCGAGCCCGTTCAACAACCCGAGGTAGTCGCAGAGGAGAACAAGGATGATGATTTCACCACTGTCACGAACAAGCATGCCGCCAAGACAAAGGCTATCAACTCTCGAACATCAAGCCCGAGCGTTCGCACAGGCTCAAAGGCGCGCAAGTCAAAGGAGGATGATTCCCATACCCCTAATGGCAACGCAGATGCCACCGCTGAGAAGCAGGCTCCCAGTGAGGGACAGACCGAGAAGGCCGAAGGTGCCGCAGAGAAGTCCGCTGAAAAATCCGAGGATTCCGAGAAGATCGCATCACCACCCAAGGAGCTGAAGGCTGCTCCTCTCCCATCAGTCAACATTTGGCAACAGAGACGAGAGGCCCAGGATGCCAAGGTCAAGGCTGTCCCCAAATCCACCTCCACTAGCAAGGCCGCCTCCACGAAGGCCGCCTCGACTGCTGATGAGACCCAGCAAGACTCCAAGACCGGCTCTAAGAAGAAGGGTGCCGATGGTGCACAGGAAGGCGCCAAGGATCGCAAGAAGACCGATGGTGGAAAAGGACGCGATGCCGGATCAGTTCCCCCAGTAGAAGACGCTACTGCATGGCCCACTCCCCAAGTTGCGATTGGCGAAGAGAAGAAGAAGTCTCACGAAAAGACCGAAAAGAGCCCTGTCATTAGACCTCATGGAAAAGAAAAGTGGACACCAGTTCCTTACGTTCCTACTGCTGTTTTCAACACCCCGCTCCCATCTGCTGGTGGTCGTGGAGGTAGACGGGCTACCCGTGGTGGCCGGGACAGCGGCCGTGGAGCTCATGGAAATGGAACCGCTACCACCGATAAGGCTGCCTCTGGACAGGCCGCCCAAGGCGCAAAGCAGTCACCTGGAGACCGAGGACGCCTCGAGTCTGGATCTGGACGTGCCGCTTCTCTTCCCGCGCAATCGCGACGGTCCACAAGCACTGATGCCGGTGCCACAGCCGATGCACGCAAGGCTTCCCAGGCACCCGAGCGCGGCCGTGGTGCTCGCAACGGAGAGGAGAACAACAAGCAGGTGAATGGTGGCGAGAACGGCCCCCGCCCTCAACGCGAGGGCAAGCCCATTGGAAGAAGCCAGGATGCCCGTGCAGGAGACCGCAACCAGAAGGGTGCCAACCTGGCTGTTGACTTGCAGGCTGCAGCCCGTGGCAATGACCGTCGCTTCGAGGCTGGATCCAAGTCTGCCGACCCCACCGGTCTCACTGACTTTAGCCGTGAACGTGGAGAGTTCCGATCTGAGCGTGGAGGTCGTGGATCTAACCGCGGCCGTGGTGGTGCCTACGCCAACTTCGGCGGCCAGAATGCCCAGTTCAATGCGTCTATGTCTAACAACCCATTCCCTGCGCCTAAGTCGTTCGGCTTCAACGAGCGTCAGCGGTCACACCAGCACGGCCTCCCCAATGGAGCTCAACAAGGAAACCGTATGCCCCTCCGATCGCCCTCTGTGCCCACTCCCGCAAACATGTACGGTGTTGTTTATCCTTTCCCAGGTGATATCAACACGATGTATGGCTACCCAGCTGCCCCGATGAGCGCTGTTCCCTACCAGCAATATGTGGAGCCTTTCTCGCTCATGAATATGCTCTCCATGCAATTGGAGTACTACTTCTCGGTTGACAACATGTGCAAGGACATGTTCCTTCGGAAGCAGATGGATTCCCAGGGCTTTGTTCCTCTGAACGTCCTTGCCAGCTTTAAGCGTGTCAAGTCCCTCACTGAGGACTTTGAGCTCATTCGTCACGTGTCCCGTCAGCTCCGTAACGTTGAGTGCCAGACTGGCGAGGATGGTGTCGATCGCCTGCGCCCCAGAGACAAGTGGCAGCAGTGGGTCCTCCCCGTGGATCAGCGTGAGCCTGCTGCCCAGAATGAGGGCGCCGCCCCTGCTAGAAAGACCGACGAGAACACCCCGGTTCACGGCCACTCCGAGAACGTTATCAACGGATCCGCTCGTCAGTTCGTTCCCAACGGTGTCGCCCATGATGTCAAGACTTCACTTTCGTCTACCGCTCCAGAATTCATGCCCTCATTGCTACCTACTGCAGTGAACGAAATTGCCAATGTAGGATACCCCTGGAACTTCCCAGTCTCCCCTGATGATTCGAGAATGTCGTTCTTTTCGTCTTCTTCGTCTTTCCCTAATTTAATTATTGACTCTTCTTTCTCAGCGCGTGGACTAGATTCGCAGTCCGAACCCCCTTTCCCCTTTGATTTGGAATCGATGGTGTCCCCGACAAGGTATGCTGAATTTTTTGCATGTGAAATATATTATGTGCGGTACTGACTCACTGTACGAACAGCTCTGATGCAGATTGCTTTCAATACCAAGTCGGCGGTACTGATTGGTTGATCAGCAAGTCTTTTGCCGAAGCGCATCAACCGGCGCCTAAGTCAAATGGGAAGGGCCGTTCGTCCACACAAACGTCAAATTATGTCCCAAAAACTTTCAATATGTCTCGCAAAGAAACCTTCGATGGCCGAGGCCGACAGATGTCAAGAAGGTATAGCATTGGAATGACCCAGCCTTACGAATCCTGGTCATTCAGCTTGACAAAAAATTTCAATTCGCATTTGTACAATGAATTTAGGCGTTCAGCCCTTGATGATCTTTTGACTCGACACGTTGACAACGGTTTCAACGAGCTCATGGAGTTTTATCGGAACTGTTTGCTTCACCGTCGCCACATTCCTGACCTCGTTCTGTACGACATGGTCTATCTTTCACAAGGTCAAACATCGGACTACCACACTCTCGTCTCCAATACGATCCATGAAACCATTGCCAGTGGAAAGATGAAATTACACAATTGGGGGAGAATCAGCAAATATTTCGATACCCAACTGGGCAAGACGGCGGGAGAAAAGTTATCATGAGCCCTTTTGCATTTCTTTCTGAATTTTGCTTCTTCGCGACACGTCTCCTTCTACTGCTTGTTCATCTTTCATGACCAGCATTATTCTTTTTTTTGTTCAATACGGTTTTTTTATCTCTTGCATGCATATTCGCCAACTTTTCTAGAGTTCCAAGTGACCCTTTCATTGCAATAACGCGGTCTGGTTTCTCGGCCAACTCGAACCTTCGGAGTTTTCTCACCTCCTTTTTTTCTGTTTGATGATTTCATTGCTTTTTCAGTCATGGGAGATTCTCAAAACGTTCTGGCGTCCGGGCATGATTTTACTGGCAGTCTCTCTTTCTTTTGATGCCTGCCACTGCGGTGTGCCGGGCTCCAAAATTCGTTCTCTTTTTCACCCTTGACATAGATATTTCCACTACTTTTCTTGTTTCCTTTCCCGAGGTTGTGGCTTTTCCTTTATCGATCCAGTCAATTTGCGATCCAGGCCTTTCATCGGCTCTGGGTCTTAACAAGTATCAGCATGGCAATACTCAGAAAAAAGCACATGTTTTAAAAAATATCGCCTCGAGGTTTTCTGTGTTTCGAGTTTCGTGATGTCAATCGGAGGAATGAATCCAGCATATCTACATTGCCGATCTCTTCTTCCCTGTTGACCATCCATTCGGTCTACCAGGTTCTTCTTTGGACAGATCCTTTGAAGTGGATTCATCCATCTCAGTGCTTTTTTCTTATTGCTGGGGTTCCTGCACAGAATATTTTGTTTTCTGTACTTTGTTTTCTTGCATAAACTGGGCTGGCTGTTCGGGTCTTTGTGGAGTAATATGATTGATATGATTGATAATGCATACTATGCACCAAGGCATTAAATTTGCTCTGTAAAATAATGTGAATTGAAAGACGTGTTTGAAACTACATAATAATGATTGTCATCTATAAAACCGCGAGTCGAGTCTGATGGAATGAGGTCGATCGTTCCTGCCTCAGGCAGCCAGATCTTGCAACGGAGATAATTCAATCCCGATCCGGCTCTAACAGCTCCCTTTCCCCTCTCTAGCTCTGTTCAGCACCTCCAGCACACCGTTCTTCTTCGCCTTTTAGCCTCTTTACCTTTAAATCCACCTTTTTATCAGGATGGAGGGTGCATCCCGCCAAACGTCAAGGCTACTCCGGCCTCGTGGCCAGAAACTCCTTCCCCGTCTCACACGAACCTCCGCAGTCAACGCCACACCCTTCACCCATATTCAACGACGGACACTGTCGAATTCCCCTCGGCCCTTTGCACCAGAGTCTCTTCTCAACACCTTTAGAACCGGTGGTTCATACAACGAAGGACCCACCAGCTATTTCTCCAACCGACAAACACTTCCCGCGAATACCGTTGTACGATTTGTGCCACAGCAGACAGCATGGATCGTCGAGCGCATGGGAAAGTTCGACCGTATCTTGGAACCCGGTCTTGCGATCCTTGTGCCGTTCTTGGACCGAATTGCTTACGTGAAGAGCTTGAAGGAGGCGGCTATTGAGATCCCCAGCCAGAACGCGATTACGGCGGATAACGTTACTCTTGAGCTGGACGGTGTACTATATACGCGCGTTTTCGATGCATACAAGGCAAGGTGAGTGGTTCAAGGGCGGTTCTTGGTTGTTGTGTGGGATTGGACCAATCGGGACAAAGCAATCGTTAATACATCAATCGTCAATTCTAGCTACGGAGTCGAAGATGCAGAATACGCTATTTCGCAACTCGCGCAGACAACTATGCGTTCCGAAATCGGTCAGTTGACCCTCGATCATGTTCTTAAGGAACGCGCCAATCTCAATACAAACATCACCAAGGCTATCAACGAGGCGGCCCAGGAATGGGGTGTTGTCTGTCTCCGATACGAGATTAGGGATATCCACGCGCCGGAGGCGGTCGTTGCTGCCATGCACCGCCAGGTTACTGCTGAGCGCTCCAAGCGAGCTGAGATCCTCGAATCTGAAGGTCAGCGCCAGAGCGCGATCAACATTGCTGAGGGTCGCAAGCAGTCTGTGATTTTGGCATCTGAGGCTCTGCGCTCCGAGAAGGTCAACCATGCTTCTGGTGAAGCCGAGGCTATCAAGCTCAAGGCCGAGGCTACCGCGCTTGGTATTGACGCTGTTGCTCGGGCCATCGAGGAGGGTGGCGAGAATGCTCATAGCGCTGTTGGTCTCAGCGTTGCTGAGAAGTACGTCGCAGCTTGGTCAAACCTGGCACGTGAGGGCACAGCCGTTGTTGTTCCCGGTAATGTCGGTGACATGGGTGGTATGATTGCCAACGCCATGGCTGTCTACGGCAAGGTCAGCGAGACTCACGCCCGGGGGCTGGCAAAGAAAACCCTCGGGGTCGAAGACGCCTCTCGGTCATCGGAGACATCGCAAAACAGTCAGGTGCCGACCTTTTTTGAGGAACAGGCTGGGCAGAACACACAGTCGAATGTCGCCTCGCGAACTGCCGAGGAGGGATTTGAAACTGTCGCCGGCGAACACAAGAAATAAGCATCTATACTTCACCGAACCGAAACGAGAACGACGACTCCTCTCTTGATGTGATTATATTTCTTTCTGCCTCTTTTGTTGCTCTGGCACCTCCGCCCAGTCAGCCCTAGTCTTCAGCTCCTTTGGTATATGGGCTGGCTGTTTCCCAGTCTCTTCGACATTCTTCTTGAATTGGGCTCTCTGAATTTACCCACTACTTCCCATCTCCATTACTTACCTTTCCCGCTCTTACTGCCTATTGTCTTCCTATTGTTGTCCGGCATTTCTTTAGGAGTCTTCCAAAACGCACGAGCTTCGCTGTGTATGTGGCATCGAATTCGCCAAATTGGTTCCTGTATGTGTAAATAGAGAATTTTTGTTGATCAGAGAGCCTGCGCGGAAGGAAATATCTCAATGTACAAGTATCAGTATCTTTACATTGCTTTCCAGGAATTGTAGGTCGGTTGTGAGACATCGGATAAACCGGGTCAGATTAAATCTTTGGTTTCATCACTTGTACGATTATTGTGAATCCAGTAGTTGGCTTTCGATCTTGATTATGCTGCCGGCTATTCCTCAAAAGGGTCTACTCAATGTACTACAGTTTGGAGATAGAGGCCACTAATACAAGTGCATTGCTAACAGCTCTTAGTAAAAAGTTCCCCTGGTCCTAGTTAGTTCAAACCGAATACAGGAGGGAGGACAACGTACTTGAAAACGAATAGAATCACGCAGCAGAAACCAAAGAAGCAGGAATAGGTTCAATATCGAACCTGATCTCAAGTGAGGAACTTTGATCCCAGGTCATAACCTTAGAAATATAATATGTACCCCTCGGAAAGATCTCCAGGACCAGATACACCGCGCACTTACCAACGCGTGTACCCAGAAGAGCCTGGTACTCGGGGGTGTTATACTGCCATATCAGCGGCGCGTCACAAGCCGGAGGCCAGGTCAGACCATTACGCGATGAATATAAAACATCCTGGACAAAATTTTTGGTATTGAAATTGACAACATCACAGACATATAAGTGTCGCAAAGTCTGTGGCTCAGCAATCTCCTGCAACCGGGCTCGGGCAATCTGGGAAAACTGAGGTCCGTCACTTCTGAACATCGCCTCGACGATGATCAGACCCCTTCCAACTAGGATGTCATACACATTCTCACAGCCAGCTAGCCCAGGATCGCCCTCTGCCAACCTGCGCGTCAGTGTCTGGTTATATATCGCTTTGTTAGTGTACCCCAGTGCGAAGGCATTCTCCGCAACCTGGAATGGGATGTTATGCTTCTCGGTTTGAATGAGCCAGCGTGCCTTTGTAAGATCCGCTACGGTCAGGGCGTTGGGCTGGATTTGGCATGTGGGATCAGTGGGGTCTTCGATCCATCGTTGTCGTGTAGCTCCTCCGTCTTGGATCTTGCCGTACCGCCGGGCTGGGGTGGAAATGGCTGGGGGTACGTCTGGGGTGGTGCTCGGAATCCCTAGGGGAGGATTGGGGGGAACCCAAGACTGCTCTGAAGGTGTCATATTGATGTATCAGTATCTTGTATCGATCACTCGAATGGTGAGCTTCATTACCATATATAGTATATGCCGGTATAGGTGTGGTACAGATATCCATAAGAAAGAAAAGAAGATCATACAACAAAAACAACAATGACCTGGAAGACGACAAGGACAAAGGCAAGGTGGAAGTTTAGACGACTGAATCAAAGGAGACTGCTTCTTTGAGAGGCTTGACAAAGAATGAAGAGCTCTGTTTCAAAAGCTTTGTGTTCCTTTGTGCAAATACATACTTGTTTGAACAAGACAAACATAAGTCGAATGACAATATAAAGCCTGGGCTTTATTACTCCATCGAGTCTTTCTCTCCATATTTCACCAGACGCTTTGCTGGTAATTCACCAACTATTGTCCAAAGCAGTATTCACATCTCTGGATCATCGAAGCCAACCCTGGTCTTATCTTCAGCCGCGACAATGTCTCTTACTAGACCTAACCACCTGAGCTACGAACAGCATTTCGAGCGAGAATGCGAGTTCTTCCAGGAAACTCTACTCAGGGAGGCTGACTCGCTCAATCGGTTGGAAAACCGCCGCGCAGGAACCATTCAAATAATTTGTGATCTGATCGTCCAGCTGGAAATCGTCAGACGGCTCGCTGAGACTATGGCCAGAAAGTCCCCGATGTGTCCAACTGTCCTGATTAGCCCCCCGGGATATTTCCGCGGTGAATTTCAAAGCTTTTGCCGTGCAAAGATTCTACCTGGTCTGATTAGGTCGCTGACTTGCCTTAACGAGTCAGACATTATCTATCGCGATATCAACTACTCAGTCGCTGCTCAATTGGAGGAGATCCACGAGGACTTTACTTTTGTCTTGGATAGCCGCGAGTAGCCAGATTGTCTTGTTAGGATTCTGTCTGCTTTTTCTAAGTTGCTGGATTACTCTAGCAAGTTAGATGCCCATTTATATATCCCTGTACAGATGTTGCTCAATGACATTATCTCAGGTGAATATGACCTTTAGTTTAGATACGTCGTATACGTCGCGAATACTTCACTGCATTGGTTAGAAAGATAACATGGTCCATTCAGTTCGTATTCAAAGTTAATAGTTATCTGTATTATTTCCAGACATGTCATTTCGTGGCCTATATCGTATATGGCCTGTTAGTTCTGCTTGCATGTCTCTTGTAGTCTTGAACCCATTTGCTCTGTACTTTGTAGTAGACACTTTATTTACCAACTGATAAATATCACATACTCATTTTGGACCTCACACTCCATGCACCAGTAGTCTACCATCACACTTCAATTACATATTCTAAGTATACGTAGATTCTAAATAAAACACCGTAAGGCATCAGATGCCGGCAATGGCACCATCCAACGATTGGTTTACTGACATACTTATTTGTGCCGTTCCCCCCACCTCAGCTAATGTCACTGGTATATTAACCTCCATCCCCCTCATTCTTCTCTTACTCTTCTCACATCCTCTACATCTTATCTCTAAAGCAATAACATAGCCTATAAATCATCCACCATGTCTAGCTCTGGAAAAGGATACACTGTTACCGGCTCCGGCACTAACAGCCAGGTAGGTATACCCCGCTCCATTTCCTATGTTATATGCCAACAACAAGATAAGACATGCATTCGTTCTTGGTAATTCCAGACCATCATCAATATGTCACTTACAAGAGGTAAATTAGGGCAACCATTATTGCACTCGCGACTACGGTTCCAGCGCTTCTAACTCGAACAGCTACCACTACTCCAATACGTAAGCTGTCTCAATGCATATGATAATGCAGTGAACGAGAACAGTTTATTCTGACTAGTTGCTTTAGCAATGGATCCTACTACTACTCCAACCCCAATGGAAGTACCTACTACAACAGCGGGAAGGGAAGCTCTACCTACACCCCTCCTTCCGGAGGATCCGGCAAGAAATAAGTTCTCATGCAATAACGTCGACAATTGATTGGCGTATCATGAAGGCCTAATTTATCCAAAGAACCAATGAATCTTTCTGTTTCCTTTATAAAGATGTGTAGTTGTAGTGTAAGCATATCTAGTAGAGAATCCTCGATCACTTAATGCTCGAATAAATTGAAGTTCCTAGTCAACTGAGGTCCAGCTTTTCCAAGGTTCTCTATATTGTTTGAGTTGGTTACCATAGAGATATCTGGATGTTTTACCTCTTCTTCACCAAGGGATGAAGCCCAAAGACACCGAGACCTTAACATGCAAGCTTGTAATTGAACTAGAAAAATAACATATGCTGGTACTTGAGGACTATTGAATCTCTCCAGTTTTTTCCCGTAATCATTCATTGACGAGAGAAGGTTGTCCAGGTATACACTAAGTGGCCATACTTCCGGTAGAACCATGTTTGCCCTGCTCACTTTGTTTGATAAAATCAGCAAGCATAAAAAGATCACTGCATAATATAAAATATTTCAATGGTAGTATTCCCCCTCAAAAAAAATCAATAAGTGCTAGTTAGTCCTTGCAGTGTAATTCAAGAGACTATCAACGCGGGAGCTCGGACCAGGCAAATCTGGAGATCGCGACTTTTGGATTCACGTCCTTTTAATATCCGGTCTCTTTGAACCTGAGCCCTTTGACTTCTATTTCTTGAATCTGTGACCGAGGAATCCATTCGTTTTGACTCTTGGTCCTGCCATGTTCCACGTTAAGTTCATATAATCACCAAAAGCCTAGCTCCGACTCGATACGCCGCGCCGCTCCCCTCCCTACCCACGCTCTGCGCACATTGGCGCTGATACGTGTCGCATGACCTGATCTCGAGGCACGATCACGCAAACCTTCGAGAAATAAACGAATAACCGTGACTTTGTTCTGCGGCTGGCGCGATGCATATCATAAAGCCAGTTTGGCTCACCCATGGAGGTACGGAGCTTGATCGCCCTGGTTTTCTTTGCTCGACACCGTTGGGATAGAAATGCAGTGCTTCTGAGAGCAGAAAACCAAGGTATCCAACGAAAGAACGAGTTTGCTAATGTTTTTGCTCTGACACAGGTGAACGTAAGGATTTCGAGGTTTACAGCTGCGATGTCTCGCCAGATGGGAAGCGACTGGTCACAGCTGCTGGAGGTGAGCTCGACCCTTTTTGCTTTGAGGTGGAGGCCACAAAGATCATGCGCCATAGAGAGAATTATCGCTGACATTCTTTTGATTCGCTCTAGATGGATACGTGCGAATCTGGTCAACAGAAGCTATTTACGGCACCGGTACACCCGAACTTGAGGGCAAGCCAAAACAACTGGCGTCCATGAGCAACCACTCCGGCACGATTCATACCGTGCGTTTTTCACACAACGGGAAATACCTAGCGTCAGGCGCAGATGACAAGATTGTCTGCGTGTACACCCTCGACGCTAACCCTCCAACACACTCATCAACATTTGGTATGCTTCGGACACACTGGATACGGAGAGACAAAAGTAGATACTGACAGCTATGGAAAACTATTAGGCACCGATGAACCACCTCCCGTTGAGAACTGGCGCACGATTCGGCGATTGATCGGCCACGACAATGATGTCCAGGATCTCGGGTGGTCTTTCGACTCATCGATACTGGTCTCCGTTGGGCTGGACTCAAAAGTCGTGGTGTGGTCTGGCCACTCATTCGAAAAGCTGAAGACGATAGCGATCCATCAGAGTCACGTCAAAGGCATCACTTTCGATCCGGCCAACAAATATTTCGCAACCGCTAGCGATGACCGGACCGTTCGCATTTTCCGATTCACCTCCCCTTCCCCCAATTCTTCAGCTCACGATCATATGAACAACTTCGTCCTTGAGCAGACAATCACAGCCCCATTCGCCAATTCTCCGTTGACAGCTTATTTCCGTCGTTGCTCTTGGTCGCCTGATGGGATGCATATTGCAGCTGCTAATGCTGTGAATGGTCCTGTGAGCTCTGTGGCTATTATCAACCGTGGATCATGGGATGGTGATATCAATCTGATTGGACACGAGGCGCCTGTTGAGGTTTGTGCGTTCTCTCCACGACTTTATGCAACTGAGCCGCCCAATAAGAAGCAAGCCGATGGGCAGCCTGTACCTCAACACCACATTACCGTCATTGCTTGTGCCGGTGGAGACAAATCTCTCAGTATCTGGATTACGAGTAATGCACGACCGATTGTGGTTGCGCAGGAAATGGCTGCTAAAGCCATTTCGGACCTGGCATGGTCTCCTGATGGAAAGTGTCTCTTTGCTACTGCTCTGGATGGCACAATTGTGGCAGTCCGGTTTGAAGATGGCGAGTTGGGCTGGGCCACGGCAATGGAAGAGAATGAGAAATCACTCACCAAGTTTGGGACTAATCGAAAGGGCGCTGGAATCACAGAAACTACTGACAGCTTGTTGCTGGAGGAAAAGAGCAAAGCTGGCGAGATCAAGCACGTCGAAGGGAGAATGGGTGCACTGATGGGCGATGGCGCCGAACCTACGATTAATGGAGATAAAGCCCCACAAGCATCAAATGGGACCGCACCTGCTCGGGGCTCTTCGCCAGCTCCCGAGGCTACGAAGACCCAGACGAATGGGACCCTTTCGACACCTGCCGCCACAGAATCAGAGAAGCCTGACCCTTACAAAGCCAAGTTGGAAAGACTTAAGCAGCGTCCAACCTACACCAAAGAGGGCAAAAAGCGGATCGCTCCATTACTAGTTTCCGGAGCTGGGGCTGGCGAGTCATCTCTTCCACAAGCCCGTTTGATGGCGTCTGTCAGCAATGAGGTCAAGGCTGATGCCCCGACCACCATCGTTGACCTGTCAAAACCCTTCGATGGCTTACCCAAGGGTGGCCTGACTGCTCTTCTTATTGGAAACAAGCGCAAGCTGGCCCAGATAGAAGGCGACGAAGATGGCAGCGTCGAAAAGCGTGTGACACTTGCCAGTCAAAACGGTGCAACTCCCATCATGGCCAACACTCCCGACGGCCTTCTACCAGCTCAAGTTCAATCTGCCACGACTGGTCAACAGCCAACTCCAGAATTCATTCGCCCCGCAGTCACAAATCCTTGCATGTCGGTCAGCCAACTTCGTCTGGCAGTCCCTAAAATTCGCAGCCAGATTCTCCGCGCGTTAGATTCGAGTGGGAAACCGACGGAACAACCTGGCCCTAGTACAGACTCGGGCTCTTCTAAGAGTCGGGTGGACGTGGTTTTCGAAGCCCGGAACCCATCACCAGCAAGTCTGACCGGTCGTGCCGTGGACCGCGAGCCAGTACGCCTGACACTGTTCCGCGGAGATCAACCATTGTGGCAGGACTTCTTACCGCGGTCTGTCCTACTTGTGACTGGTAATCAGAGCATGTGGGCAGCTGGCTGCGAGGATGGATCAATCTATCTTTGGACACCGGCAGGTCGTCGTCTGGTAAGTGCGCTCGTTCTCGAGGCACAGCCTGTCATCTTGGAGTGCAATGGACCGTGGATCCTGTGCATTTCCTCCGTGGGCATGTGCTATGTTTGGAATGTGAAGCACTTGTCGTCTCCTCACCCACCAGTCTCCCTCCAACCAGTCCTGGATGCTGCAATTCATACTATGGGCGTGACTCCCACCGCCGCTCCCGCAGTAACAGACGCACGCATTAATTCGGAGGGTCGAATCATTGTTTCTTTGTCTAACGGCGAAGGATACTCCTATTCCCCATCAATGTTCACATGGCAGCGCATCTCAGAAGCCTGGTGGGCCGTCGGCAGTCAGTACTGGAACACCACAGACGCACCCGTGAGCAACTTGCAGGCCAAGGATGCACAGCAAGATAACAAGGATGCGAAGGCAGCTGTTGCCGCCGGCATTATTCCTTGGTTGGAGCGAAACACCACGAATGAGACCCTCCTTCGCGGAAGAGCATACTTCCTCCAGCGTCTCATCAAGGTTTTATTGTCACGCGAAGGTTATGAGACTTTCGAGTCCAGCGTATCAATTGCTCATCTCGAGAACCGTCTTGCTGCTGCTCTGTCCCTGGGTGCCAAGGAAGAGTTCCGGTTATACCTATCCATGTACGCTAAGCGCATCGGTGCCGAGGGTCTAAAACTGAAGGTTGAGGAGCTCCTAAAGGGTCTCATCGGTGGTCTTTTTGAGGATGAAGACGAGGACAGTGAAGGCGTCTTGAAACTGCAGGACAACCAGCGCGATGGCCGTAACTGGCGCGAAGGATCTGATGATCTGTGTGGCTGGCCACGGGAGACTTTGTTGAAGGAGGTGATTCTAGCGCTTGGTATGTTTCTTTCTTTTTTCTTTGTTCTTTCTTCTCTTTCTTGACGATTCAATTACTAACGAACGTTCATCTAGGTAAACATCGTGACCTTCAACGCGTGACAGTTCCTTACGCCAAGCTGCTGGACATGGTTGACAATACCTCTGAACATGGCGATGCAATGGATCTTTAATGATGTTTTCTCTCTTGCTATCTATACCTTTTCTTCTTCTTGCTGGCGTTCAATAAGTTCGGGCTGGGTCAACCCAAAGGGTTTGCATTATTATCTCTGCTGAGGCGGGATTGGAGATGATAAATCTCATTTTCATGGTGTATTTGTATCATAGGTTCACTTTTGGGTCGTTATTATTTAAGCCAACCTGTTCCTATCTTGCCCTAGTTTGGTCTTGCTCTAGGATCAACCAGACAGACCCTAATATCCCTCGATACACACAGTATTACGTACATGACACCCACATGGATGTAGTGACGTCGTCAGGGCTTGACTCTCACGTGGGCGGTAGCAGCTCTGCAGGCAGAAAATTTGAAGATATCTGGCGCGTACCTCGTCAACATTGCATTTTGATAGCTAAAGACGCATTCATTTACTCTCTTTGTACTCATAGACCTTGTCCGCAATTGCTGTGGACAACCGCCATCACGTCTTCCAAACCATCTATCTTCTTCCTTCGTATCGTCGATCGATCCGCAGCTGGTCCTGCATTTGGCGCGTTCCATTCTTGTTCCCGCTTCCGCCTTTCAACTTCCCCCCACCTCCCACTTCTCTTCTGTCGCTTCTACTCAAGCAAGAAGAAAAAATCCAATAAGATGCCTCCCAAGAAGCAGCAAGTCCAGGAAAAGGTCCTTTTGGGCCGTCCAGGAAACAACTTGAAGAGCGGTATCGTATGTGAGCTAGGCCCCCACCCATTCTTTTTTTTTTTTTCCTTTTTCCACACAGCACAGTCCACTTTTACTTCCGAAAAACTATTTAAACCCCCTTGTCCCCCTTCCCTCCCGCCTTTTTTTTTTCTTTTCCTCAACCATGATTGACTAACAATATGGCTTCAGGTTGGTCTTGCCAATGTCGGCAAGTCGACACTCTTCCAATCCATCACCAAGTCCTCCCTCGGTAACCCGGCCAATTTTCCCTATGCCACCATTGACCCCGAGGAGGCTCGTGTCATCGTTCCCGATGAGCGGTTCGACTGGCTCTGCCAGCACTACAAGCCCAAGTCGCAGGTTCCTGCCAATTTGACTGTGTACGATATTGCCGGTCTCACTCGCGGTGCCTCGACTGGAGCCGGTCTGGGTAACTCTTTCCTGTCACACATCCGCGCTGTCGATGCCATCTTCCAGGTAGTTCGCTGCTTCGATGATGCCGAGATTATTCACGTCGAGGGTGACGTCGATCCTTGCCGTGATCTGACCATCATCAACGAGGAGCTCCGCATCAAGGATATCGAGTTTGTTGAGAAGGCTCTTGATCTTCTTGGCAAACAGACTCGTCGTGGTGGACAGTCTCTGGAGATGAAGAAGCTCAAGGAGGAGGAGGCTACCACTGCCAAGATCCTTCAATTCCTGAAGGATGGCAATGATATCCGCAAGGGTGACTGGACCCCCAAAGAGGTATGTTGGAATTTTTTTCTTCTTCTTTTCCCAAATCAACTTGCCCTTTCAACTCCTTTCCTGATGAATAAGAGCACTGCTCGAAATTAACCCAGCTCGTTGAGTGCCCTCATTAAAAGGATACTCACAATCCGAGGGCACCTTGAGAAAAAAAGTTATATGCTGAAATTTTGGAGTCCACTTCTACATGATTGAATCACTCATACTCTTTGTGAATCCTCATGCTAACCGAATTGGTTATAGGTCGAAGTTATCAACCCTCTGTTCCTCCTCACTGCTAAGCCTGTTGTGTACCTGGTCAACCTGAGCGAGAGAGATTACATCCGCCAGAAGAACAAGTACCTCCCCAAGGTCTTCGAGTGGATCAAAACCAACTCTACCGGCGACCCAATCCTTCCTGTCTCGGCTCAGTTCGAGGAGCGTCTGACCCTGATGCACGATGATGCGGCCGCTGAGGCTGAGTGCAAGACTCTGGGCACCAAGTCCGGTCTGCCCAAGATCATCACCACCATGCGCCAGTCCATGAACTTAGGCAGCTTCTTCACCACTGGTGAGGACGAGGTTCGGCAATGGACCATCCGCAAGGGCATCAAGGCTCCCGCTGCGGCTGGTGTCATTCACACGGACTTCGAGAAGACCTTCATCCAGGCTATTGTGTACAACTACGCTTCTCTCCGTGAGTACGGTGATGAGAATGCGATCAAGGCTGCTGGTAAGATTATGACTAAGGGTAAGGATTACGTCGTCGAAGACGGCGATATCCTGCTCATCAAGGCTGGTGCTGCTAAGCACTAGGTGCACATAGACAATAGTTCTTCAAATGAAACACCAGTGTTGAGTCTTGGCATTTTTTCCAACTGTAAATTTCCTTGCTGTTGCAAATCATCATTGGTAGGTCAATGTTGCAGAATATACCTCATTTCCCTTCTGTATGATTCTTGCCTTGGTATTTGAAGGCTAAGCCTACAATAGCTCACATTCATAGTGAAAGATCATACATTCTATTGTAAGCTGTTCAGCATGAAGTCGAAGCAAAAAATCCGAAGCACTTAATTTGGTCACGTGACCGCCTCCCCGCGCATCCCACTTCGGTATCAAGAGCTTGATTCTTATATTATCACCACCTCAACAAGCATCATGTTTAAGAAAGAGTGAGTCAAACGCTTCTCATAAACCCACGACTAGCCCAGTGGATTGTTTGGTGCCTCTTGTCTACCCAATGGGAGCACATATCTCTCTCTGTTTGAAGACCGGGAAAGACTGCAGGAGCTGTCCAATGCTCCATTCAAGACCACACAGCGCCCATGGGATAAATCTTGTTCAAAAAGATTATCAAAAACACCAGCTAACATCCGTGCTCCATCTAGTATTCCCCCAAGCAACCGATCTAAGGTGAAGTCCTCGGTGCAGCGCGGCCTGCGCCAGAAGCTGCTGGAAACATACCCAGGCCTCGAGCCCTTCATTGAAGATGTCATGCCCAAGAAGGCCTCATTGGAAGCCGTGAAACTGTAAAGTTCCCATTCCCGCGTCTTTTGTCTTCCGATTCCAGCAACGTCATCTCTGGCTTTCGACATGAACGTGCTGCATCTTTTCTAGAGACCCAAAAGCTAACCACAACCACCGCCATAGACCCGATCGCGTGACCCTCTACACGATAGACTCAACCCCCCTCTTCTTCCAACCTATCGATGGACCCCCAGTCCCACACCTCCGCCTCATCCACGCCTACCCCTCCGCCATCCCGACAATCCAGATCGACCGCGGTGCCATCCGCTTCGTGCTTTCCGGCGCAACGCTCATGGCTCCAGGTCTCACATCCCCCGGAGGCCGTCTACCTGATGCCGAGCATGCGCTTGAGGCCGGACAGATCGTTGGTGTCAAGGCTGAAGGGAAGGAGGAGATTTGTATGGTTGGTATGCTGAAGGTTGGCACTGAGGAGATCAAGAGTAAAGGGAAGGGAGTTGTTATTGATGAGGGCCATTATCTTGGCGATGGACTTTGGAGAATGCATTTAGATTAAGGGACATGGTTTTCAAAAGAAGCAAGGGATTCATTGGGCTGGGGTTGTGGTCTTTTGGGATGTTTGGCTTGGAACTATACCTTTATACCTCTATACCTCTCTGCACGCATGGCGATGATTATGTGTTGGATGATTTGAAATGAAATATCCCCCTGGACAAGGATCCAGATTGGTTCAATGGATGTATTGATTGAATGTAGATAGCTTCTTGTATTGTCTTAAAAGGCTTTGTAATTTATGTAGGAGAAGCACAGGTACATGATTACTGGGGTATTCGGAGGTTCTTAGGTTGAAATATATATTTTGACGATGGGGCTGGTTCGCAGAAACTTCCCATTTCCCCCTTTTCATCAATGTCTTTTGATCCAGTCGACACTTATTTCACAATGCATTCCAACAGTGGAAAATGCCGATTGGAGTTCGCTCATGGTATGTGGCATAGCTAATGCCACAAAGCCGCAATTCAAGCAGCCCAACGACAATATGAGATTGAATCACTGGCAACACGACTGACCCATGGCTGATATTGAGCAGAATGGGCGACAAACGACGTCTGGAATCACGGGTGCAATTATCTAGACCAGAAACTGTCTAGTGAAGGGGATATGTCGAATGTCAACGAGGATGTGATGTCCGAATCCGCGAGCGAGACCTTGGTGAAATCCGAGGGCGACACATCTGGAAACGGTTCCTTCACTGGCCAGACCTCCCAGGACGAGCTGACTGAGGACAAATTGCCCCGAAAGAAGAAAAGCTCAGTCAACAAAGTCTCGACACAGCTTGTGCTAGCCATATATGTAAGGGAGACGACTGCAAGCAACGCATCTGAGGATGAAATTGAAACGGCAAAACATACCGGCCTTAAATCCAAATCACGTCGCCGGAAGATTGAAAAACCAGAGAAGGAGCAAAAAGAACACAAGAAGCAGATGAAGCAGAAGAAAGCCGAAAGCAAGCAGTACGAGGAGGAGAAGAGTACCCCAGCGAGGAAGATGGGAACTAGAGAAGAGGAACCTGAAGAACGACAGTTCGAAGAGCACGAATCCAAGGAGAAAGCCGAAGAGATGAAGCTTGCAAAGAAGCAGAAGAAGCACAGAAAACTCGAGGCGAAGCTGAGGGAAGAATCATGCCGAAAAGATTCTGCGGCCCTATCAAGTCGGAAGCGGAAGGCCGACAATGAAGATGAAGTTACCACGACTTCAACTACGGCAACAGAAGAAACAGCATAGGACTTGGAGGAGTGATCAGATAGGGGCCGAGATATGCTCAAGGATGAAGCATGTAATTCATTCACACAGTTCACACAGTCTAAATAGGGAAACTGGTCATGCTCCGTGGAGAATAATGAGCCTCGATGCTACGAGTGCCTCTGGTCGAGCTCAACGGTTACAGTTACACAACCGGCGTCTATGTTGCTTTCTTTCCTAGACGATAATTGACTCAAACTTCCAGGATAATCTCCCCCGAATGTCTCTGGCTGTGAAAACAAATCTCCTCGGGTCTAGTGATGCCCTCGAGCAGTGATGATGTATTGGACGAAGAGAGTCGTATAAAAGGACCAGAGAAACAAAACCCACATGGATCACAAAAGCTGTCCTCGGTGATATTCCGAAGGCCATAGCTGATTGGTACATGGATGTTGGGTGTTCTCGAGGCTCAAAATCCGTTAGAGGGAATGTAATTTGAATCTCAAATGCCCCGAACACGTATAGTGTGGGAGTGAAGAAGTAGAAATTTTATCTCCAGGGCTGGAATATCAAATAACGACAACAAGCAGAGAGCTGGGAAGGCTCGTGGATTATGATTATTATAAATGAAGTGAATATAGCCAAAAAAAAAAAAAAAAAATCAAGCTCATGCATGCATCAACCGATTACATACCTAGTCTACATCAATAGATGAAACCTCGAAAGGCCGACCAACCACCTGCAAAAAAGAAAAAAAAAGAAGAATCCCATCCATTCATTACCATTCCTCCATGAATAACCCAATTCTCGAAACATAGTTCTCAATTCTCCAGACCTTGAAGCTGAAGTCATACCGAGCGTCGGCACATACCAAAGCCCGGCACATACCAAAGCCCGGCACATACCAAAGCCCGGCACATCAGCCGATCTTCAAGTGGCAATTTACAGGAGAGCGAGGACACCAGCCAGAAGACCAGCGGCGGTAGCGGGGGCAACCAGACCCATAGCGGCACCGCTGGAGGCAGAGGGAGAGGCAGAGCTGGTAGAAGTGCCGGTGGTGGTGGAAGTGCTGGTGGTCAGACCGGTGGTGGTGCCGGTGGTGGTTTCGGTAGTAGAGCTGCCGGTAGAGGTGCCGGTGGTGGTGCCAGTAGTAGTTCCGGTAGAAATTCCGGTAGAAGTTCCGGTAGCTGTACGTACAGAGGTATCAGTGCTGTGCTTGCCAGGGGTGGGGGGACTAGTAGTAAGGGAGCCAGAGGTAAGGGTTCCGGTGGGGGAGGGTTTGATGATAGACACGTCCAGGGTGGAAGTACCAGTAGTGGAAGCCTCGGTTTCAGTGGTGGAGGCACCAGTGGAAGTGGAAGTAGAGGCAGTAGATGTAGAAGCAGTGGAAGTGGTACCAGTGGAGACAACAGAGGTAGAGGCAGTAGAAGAGGAGGAGACAGTGGAAGATGTACCGGTAGTAGTAGAGCTGGAGGAGCTCTCGGCGGTCACATTGAACTGCTCGGACTGAGCGAGGATGCCGGTGTTCTTGGCCTCAGTGGAGAGCAGGTTGATCTGGAAACCGGAACTGCAGTGTACATTAAGTGTTAGTAGACATACAATCGACGCGCCACAAAGGCGATCTTACCCATTGCTGACGTCCTTCAGACCACTGGCAGTGTAAGAGCCCTTGGAGGTGTCGATGCCAGAGGCAATCTTCTCATCGACGGGGGGGTAGACGGCATTGTTGACAAGGACGATGTCAACAGTGGAGGCGTCGGTGCTGTAATTGGTTAGTTTTGGCTGTCATGGCTAGTGTAAGATGTGAGTGATCATAGTCGACATACTTGACGGATGTCCATTTCACGGTGAAAGATTTGGACAGATCGAGGTCGTCGCCCTTGGAGGGCTCGGTGACCTGGATAGCTAGACTGATTATTAGAGAGAGTCTCGCGTCATATGGTGATTTACATACCTCCAACGGAAAGGGCCAAAGGCAGGAGAGACAGAATGGTGGAGAAACGCATCTTGACTTATTAAAGCGAATGTAGTGGATTAAAAAAACGAATGAACGTTGGAGTGTAAAAGAGCGAGAGAGATGCGAGAGAGAAGTTGGAAGATGGAAAAATATTCAGATTCAAGGGTCCATGTCATTAAGTAGGTGACCAAACATTTCATTTGATATTGCACACAACCTTGGATGCCCTGAACCGTCAACAATGTCTCTGGCACCCACTACCAATACGGAAAGATACCTGAAAATAGAACTGACATGGCGAGGTACCCGGTTTTAGAGCATCCCAAAAATATTTTAAACATTTTATTATACACAACGTGGGAATTCAGGGTCTCAGTAAGGTTCCATGTGGAAGTAAGTAGAGCTTCATGGCTCGCCGAGGAGCTAGTTTCAGGCGCAAATTCCACTTTCGATTTTGGGGAATCTGACTCCGTGTTCCGTACTCTATTATTCGATGGGAGTTCCATATTATAATTGTGTATACTTCGTATATTGTATGTACTCCGTCGTTATTTTTTACACCCGGAGGTGGCCCGTCCACTATGGATCCCAGCCATCGGTGTGGTCCGCCGATAGGGTCGATAAGAGGACGCTAGACAGGCTTGGCAATCCGCTAGTGGTATTTGGTACAGTCTTGGCACAGAACCGAACCCGAGCAGTATGAAACGGCGAATTACGTATGTATGGTATCCGTATTTTTGAATTGCAAATTCTGCGGTAAATTACAGAAAGGCAATCTGGACCCTGAATTTTCATGTATCTTTTCACTAGCTCGAGCAAGGGTGTTGGCCACCAATTTGAGGGAAGATCAGCAAAGCCTAATCATCCATGGGGTAAGGGGAATCAAAAGGCTGCCCATGAGTACTCATAAATTCATATCCAATATTTACTCCGTACGATGTCTCAGAATGAACTCGAAAATGCTGCGAACACACCGTTTCGATGTCTCAACGAAGACCCACTCCACAGACCAATTTCAGGATTGAGACATATCTGAATTTGGGTCTCGGACGACACGCTAAATGAACCATAAGTGGGAGCACTGGAGGCGATAAAATGAGTGTCTCAGAACCTGCAGGCACGTTATTATCTCTTTACGGACAGAATGGTGCCATTTCCCAGTCAGGTAGCGGTCAAATACGGAGTCAGATCCGAATCAGTAAATTCCTTTTTCTGAGTTATGATTTGTCGAATACGGAAGGAAGATACGGAGTACGGAGTGCAGTTCCCAAGTGTTATCCCAAATATTAGATGTTGTACATAATTTTCGCACCGGAGAATCCCCGGGGATGCGCCTTGCGCCCAACAAAAGATTAGGTATCGTAGATATCCACGTTACTGGTAGTACGGAGTTAGTAATCAAGCCACAATCAGTGCTCTGTACGGTGTACTCGGCTGGGAAAGTATACATACAAGTCCCTCTTGAGACCATCCCGGTCCATGGTAGCCGAATCGACCCAGACGCTAGCACTCATCGCCTGGACACCGAAGTCTCCATACCCCTTCTTGTTGATAATGACAGGTTTCATGCTAGGATGCAACAGGTCGGTCCATTGCTCATATGCATGTTGCTGACCGACAAACATGCGCTGCACACCTGGACCAGCGTTGCTGATAACACATGCGAGTCCGGATAGGTGACGGGCGTTTCCGTAGCGAACGAATCCTGTTTCGCAGTCAGATCTGCTAGTGTGGATACGTGTTCCCCATAGTGGGGCGCAGTAATCCAGGGGTGAAAGGGCCAAGCGAACCTATGCAGTTGGGTTGGTTGAAATAATCCTGCTGTTCGCCGTAGGCATAGAGTTTCCGGGCTTGAGTTAGGACGGGAAGATGACCGTTGCAACTTGGTGTCATTGGGCTATCCACATTCGCCCGTATCCCGTACAGGTCACCATAGAATACGCATGGGTGACCGTCTTTGCGGAGGAGGACCAGTGCGTATGCTAGTAATTTAAAGGAGTGCGCCACTGGGGTCTGGGCTTTGATTAGCCGTGCTCGGGCCTTATAAAACTGGGAAGAAGTTGACTCACCTCCAGCATTTGTCCTGGTTGCTGCTGAGAGTTAGGTAAAGAAGTAAATATGCCAAGATCAGACACAGTTGGTACTTACCGTATCGTGATTCGAAACAAGGGTCTGGGGAAGTTAGCTTTGTATCATTACTCGAGCGTCGAGGAACTCACCACAGCGTGGTCCGGCCGACACTGTACCAATGTATCTTTGAAAATCCCGCGAAGATCTGGTGCCTTGGCATGGGACAACTTGGAGAACCGCTCCAGGAGAGGTACATCATATGCAGCGAGATCATACTCTACCTTCTCGAGGTAATGCAGAAGGGACGGTAAATGTCCAGTCCAGTACTCTCCGATGGCGAAAAAGTCCGGGTTGGCGGTTTTCCGAACATATTGCACGAATGCGCGTTGGAACTCGGTTGAGAAATGCTTAGCGGCATCAAGTCGCATTCCATTGAGGCTTAGGGATTTGGTGATCCACGTTCCCCATTGCAGGAGGTCTGCGCGGACTTCTGGGTGTGTCAGGTCCAAATCGGCGAACATCAGGTAATCGTAGTTTCCATTCTCCGTGGACACATCTTGCGCCCAGTCCTTGTTGGATGCGACAATCTTGTAGATTGCGTTTTGCTTGCTCTTATCGTCCCAGTCAACGCCGCTGAAATGTTGCCAGTGATACTTCATTGAGCTGTACATGTCACCGCGACCGGCGAAATCAAAGCCTGTCCAGCCATGGACTTCTGTCGGCTTAGATATATCCAGATCTCTTCCTGTTGTTTTATTTTAATCAGCGAAAATCCATGATTGAATATCAACGAAGAGAAGGATAAAATCGCTCACGTTTAGGATCTACCTTGACAGCCTGAAAAGGCTCTGGATAGTCCGCGCCAGCTTTATGATTGAGCACAGCATCCCAGATTACACCAATGCCCAAGTTCTGCGCTTGGCACATCAGGTCTTCAAGTTCACGCTTGGTGCCCCATTTCGTGGGAACTGCGCCCTTCTGATCGAACTCCCCTAGGTCGTACAGATCATAGATGTCATAGCCATTACCATTCACATCCATTCCCTTGCATCCGGGAGGGATCCAAATCTGATCAACGCCGATGGCTTTGTACTCTGGTAAGGCATTCTGCAGACGACGCCAGTGCTGCCGGTCGGCGGGAACATGCCATTCAAAGGCTTGCAGTATAAGCGAATTATCTGGAGCATTCCATGATGGGAGCTGTTGTAGATTCGCTGCTGCTTCTGTACCGTGTATGCAGGTTAGAGCTTCGAACTGTTTTCCGGTCGGGGATACTGACCTTCAATCTGTTTCCATTTCTGGCCTTTCTGTCGAGATCCACACCACAGGAAAGACGGCATTGCGGGATACCAAATGGCAAGTCAAGCAGTCAAGCTATGTCAATGTCCAGCTAAATAGTAGTTAACTAGAATATGCATATCCTCCCTTTTAGGGCTTGGATGTGGGGCGACTATATTTGACTTCGAACTGTTGTAAGGTACAGGTTTTGCAGTTGGAGGTGTCTCCATTTATTATTCTCAAATTATTAAAAATGTCTCAGACGAAAATTTCACCCAAAGGAAAATTGGAACTTTTCTAGAAGAAAACTCCACCTGAGATAATCTCATTGGCTACCGCCGGCCATAAATGCGTGACATGTAAGATAATAGTAAATAGGAAAAAAAGCCCATAATCATATAAAGGCCAAAGGGCGTGTCAGGAGGGAAAAGACCAAAAATATCGCCAAATAAAACAAGAGGTCAAAAATATGGCACAAGAAAGGATATCTCCGCGAACCAAGCTGAGTCGTGGCTCAATGGGGGGAAAAAGGGTAAAAATAGAAAATGAAGATCGGAAGATCGGAAGAAGAATGAAGCGAATGAAGAGAGAAGGAAAAAAGAAGGGCTGTCGAGGAATTTCAAACGAGCATGACGAACATGCTGGTCATCACGGCTAGCAGTAAGGCGGCTACACCGGTACCACTGGTAAATTGCATTCCAGCCGACGTCGAACTACTGCCAGTCTCCAACATCGCGAGGGTAACGTTCGTCTCGGAGTAGCCACAAAGACCACTACCCTCCATATATTGCGTGGGGAAGAAAACCCGTGGCTCTCCCTTGTTCATATCGACACGCAGCAGGCCCTGGTTGTCGACAGTATAGTTCTTACAGTTCAGAACATCCATGATCACCGTGCCAGCATTGTAAGTAACTGCCATGTCGAGGTTGTAAGCCCCACTGGTCGAGGGTTGAGTGGACAACACCATGACTACTTGTCGACCCTGGACACCCTTTGTGAAACCGAGCTCACTGGCTCCCTGGTAGATCGTGTGGGTCGAGTCCTCAAAGTAGTTTGTGCCCAGTAAGGCTGCGTGGTTCCGAATGCGATTCAGTTTCGCGATCAGCTGGTAGAGCACCGCATTGGTGTCGTATTTGGTGAGCCAGATGGCTTCTCGGTTGACAGGCACCGAGTTCCCCTTCAGGTGTTGCTCTTGACCTTGATATATCATCGGGATTCCATCAAATAGCATGGTAAACACTAAGACATTTTTGGCCATCTGCCAAGTACTATCATTAACAAAAGCGACCAGTCAACCCGAGGAGGGCACACATACCGCTATGTCATCGGAGTAGCTACCAATTCGAGGTTTGTCGTGATTTTCGGAAAAAGTGGCCATAGCATTGACATCTGGCATGGTGATTCTCATGTTCTCCACTGCTTTCGCCAATTGAGACGTATTGCCCTGGGTAAACGCATCTATGATTTCGAAATAGATCGGATAATTTGGCAAACTGTCGATGTAGTTGCTCTGATAATCTTCCATGATGCTGACTGCCCCTTCAAGAACTTCACCTGTCATGAAAGTGTCGACACCATTGGAAAAATTTTGTAGGAAACCCGTATTAACGTGCTTGGCAGCGTCAATGCGGAGTCCGTCAATGGAATAGGTCTTGATGGCGTTGTTTGCCCATGCGATCAGAAGCTGTTGGACATCTGCATGCTCGGTGAAAAGGTCTGGCAGCGGCACGTCTAGATCACCTGTCTGACACCTTTGCGCGTCGGTCATGTTCTCCCAGTTTTTGATTTTGCAGTAGGGATGGAAATAGTCTGCGTTATTGAAGGGTGTAAATACTGAGTAGTCGATATGTGTGGCCGGGTTGCTGCCATTTGTGATGTACGCCATGTTGTTGATTACCGTATCCATCATGAAGTACATGCCCCGGGAGTGGAGAGCAGCACTGAGGTCGAGCAAGTCTTGATGCGTCCCAAAATGAGAGTTGAGGGTGTTGAAGTTCAATGGCCAGTACCCATGGTAGGCTTCGCCATAGGAGACTTGGCCATGGATATTCTCGATGATGGGAGATATCATCACAGCGTCAAATCCCATCCCTTGGATGTAGTCCAGACGATCAATGGTTCCTCGCCATGTTCCTCCGCAATAAAAGCCCGCGGTGGTATTGCATGGTGCTGTTAATGATCCATCTGTGCGAGCGAAACGATCCGTCATGGTCTGATATATCGATCTGGGCTTCCAGTCGACTGTCCTTGCGGCTGATGCCGAGGAAATGAGGCCCGTGATCAAGAGCCCTACCAGACGGCCAAGGGTCGATCGTGACATCATGGCAGCTCGTATTTGTGTGATGGGTCGACCGGAAGAGGCGAAAAAGAGAGTACTGGGCTTTCAGATAAAGAGTGTCTTGATTAACTCACGAGAGGGCAAAGATGGCCGGCAAGTGGAATAAATGAGTGACATTTGGACTTTATCCAGGAACAGGAAACGAAAGGAGGCAAAGAAAGCAGAAGTTGGTCCCTAGACAGGAAAAGATCGGGGAAAATGGCTAGTCAGGTGGCACGGCTTTTCAAGGTTCTGTTGTCCATCCATACATGTCTTGGAACCTTCCCCCCACAACCACGCGTTATATTATTATCCGGCCAGTTGCCTCGGGATATCTGCACCAATGGACCTGATTGCCATGCGACCTACCCGTTGATATGCCCCGGGATTCAGAAATAAAGGTATGATTCTAGTGGCTTACTTTAAGAAGGACTAACTACACATCAAGCGGGGGCTGCAGAAATCAATTTTAGTTTCATTATGGTGTAATTGTGGGAGGGGAAGAAGCGAAAGCGACTTAGCACACTAGTAACGACACTATTGGAACAAGGAGTACAGAGTACAGGAGCTGTCAGGTACCAGGCACCTTGCTGGAGGTTACTGTTGATTGGTCGTTATCACGTGGAGACACTGCCCTAATCTCAGGAACGGTCATCACCCTATCTATCACAAGAGAAGTGACGAACTTTTGACGGTCCAATCATCCGAGACAAAGTGCCATCAATCTAAGAGACTAGCGACGTTACTTTGAATTTCCACAAATCGGGTCCAAGCTATAGATAGTACTTTGGTACTTCGTACCGTACCGTATAGATTACAGCGTATATACGCCGTATGGAGTACCCCGTACCTTGAATTGATACACCAAACGCTTTGGCCTTGGCCCTGGGCAGTTGAATACGAGATATGGCGATACAAAAGTTTGAATGAACACCTTGGCAAAATTTTACGATTCTATACGAATTTTAACTTGCACCAGACACCCAGATACTACAATGAATATATACCTCGAACAACGCAAGAAAGAAAAAAGGGATAAAGATGTGGGAAATGAACAGAGATAGGTGTAATCCGGTGTGATAGATAAGTGAACTCGGGTGGCTGTACGAGATTTGCTGCGCCATTCTCGGCTTCCCGGACTTCCGTCTGGAGTGGCGTTGATACCAGTATCACATCACGGTAAATACTCCGTACTGCAGGGATGTCTGACCTTGTGGAGATTAAGTCAGATATTTCTTTTGCTTGTTTTCTTGTACGGAGAATACTTCCAAGTTTTGACTTAAATAAGATGCATAGTGGACATGTTAGTTCTTGGTTCCTGGTTTCATGGAAGTTATCCGTCTTGGCATTATTCCTTGTTTACCATTGGTTGCTATTGTAAACCTTGGAGGAATATTTAGATTTGTACCATGGTTGAGCCCCCGGGAAACCGAAAAGAAGAAGAAAAAAACCCTTGAGAAAGGGGAAGGACGAAAAAAACGAAAAAGACGGAGAAAACGAAAAACGAAAAACAAGTGCCGTACACCATCTGGTATAAGCCCCCGGTCGTAAAAGCACCAAGTGGGGGTGGGTCTTACCTCAACGACCAATCGGCCGGGTCGGGCTATCATGATCTCGGCCCCCTAACCCACGCGGGTCATGACCGAGAGGTATATCGGCATTTTGATAGGCTGATAATTGCGGGCCTAGAAAATCAGCAGTCGGCAGACGTGAAAGTTGCCCACTACCTAGCCCCGTCAGGCTCCAATTAATACTCTTTTAACCGAACTAGGTGTCCTATTCGGCTTTTGATGCCAAGGACAGGCGGGAAAGAAGAATAAAACAATCATAATTTATATCCAAAGGAGAAAAAGATTTAAAATTACAATTACAATTACATCTAATTAAACCGAAAAAGGCAAAAGAAATAAAAATTACCGAAGCTGAGACGTTGGAACCCAATATACTCCAATACAGTCTGGGGCTCTAAAATTGATATGGAGTTTGTCTCATCTGCTTTTATTTTTATCTTGAGCTTCATTGCGACTAGGCTTTTAGCTTAGCATTTAGCACTGCGCACTGCTGTTATGTGATCATTTCTTTTTCACTTCCACAATCGATTCTTCCTTCGTTTACATCCCTCATCTCTCGTCCATCGTCCATCGTCCCTCGTTCGCTCGTTCTCCTTCCCTCGTTCCTTCGTTCGCTCGTTTGCTAGTCCGCCTGTCGTTATCTTCTTTGGCTTACTGCCACCTTTGACGCCTTCTGTTGGGAATTTGTGACGTGACCTTTGAGATACATACCTACATCCCACTGCTCTATGGCAATTGAGAGCTGCACATCTTCATCTCTTTCATAGAGTGTCTCATCCTCTCATCCCAGCGGGGATATCCGCACTATCTGAGGCGCGCGACCATCACTCAACAGCTTCGCGCAGTCACCAGTCATGAAGTGGCTACTCACCAGCGGATTGGTCTCGCTTCTTGCGAAAACCGTCACAGCTTGGCCATACGACGAGGCCTACCTAGATTATAACCTCAATGAGAATAAGACGGCCACCAACCCAGCAGATTACTGGGGAACATGGCCTGGCCATGAGGGGAAATATCACCCCTCTCCAACAAATTGGCGCTTCCCGTTCTACTCTCTCTTCTTGGATCGCTTCGTGAATGGTGATCCTACCAATGACAACGCAAACGGTACCACGTTTGAGCATGATATTGAACAACGCATCCGCCATGGTGGCGATGTGGCTGGCCTCGTCGA